GGTTTTCTCCACATTCTCCCTCCCCTTGCAAAGGTATTGTGGGCACTTAAGTATTGCTGTTTTACAAATAGCACCTAGCTAAGCTAACATATATCTTACTTTGGATTAGAAGAGGCCCTTGCTGACACAGTTGCTTATCTGTTGGGAGAAAACTTGTGCAGCCTCCATCTGTTCTGGTTCTCTCCCTATCCTCCTCCCTTGCATAGAACAGTGGACACTTAAACATTCAGAGCAATGTGAGGTAGCATAAGCAAAGTCTCAGCAGCAGTTCATGCGCAGAGGACGGCAACCAAGATGATCAAGGGTCTGGAAACCAAGCCTTATGAAGGAGTTGGGTATATTTAATTTGTAAAATAGGAAACTGAGGGGAGATATGATAGGTATCTTCAAACATCTAAAGGGCTATCAAGTGGAAGATGAAACAAGCTTGTTTTCTCCTGCTCAGGAGGGTAGGACCCGAACCATTGACTTCAAGTTACAAGAAAGGAGATTCCAACTAAGCATCAGGAATAACTTTCTGACAGTAAGAGCTGTTTGACAGTGGAACAGACTCATCTGGGAGGTGGTGGACTCTCCTACACTGGAGATTTTAAAGCAGAGGTTGGATGGCCATCTGTCATGGATGCTTTACCCGCATTGCAGGGGGTTGGACTAGATTATCCTTGGGTGTGCTTTCCAACCCTATTATTCTGTGTTTGGTGATTGATTGATTGATTGATTGATTGAAAAATATTTCTGTACAGTTTTTCATTTTAAAAAAATCTCAAAGTGGCTTACAACAGTAAATCAGGTGGACATGCAAATGGCACTGAAAGGAAGAAAAACAGCAGCCTTACCCACATAGGTACTCCAGATGCCTACCTCTTAGCCATGCAGCATCCCACATCACATGTGGTCCTGGCAGATGTTGCCCAGATGCTGCTCATTAACGTCCTGGTGCATGGAGTAAAGAGCCTTTTATACTTGATGCTAGACCCGTGGAACACCTACATGGATAAGTGCTTTTCAGAGGGCTGTGTGTGGCAGCTGCTTGTGACCTTTAAATCTGACTTCAATCTTTGGATGCTGGCACTGTGAAAGGGAGCATTCAACACAACTGAGGATCAGGGTCAAGTAGCTTTCAATGTCAATCATAATGCCGCAGAACAGTCTAATGGATGGAATCAGAATGTGCTAAAAGTCTGGCGGGTAACAACAACTCAGGGTTGCTTAGTGCAAGAAAAACAAATCAGATAAATCTTCTTTGCTATTAGAGAAAGTTACATGGCCAAGCACATCTGTGCTTTTTTGTACAGTATTGGAATTTTCTATTGGAATCCAGTCTATATTCCCTGCAAATTATAGATGGTAAAGTGATTCCTACATAAGAAACAAACACACAAATTAAGTGTAACATCATTACAGACTTCACTGTCTAATGTAACTTCATTGACATTCTTCCATAGTGCATGTTTGTTCTCTCTCTCTCTCTCTCTCTCTCTCTCTCTTTGCAATTATTAAATATGCATGATATAGTGCATCACTTTTGCTGCCATTCAGTGACAACCACGTGCAAACTGCTGACTAACCAGCCACAGCTGTACAGGAACTTGCTGTTGTAGCAATTCAACCTCTCTCAGTAAGTTGCACACTACAAGCTGATGTGGCTGAAATATTAAGGAAGGTGTAAATGGAGGTCACAAATAGAAACTAGGAGACAAGTTCACTGTGCTGAAGGAAAACAACAGGTTAAAAACAAACAAACCCACAACACCACCCAACTCTACAATCCACAAAACTGCAAAATGATTGCAGGGGCATTGTAAGAATTGGTTACACAGAAAACATCTAGGGGACAGCACAGCAGCAAATGTTTCATGTTCACAGGAACTGATAATGGCTCTATTACTAGACCGAACCAGATCATTATGGGACCTGACAGAGTGGCCCATTCACAGCAGTTTTCTGGTGGGCAAGCACTAAAAAGAATCAATTAACCACACCCTTCCCAACGGTACTGCATAATGTTTAAATCAATATGAAACAACAACTGCTTTTCCTAAGCTTAAATCCATACTCTGCCCCCATCCATCTATCTTCCCCAACAGGCCCACTTAAACCTAGGGTCACAGGAAGTTGCCTTATACTAGGTCAGACTAGGCATCCATTTAGCCCACAATTATTGTTTACTATGGCTTGCTGTGGTTCTTCAAGATCTCAGGAAGAGGAAAAAGAGGACACATGGCGACTCCACCTACCATACTTCCCCATGCAGATGTTTCTAGGTGCTCTTTTTTTTTAACACAGTAAATATGTGGCTTTCACTCATTTGCTACATCAGATCCAGATGCTTATTTTCAGGGTAGCATTTCTATTATTTCCTTGTATTACCTTTGCCCAGGGCTTCAGGTGCAGTGTGTGGTCACTGGGGCAAAGTTCTTCAGGTCGGGCTTCCATAGCTATAACAAATGCAGGGCAGATCTTCTCCTCAATCCAGACCAAGATTATGCAGTGCTCTGGCCGAAGCGTAGGATTCTCCAGGAACTGCAGAGAGTTCTGGAAGGAAGAGCACCACTCTGTATGTAACTGGGGGCCAGGAAAGTACTCTAAAATAAGCCTCTTCATTTAACAACCATAGTCTCAGTCCCTGTACTGATTTTTCTAAGAGTCCCTAGCCTCTGAACTCAAAACTGGTGACGAAAGTGATAACTGATACCACTAGTGACAATGAAAGCAAAACAGAAAAAAGACACTGAAAGTAACAGGAACTAAGAGAGGGTTCTTTTTCATGCACCCAGGTGTTTGTCCCCCCCCCCATGTGGTTTAGATATGAGATAATTCAGCAGGCCTTGAACTCACCACAGAAGCTATAGAGCAGGTGTCGTCAAGGTTTACCTTGCCTGGGCCGGTTCCCTCCAGCGGAGATCCCTCTGTGGGCTGGATCGTGCACGCGATTTCCAGCATCTGCGCAGATGCGATTTCCTGCACCACAAAAGCAAGTCCCCATGCCATGCTGCACTGGTTTAGTGCAGCGTGCAGGGACTCAACAAGCACACAGCTTGGCCAATGTTAAATAGAACAGATTGTGTAAAAACCATGTATGGAAAAAGCCTTGATGGTGTATTGATAAAAGATACAGAATATAGAAATATATCTAGAATCTATATTATGGAAAGTTGTTTGTCCCTTCCTGTGCATGGATTCCAAACTTTCTTGTGCCTCTCTTCCAGTGTTCTTAATGAACATCCCAAAATGTGTGTGTGTGTGCACGCGCGTGCGTGCACATGCGCACGCATGCACACACACATGTGCACACTTACTTACTTTGCCAAAGCAAAGGCAAACATACTGAAAACATACCAACAGAGCAGAAGAAATGCTTTCCTCATAGTGCTGAGAAGATGCAAAACACTCAGAATCCTTTATCTTGTTTATCCTTGTGAAAGCGATGGGCCATGTTTTGTTTGTCTCTGGTACCAAAATGACTCAGATTGGAACAGACTGTATCACCAGTTGAACTGGTTGCAAATGTAGATAAAGTATACAGGGCAACTGCATTGTTGTGTGAATGTGAAGTAATTAAGTGTTGTCATGTCACCAGAGCTGGTTCTATCATTAGGTAGAGTGAGGCGGCTGCCTCAGGCGGCAGGTGCTGAAGGGTGGGAACTGGATAGAGCTGAGTGTGCCACATGGTCTGCCCTGGGACCCCAAAGATACCCGACCACCCTCAGGTGCAGAATATTGTCGCATTGACAGGGTTGAAGTATGATTCAGTTGCTAGTCTGGTCAGCTTTTGTCTGTGGAATAGGAAGGAAGCTTTTTGTCTTTTGCTTCAGGCAGAAAAAATGTCATGGGCCAGTCCTGCTCATCTCTATTTCAAAGTAACAATGATTAGAACTAACAATGGAGATTACAAACTGGCAGTTAAGAGAAATTGTATGTTGTGGAGAAGGAATAACAGTCACTACCAAACAATGCTCAATCAGAGTGGGGGTAAGATGCTAGTGAGAACAGGTGTAAATATTTACCCAACTGAATCTGTATTGGGCCAGGTTTATAGCATCAAGAGAAAAAGACTTTAAGTGCATCAGTTCCACAATATGACAGAAGACTTATTGACCCAGCAATGAAGTGAGGAAAAGTCCAGGTACCCTAAATGTGGTTCTTAAATAGTGTCAAAGAACTTTATTTCTTCTGAGGAGCAGAGAGAGACAGAGAGACTGGCTAGCATACTTAAGCTCTCTTTAAGCCAAAGTTTATTGACTCCATTATGCATAATTTACAGCAGAAGAGTATTAAGCAAAATGTACATTAATATTCACACCATTTCCTTACTTCTAAAGATTACAGATGTTCTATGTAGTCAAATGGAGTTTAGTTCAATTTATCATGTAGTATGGTGTCACCTAGTGGAAAAGCAGAAGAAATACAAGAGTGAATCTGACTGAAAAAGGATTTCTAATCTATACCTGAGTGTATACTATCCATTCTGAGAGAAATATTGATGAATTTCACTCTACCCCACATCCCACACTCTCAGTGATATTCTTTCTTGATAAGGAGACACATTTGTATTCTTCTCAGCCTCAAATATATTTTCTTATTCTGTTATTTTATTCCTATTTTACAGTTGTTGAAGGACAAACCTATAGCCTTAAATTCAATAAAGAATTAAACATTATTCTGTTTTAGCTGCAGAAGAGCCTAAGCACACTGCCCTTATTAAGTATGCACATACTAATCAAAAAGCTCAAATTGAATATTTACATTTCTGTTCAATGCTGTCTTCCTTTATGCACTAAACAAAAGGAAAACAGCATCAGGGCAGAAATACATAAATTCAGTTTGATCCTTTTTGCTTGCACATGTGTACTGGACATAGTGCTGAAAATGCAAGAATTGGCGAAATGTGTGTTTTAGTCTTAGAGCAGCCAGGAGCTAATAGTTCAATACTTGCTTTTCGGCATCTAAATCTACAATGTATACACTCTGGCTATAAATATCTGGCTATAAATACATACACACACACACACACACACACACACACGTACACTGTTTGTTTTTGTTTTTGTTTGTTGTGTGTGTGTGTGTGTGTGTGTGTGAGAGAGAGAGAGAGAGAGAGAGAGAGAGAGAGAGAGACTGCGTGGGACAGTGCTTATCAAATTGCTTTATGGCTTCTTAAAGAAGTTTTCCCAGCAACAGGGCAAGTGGCTGGAAAGCTCTGGCAGCTACAGCAGGAGCAACAGCAGCTTCTTTGATCAGCTGTGCCATCTTCAAATGCTCACAATGAACATCTTCAAAGGTTTCCACTTGTAATTCCTATCAGTGCTATTATACCAGTTTGTGGTGCCAGCTTTGCAGTAAAACAAAATGACTTTTTATCAGGGTACTTTACATTCTGCGCCAGCAATTGTCATGTTTTCAGATCAGGAGTTTTTATTTTATTTTTTTTAAAAAAAAGGTTAGTCGCTTTTCATTTTAAGATAGATCCTCTTTCATTTTACTTAAATCTGAGCAGGTGTCAGGACTTATTCCTTATTTGGTAACATGATGGAGAGAGGAACGGTTTTTCAAATCAATCTTCTTTTGCCACAGTTCCATGAAATATGTGCAGCTCTGTCAAATCTAGTACTTGCCTTTCGGCAGGCACTTAAAAAAGGACAGTTATTTTTAACAAAATATTAATATATTAACCTTTTAGCACAACCTCTCTTCTTTGGAATATTAGATCTCCCGATCAGGACCCACAACATACTACAGATTGAGGGGGATACCTTGCAAGGTACCAAGCATTATCTAAATTCTCAGGTTTGTGGCTAAGGCCATATGCCAAACTGGATAAGAATACAGCCCTCATAGCTGTTATCTATCTATCTATCTATCTATCTATCTATCTATGATTTGCCTTTTACAGTTGTTTCAAGGTGATTTACAAACATACTGTAAAATAGTTTTAGGAACAACTAAAGATACGTTTAAAAACATAAGGTAAAACAGGGAATATGCAGGAGAAATGATTTTGAGGAGATATGGAGGGTGTTTGTAGAATTTGTGCTGTTAAAGGGGGAAAGGGGTCAAACCATCACAAGAGGTGTTGAAATTTTGGGAGGTTGGATAGGTACAATGGAATGGTCTCGGTGGTGGGGTGCACATCTTTATTCTTCTTTATTTATGATTATTACATTGTCAAAATAAAATAAAATAAATACAATTCCAAATTAGCACCTTTTCACCCAACTGGAAAAGCTTTTTGACACTATAATGTCTTCAGTTGTTTTTGGAAAGTGCAGATAGTAGCACTCAGGGGAAGACTTTTGGAATCTTTCATAAGATGTCATCCTGAACAAGCCCAAAATCTGGCACCCCCAAATGGATCTTCTCAATTATGGATCTTCTTATTTTTGCACGCACCCCCCTGGCTTGGCACCCTGTCATATCTAAGTGGAGATACATCGGGGAAGCCACACTGAAAGCCCCGTTTGGAGTTACTGTGGAGCAGGCTTCTGATGTTTTGGGAACTCAAAGGAGAAACTATTTTGCAGAACACAGTAACCTATTGGGTGTATAAGAGATAAGGTGCTCTCCCAAGGAACCTAGTCCTTAACTGCATACTGTAGATGCTAGTATCAAAATTTTGACCTTGATTGGCAGTCAGTCAAATGCCACACACAAAAATGCCACATGGGTGGTGGTAATTTGTGCACACGCGCACACACACACCCTAACCACTCCTTTCTGCACTAGCTACAGCCTTCAAGGACTACATCCCCAAACCAACTAGGGGCTACCAATGCTGGTCAACTATGGTCAAGTTAGTTGTCAGCATAAGAGTTCCATTATGAATGACCCACATCTCTTTGGTCCTTGCTATCACATGTCTAAAATAACACTGAAGTAAATGCTCCAAGTCAAAGCCTTCCTATAAGGAAATTTGTAAGGTCCCCATTGTGCACTGCTAGAATTCAGCAAATTACACCAGCACTGCAACTTTCCAGCTGCTTCTCTAGAAATCCATTATATTCTCTGTGTTGTGTTGTACTGCAGCTTTTGATATTCTTAAAGGATTGACGGCATCTATTTCCTTTAGAATAAGGCCGTTTTCAATTTAGTGCCATTCAGCAACCTGCAGATTGGAGTCTATGAGGCACTCTTTAAAATATCACTTTCAGATGACGGATGTTTTGCAGGTGGTTTTGTAGAGAACCATGAAATGCAGCTGCCATGAAACCTTTGATGAGACGTAAGTAGAACAACATCAAAAAGTATGCATTTCTTTTGAGCGAATACATGAAAGCGCAAAACTAGCTGACACTGTCACATCACAGAATTCATTTTTGTTAGCAGGCACAGACCAAGAGGAGACAAGCTTTCTGTTTTCATAGCTAGAAATTCATGTAGAAAAAGTATGGAAACTGCACACACGTGTGTGTGTGTGTGTGTGTGTAACCTGTTAGGATATTTCCGTTCCACCTTAAAAGGGAGCAGGCTTTGTGAGTCAGAGTCTGCGCATTTCCTGTTCACAGGATGTTTATGTTTTCCTATTGCTTTCGTCTCTCTCTGTGTCGTAGACACTGAAGCAGGCAGTCATGTTTTTCTTTGTTCTGATCAACGCTGAATAAAACTTGTAAATAATGCTCTCCTGAGTGCGACTTTGGCTGTGCATTATCTGCTGATAGAGAGTGTGCATCGGCTCTAGAATGTGGTAGGCTATTTCTGGAGCTCATGTCACTAATTGCTGATACTGCGTGACTACGGGAGATCGACGGACGTCCGGACACAGCTTGGGGGCCATGATGGACTTTATCTCCCTGGCAGTATCCCAACATGAAAGCGCATGTTGGGATGTATCTCCCTGGCAGTATCCCAACATGAAAGCGCAAAACTAGCTGACACTGTCACATCACACATCACAGAATTCATTTTTGTTAGCAGGCATAGACCAAGAGGAGACAAGCTTTCTGTTTTCATAGCTAGAAATTCAAGTAGAAAAAGTATGGAAACTGCACACGTGTGTGTGTGTGTGTGTGTGTGTAACCCCACTCATTACTGAATCCAACTGCCCAGTTGACCCATGTGATGCATTCCTGAATGCAAACCACACTGAAATTCATAGCAATTGTTTAGGAACAGTGCCTCTCTGGAGAATTGCGTATTATGTCTGAAATGCCACATGCAAAAATCCTATTAAAATAGTCTTTAATTAAAGTAGGATTGTACCCTATATTTGTGTTTCCATAATTAAAGATCTCTCAGTATTTCAACTAAAACACAGTTTGTTCCCACCACCCAGTACAGCTAAAAATCTGGCTGATCCAGGCTTCAGTATTTTTTTAATCTTGGGTTGCCTTCAAGATAATGCTGAGGTGAACATTGTGTCAGCACAAGAGCTTTTCCTTGCACAGTGGAACATCCTCCCCCTCTCCCCCTGCACACACCCTAAATCTGTCGGGGGGAGTTTTCCCCAACCCTCCTGAACAGATTTGTGGATGGCGCAAATAGGAGGGAGGAGATGGGGGAAGCCCCATTGTAGAAGCTGTTTCACTCGCACCATCTGAAACCATACAGGACCCCACTTAGCTTTTGTCTAGTTGCCTGACACCCCTTATTGGAAACAATTGGGCAATGCTTTATCCTGGGTTCAGAACTGGGCGTCTTCAAATAGGGCTGGGAAAGGTTCCTGTCTGAAATCCTGGAGAGCCACTGCTGTTCAGTCCAGACAGTGAAGGGAGTGAGATGGTCAGCCTCAGCATAAGGCAGCTTCCTATGTTCCTCCATCAGATCCTTTGGAATCAACTGATGCTTTGAACACATTTAAAAGCAGGTTCTGTGCTTATTTGGCCATCATATCTGGGACGCGGGTGGCGCTGTGGGTAAAACCGCAGTGCCTAGGAAAGTGAAATGAGCACCGCAACCTCATAGTCGCCTTTGACTGGACTTAACCGTCCAGGGGTCCTTTACCTTTCCAGCCAGTGATTTCTTTGTGCATTTTTTTCTCTGTTGTTGTGCCCCCAGTTCCCCCATTGAAACCACACCAGACCTACAAGCAATAACAGGGAGCACATTTAGAGCATGCTCCTAATTCTTCCTTTGCAGCTGCAGCTTTATATTTGAATCACCTGTTGCCCTATCTTCATAGTCACCATCTGTTTATTTGTCTGTCACTTTCCCACAGAATTCTGCCCACAGTTGCTGATAATATATCAAATGAGCAATAAGTACAATGGCTCCAAAGGCCTATGAAACAATTCAAAATAACTGCAATATGAGCAAGACAGTCCTGCCCACCTATCAAAATGGCTCATGGAGGATGAGCTGGTTCTTTGTCTGTTAACACTAATGGGATCCTGTTTACCACTCCTGGTATAACAGAATGCAGAAACCAGAAGAAAACTTCTTGATATCATTTCTCACATTAATATAACCCGCTTTCCTCTGAGGAGCTCAGGATGAAATAATAAGGTGTTCCCCGCTTTTTCCTGACACCAGTTCTGTAAGGTTAGATTGAACATGTGTGAATGCACCCAGGTGGTCTCTGGGACCTAAGTCCCAAATCCTAATCACTACACTTTATTGGTTCTTTATTTTCAGAGGCAGATATAATTTTATGAGAATCAATAAATATAGTTATTTAAAAATGTAAAAGAAACCAATTGTTCAAAGTATAACTTAGTATACATTTTAAAATTAATTCTGATAGCACTGTGACCAGTCAAATACCATATAAATATATTGCATATACCTGACAACAATTTGTCCTTTTAAACAATAGATAGAGTAGATAGACAGATCAAAATGTTAAAGGCAACTTATATATTCAATGTCCTGTTTTACCTTATTAAACAAGTACCAGCTAGTTAGCTGTCACAACAATATTAAAAAGAGGAGTTTTGACACAGAAAGAACACCTTCTGTAGCCTCAAGTTATGTTGGTAAGACTTTAGGGATTTGTACAATGACTGACAATGAAAGAGCATCAGCCAGGATACTCCCCGAGTTCCTTTTTCCTTGCAAAGCAGGATGTTCATTAACAATGAAGAATGGCTGTTATTAGGCAAGCTTGATGACAGTTCCCAAATGTCACTGTCAGAGCAACAGAAGCAGAAGGGCATTCCCCCAATAACATTACAAATGTTCATTAAGGCTGTTTGCATGCAGCTTCAAGTTAGACCTGAATCAGCCTGCTCCAAGTCTCACATCCAAATCCATGAACATGTTCACAAAACTCCCAAGTCCCACAACCACAGCTGCTGCCCCTGTGCACTGCTCCCCTAACCTCTGCTTACCACTGCCATTTTAATGCACTGCGCATATGTGCTTAGATATCAAAGTAGTCACTGAACAAAAAGGGAAACAGGAGTGAATTGAGGCTGTGTGGAACTCCCTGTGTGGTAACCTCTTTCAATAAAGATGGGACTGAGGTAATGGGAGTTTTTTAAAATTTAGACATTCCCTGTCAGTAACACTTGAGAGATCTGATATTATCTGTATGTGGTAGTGTTTTCTTGTAACTAGCATCAATGAATTTTAATAATGTGAAGGGAAAATTTGTGACCACTTCTTTCTTAGCCAGAGAATCAAAGCAATGATGAGGTGCTTTGTAAACAAATCTGGAATTTTATTTAAACACACTCAATGAAGGTTATAGCTCTATGGTTACTCTGATAAAGCATAATACTTGGTTTCAGTCAAAAACTCTGTAGAGTTTTGTTGTTCAGCACCTAACACAGCTTTTCCCAGTCCTCTGCCCTCCCATCATCCCAAAATATTGACCATGCTGGCTGAGGCTGACAGGAGTTGGAGCCCAAAACTGGCTGAAGAAGGCTGATTTACCTTGTGAGTTTCCATGTTGTGCAGAACTCTTCTTCAATCTACATATCCGGGGAGGAAATAAGCATTTGAGACCAGCTTGTTACAAATTTACAAAATACCATGCCTACCTAGAGTAACAGCAACAGTGCACTCCCTTTCCTTTCCAAGAGCACAATCAAGGGATTATGTTAATGATAATTTTGCCTCTGTTCTTAACTTCCACAATGCTTCCCCCACCCACCCCAGCATGAAAGAGCTCTTCTATTTAACACACATAACATATGCAAATACACTGCTAAGTATTAACGTCTTTAACTAAGGTAAATGCATTAGCAAGAACATGCTGACAGTGTTACAATTAACGACCCAGTGCATTAGCATGTGATATTAACATAATGATATTAATTGCAATATTAGGCCTGCTGAAGAACAATCAGTTCAGTGCCCCTGAAAATCCTGAAGCAGCAACTTTATTCATAACATTAAGGGTGCAGTGACAGCTATGATCTTCAAGTAACTACAAACTTTCCAGTTATTGGAGAGGTTCAAGGGTGGGCTACTGTTTGCGTCACTATGAAAGGTTTTTGTGTCCTATCCTCAACTGTTTTCATGTTATGTACAGTATAATCTGAAAAGAGGAGTTGGTATAAAATTTGCCTGGTTGACCTACACAAAAGCTGTAAAGTCAAGTCTTCTTTGGCTCCTACTTACCGGTTTCAACCTGCAGTTTATAAGCTCCAAACTGCACCTAAATATGGAAAGACAAAAGTTTGAATCTTGCTGGTGACTTTAGCAATATCCTGTTTCATTTCTGTTTGTTCTGATTTCTGTAATTCAAATAGATAGGAGAGGTTAGCGGTTTGAGCAGGCCTAGCTCTACCATTAGGCAGAATGAGGCTGTGTACACACCGTAAATTTAAAGCACCCCCCCCAGACTCATGGGAACTGTAGTTTACACACCACAGAACTATAATTCCCAACACACTTAACAAACTGCAGTTCCCATGAGCTGGTTCAAGGGCCGACACCAAACACACTATATCAATGCATCCCCCTTCCCCTGTTAGATACATGTACATATCTTTCTTGTTTGTCCATTAGGAATTATAGGGTTAATCTGAAAATCTCACAAATACCCTCAGGCTCAGATATCAAGATTGGGAGGAAAACTCCACTGCTTGTGTGAATAATCTTGTCTAAGGGTGGGAAAATTAAAAAGCTCCAAACTTCCTTGAGCCTGTAACCCGAGGGGAAGAGGATGCCCTAACCATAACACGCATTACTATTTCATTGATGGCAATGAATTGTAGCAGAAGGAATTGATAAATGCTGATGGAAAACTTTGGAAACTGCAAGTGTATTTTGCATGCAATAAATGACAGCTTCAAATATAGGGTTGCACACCACCACAATCTCTGAATGGTGCAAAATTCCAGGGGTTGCAGGTCTTTCCCAGGTTTTGTGTTTCCTTTTGGAAATGAGGCACAGTGGAGACTGCAGTGTCCTTATATTGTTTATTTATGCATATATACAACCTGAGCCTGCAATGGAGGGATTCACAGCATTAACACTCCAAAAGGGTATTGTTTCTTTCATAGCGACAGCCTTGCATTCAAACAGAAATCAAACATTGTTCTCGTTGCTCTGATTCTCCCTCCAGCTTGCTGCTTTTCTTCTAGTTCACATCACTGCAACTCAGTTCTAAACACTGGCTTTTCCTTCCAACTAACTGAGAGCTGGCCCATCACCCAGGCTATCACCTCAACACAGGAACCTAGCCTGGCTTATTTTTTTTAACAGTTGCTGGAACCAGGGGTTAGAAGGGTCCCACACAGAGCCCACCTTTGCCCCACCCTACCCAACTCATAACAAGATATACTTACCAATCATAAGCCTGTGGGGGATTTTATGCATGGACTAGGGACATGTCCAAAGTATGTTAAAGGTGTTAAAAGGTGACCAAAGAAAGGACACATTTTTTGCCCGTGTTTGTATGCTTAGTAGAGAAAAGCACACATATGTTGAAAAGTGATGGTTTTGTGCCATGGCAAATCCACAGCAAAAGCTGTTTGCTTGTCAAGGCTTTCACCAGTATACTGAGGTTCTTTTCTGAGAGTAAATAAATTCTGAGCCAATTTATGTTGTCAGGGGTACCATCTGCAGAGAGAGTGAAGAGAGAGTTTAGGGAATGAAACGGAAAGGTCTATAATCTCCGTTCTGTCCCCTTTCATTCTGACTTTCCAGTTGACATGGGGAACCCAGGTGGAAAGATTCACTCAGCATGTCAGGGAGGGAAAAACCATAATTGATTATTCCTATTAAGGAAACTGCTTTCCCAAATGCATTTAGATTGCACAGGTTCATTCTTAAAATGAATTATGCACTCCACTGCCTTAGGAAAAATAAAAAGTTCTGTGCAAGACATATTTCTCTGCTGCAGTAATTATGATGAGTGTAGTGCTAGATTAATTAGAAAATGAATGATGAGGGGAGAATTATGATCAAAGAAATCCGGATCTAAGGATTTGCTTTAAATGTTGTGTAATCCATGGAATATCATGCCTTGTATTTCTTGAAACATCAAACGAGAAGGGGTTTCATAGTCATCTAGAGAAAAGAATGACTGGAGACTGACAGGTAGCACAACGCAAAAAAGCTCAAATAGTATTTTATCTCAGCTTGGTGTCCTAACAACAAATGGATTCTCTGGACACCAATCCCTTGTCAGTGAATGTCAGCACCGGAAGAGTGGTCTTGATGCCTCGTATTGGTTACACTATAATTGCAATTATCATGGCAATATCTTGCACTTTATCAGTAATTCTGAATACAACTGTTATTGCAGTAACTATTAAGTACAGACAGCTTCGTCAGCCAATTAACTATTCCCTGGTCAATTTAGCCATAGCAGACCTTGGAGCAGCCTTGTTGGGAGGAACTCTGAATGTAGAAACAAATGCTGTTGGGTATTACAACCTGGGTAGAGTTGGCTGTGTCACCGAAGGCTTTTCTATGGCATTTTTTGGTGAGTACTTGTCTAAAACTGATTTGTTGTATCATAAGTTAGAAAGGAGCCAGACGCTAAAATGTTTAAAGTTAGCACAAGCAACTAAATTGTCTTTGCATGATAGGAAGAGCAACAGAGTTCTGTAAGACTCCTAGCTGTGCTAGCATTTCAACAATGCTGGTCTCTTATTTATCTTTCTCCCTATTGCAGCAAATATGCTTACAGTTTTAATATGTGTGTGTTTTAATATCATGCATTTTTTTTATCATGATCTTTTTAGCAGGTAGAGTTATGGCTTAAAAATAAAATTACATTTCTCTTAGTTTTGCATGGGTGCAAATCAGGGGGCGGAAATGGAGCAATTTGGACCTTTGTCTCTGACTTTGCTATCAGTAATGCAGTTAGGTAATTTTAAATAGTCTTTGGTGATAATGTCACTTCCAAATGTGCTGCATTTGGGAGCCCTCCTGCTGATTCTCCTGTGGGGGTGCCCTGAACCTCTGCCCCAAAAAATTGCCTCTGTTTGCTATTCAATCAGTTGGCATTTAACTGTAGGGAGTTAAATAAGCCTCCATTGCTTCTCTCTGTGCACCACCTGTCAAATAGAAATAGCTTTTGTCTTTACAGTATGTACCATGTGTATGGCAATTATTTTACAAACCATTTATTATGGAATAGTCTTGGAGTATTAACAACCTAGCGCTAGTGCTGCAGAAAAGGGGAGGGTTGTTGCTCCTTACTTTTCACTATGTGCTGCAGCAGCTGTAGGGCTGTGGATGTGTTGGCAAGTGCAACTCTTCAAGCCACCTCTGCTTCAGGATTGCTTTGCCTGTAGGTTTGTTTCCTCCTGTGTCCTCACTTCTCCTTTAAACAAGCCCTGTCTTCCCTCCATCTTTTAAAAATAACAACACTTAGAAATTATGCAGCGTTTCCCCTAAAAGCTCAAAGTCCTTTGCATACTGTCTTTCAGTACATTTTAAATGTGCTGAAGATAAAGACGATATATGATGAATTAGTTAAGGAATAAAAAACTCATAAAGTTTTATTTTTTTAAAATTATAACAGCCCTGTAAATCATGTCACATATTATTATCCAGAGGCGTAGGAAGGGAGGGCAGGGGGAGGACCGCCCTGGGTGTTATACCTGAGGGGGGGTGACATTCGGCGCGCCACCCACCTGCAACTCCCAAGCCTACCCCAAGCCGTTGGGGGAAGGGGGGAGCTGCGCCACTTCGCCTTCATTTTGACAGCTCGGGGGAGGCTTGGGAGTTGCGGGCAGGCGACGCGCTTAATGTCACCCCCCGGTGCGCCACCCGCCTGCAACTCCCAAGACGCCGAGCCGCCGATGGGTTGACAAAAAAAATTCCGCACCAGGTACCACCTGACCTTGCTAGGTAAAGGTAAAGGGACCCCTGACCATTAGGTCCAGTCGTGACCGACTCTGGGGTTGTGGCGCTCATCTCGCTTTATTGGCTTCTGGGTCATGTGGCCAGCACAACTAAGCCACTTCTGGTGAACCAGAGCATCGCACGGAAACGCCGTTTACCTTCCCGCCGGAGCAGTACCTATTTATCTTTTTTTTTTAATAAGATATTTATTAAGATTTTTTTAAATATTACAATAAAAAATGAAAAAGAAAAAGAAAATACAAAATAAAAATGATTAAAAACCACTCAATTTTTCCATTGCTTATTTTTCCTTAGCTTGTTTCCCGGACCTCCTCATAACTCCCTTTTGTGTATGTAAGTTCAGTTTGTTGGTTCAGCAAATCCTTACCCTCTTTATTTGTCCTAATCTTTGGTCTTAAAAGAGTAACGTTAGATTTTTACCTCTTAACAATCCATTTTTCATATTCCCTTAAAGCATTACAGCTGGAAACCACTTAATTTCTATCCAACATCGTTCTAACATTCATTAATTTTACAATATTTCTGTAGATAATCTTTGAACTTCTTCCAATCTTCTTCCACCGACTCTTCTCCCTGGTCTCAGATTCTGCCAGTCATTTCTGCCAGTTCCATATAGTCCATCAACTTCATCTGCCATTCTTCCAGAGTGGGTAGATCTTGTGTCTTCCAATACTTTGCAATGAGTATTCTTGCTGCTGTTGTGGCATACATGAAAAAAGTTCTATCCTTCTTTGGCACCAATTGACCGACTATGCCTAGGAGAAAGGCCTCTGGTTTTTTCAAGAAGGTATATTTAAATACCTTTTTCAGTTCATTGTATATCATTTCCCAGAAAGCCTTAATCCTTGGGCACGTCCACCAAAGGTGAAAGAATGTACCTTCAGTTTCTTTACATTTCCAACATTTGTTATTGGGCAAATGATAAATTTTTGCAAGCTTGACTGGGGTCATGTACCACCTGTATATCATTTTCATAATATTCTCTCTTAAGGCATTACATGCCGTAAACTTCATACCTGTGGTCCATAACTGTTCCCAGTCAGCCATCATTATGTTATGTCCAACATCTTGTGCCCATTTAATCATAGCAGATTTCACCATTTCATCCTGAGTATTCCATTTCAACAGCAAGTTATACATCTTTGACAAAATCTTAGTTTTGGGTTCTAATAGTTCTGTTTCTAATTTTGATTTTTCCACCTGGAAGCCAATTTTCTTATCCAACTTATATGCCTCCATTATCTGATAATAATGAAGCCAATCTCGCACTTTGTTTTTTAATTTCTCAAAACTCTGCAATTTCAGTCTATCTCCGTCTTGTTCCAAAATTTCCCAATATTTCGGCCATTTGGCCTCCATATTGAGCTTTTTCAGAGCTTTTGCTTCCATCGGTGACAGCCACCTTGGAGTTTTATTTTCCAATAAGTCCTTGTATCTTATCCAGACATTAAACAATGCTTTCCTGACAATGTGATTTTTAAATGCTTTATGTGCTTTGACCTTATCATACCACAGATATGCATGCCATCCAAATACATTGTTGAACCCTTCTAGATCCAAAATGTCAGTGTTTTCAAGAAGCAACCATTCTTTCAACCAGCAAAAAGCTGCTGATTCATAGTAAAGTTTAAAGTCTGGCAGGGCAAATCCACCTCGTTCCTTTGCATCTGTTAATATTTTAAATTTTATTCTAGGCTTCTTGCCCTGCCAGACAAATTTAGAAATATCTCTCTGCCACCTCTTGAAACAGTCCATTTTGTCCACAATTTGCAGTGTTTGAAACAAAAACAACATTCTAGGCAATACATTCATTTTTACCGCAGCAATACGGCCCAGCAGTGAAAGCTTCAAATTTGACCAAATTTCTAAATCTTTTTCACTTCAGCCCAGCATTTTTCATAGTTGTCTTTAAATAAATTCCCATTTTTGCTGTCATGTTAATCCCCAAGTATTTAACTTTCTTAACCACTGTTAAACCTGTCTCATTCTGAAACCTCTCTCTCTCCATTGGTGTTAAATTTTTCTCTAAAACCTTGGTCTTTAACTTATTCAACTTAAATCCTGCAACTTGACCAAATTCTTGAATCAGTTCTAAAACTCTTTTGGTACTAGATTCTGGCTCCTGTAACGTCAATACTAAGTCATCTGCAAATGCTCTCAATTTGTACTGTTTGGCTCCGACCTGTATACCTTTAACCAACCGGTCCCTTCTAATCATGTTCAGCAGAACCTCCAGGACCGATATAAAAAGCAATGGGGAAATTGGGCAACCTTGTCTTGTCCCTTTTTCTATCCTAAATTCTTCCGTCACCACATTATTTACAATTAGTTTAGCCTTTTGTTCTGAATAAATTGCACTTATACCGTTTTCAAAACCTTGGCCTACCCCCATCCCCTGTAGGTTCTTCTTCATAAAACTCCAAGAGATATTGTCAAAAGCTTTCTCCGCGTCCACAAATATCAAAACTGCTTTAGTATTTATGTTCACTTCTAGTTTTTCCAAAATATCAATTATATTCCTCAAATTATCGGACAAGTGTCTTCCCGGGAGAAAGCCCGCTTGGTCTTTATGAATCTCTTCCATCAATACTTTTTCAATCTCTTGGCCAAAATGTCTGCAAAAATTTTGTAATCCACATTAAGTAACGATATGGGGCGGTAGTTCTTAAGCTGAGTCTTTTCAGTCTCTGTCTTCGGTATAAGTGTAATGTACGCCTCTTTCCAAGACTCTGGTGCCCTTTTCCCTTCCAATATTTCATTGCAGACTTCCTTTAAAGGTTGTAATAACCACTCTTTCAAAGATCTATAATATCTAGAAGTCAGCCCATCCGGTCCTGGAGATTTGCCTAATTGCATGTTTTGAATGGCACCTTCTACTTCCTGTTCAGATATTTTATAGTTCAACATTAATTTACTTTCTTGGGATATTTTTGTAATCCATTTGTCTTCAGAAATTGGTCTATATCCATTTCTTTCTGTGGCCCTTGTGTATATAGTTGTTTAAAATACCTCTGGAAACAGTTTCTAATCTCAGTTGGGTTATGTATATTCTTTCCTTCCACTTCTAAATTTGTAATAGTATTTAATTTTTGTCTTTTTTCATTTGCCAGGCCAGCAATTTCCCACATTTGTTAGCTGATTCAAATGTTTTTGTCTCATTTGTTTAATTTTCCATTCTATTTCCTGATTCATCATTTCCATATATTGTACTTGATATAACTTTATTTCTCTCAAAATCTCCTGCGACTTTGGTTTTGCTCTCAATTTCTTTTCACTTTCTTTTATTTTCCCCAAAATTTTATCTTTCTTCTCATTTTGACTTCTCTTCTTTATTGCATTCTGTTGTATCAGAAACCCTCTCATGACAGCTTTACTTGCGTCCCAGATTACTCTTTTTTCTACATTAGTATTCATATTTATTTCAAAATAGTCTCTCAAGGTTTTTGGGCCTTTTTATACACTTCTTCATCTCTAAATAGGGTGTCATTCATCCTCCATCTGAAGGAGCCAGTTGATGTTAGTTTCAACTCCATCCTTACCGCATTATGGTCGGAGCAGGTTTTTGGGCAGATTTCCACTTTCTTTATCTTTGGTGCCATTCCTCTAGTTACCCATATTTGGTCAATTCTAGTCCATGTCATCTTAGCTTCAGAAAAGAAGGTTCCCTCTCTTCCCAAGGGGTTCTTTGTTCTCCAAGTGTCCACTAAGTCAAAATTGTCTGTCATCTCGAAAAATGTTTTCGGTAGTCTACCATCCTTGGTAACTACCTGTCTTTGTGCCTTATCCATGTTTGTAGATACTACTCCATTCATATCCCCCATCAAAATCAAATTGTAATCCAAATAATCCAATAAAGTCTCATGCAACTTTTTAAAAAATTCAGATTCCCCTCATTCGGTGCATAAATTCCTACTATCAAAAATTTCTCTCCTTGAACTTGAATTTCAATTGCCAAAAATCTTCCTTGGTCATCTTTGAAAATAAATTTCGGTGATAGTCTCTCCTTTGCATATATCACAACTCCTCTTTTTTTTACTTTGTCAGATGAGATAAACTCCTGTCCCAATCTCTTATTAATCAGTAGTTTCCTGTGTAACCTTGTTACATGTGTTTCTTGTAGACAAATCAAGTCCAATTGTTCCTTTTATTTATCTACTTGCACTTTGATGTGCTTTCGAACTGCTAGGTTGGCAGGACCTGGGACTGAGCAATGGGAGCTCACTCTGTCGCGGGGATTCAAACCGCCGACCTTCTGATTGGCAAGTTCTAGGCTCTGTGGTTTAACCCACAGCTCCACCCGCTATGCCTCTGTTATTATCCTCATGTTTCATGGGATGGGGGTTTTTGCTGAGGATAAAAATAGAGACCCCTGAGTGAGTCCATTGCTAAGATTTGATCCAGGGACTTCCTGGCTCATACTACATGCACTTAACAATGGCAAAACAAAGCAATGAAACATTCATAATCTAACTTAGGTTTAATTGACAAGACAACAGAATATGCTCAGGAAACATACATGTTCAAGCACACATGTTCACATTTTTACGTTAAATCTTTACTAATCAAGATACTGGCATGTTTTTAAAATGCTGCATTCCTTCTAAAAACATTTTCCTGAGATGAAATGTCATCTACTACACTATCAAAAATTCTATGCCCTTTGCCAAAGAACTCAGCTGAAATAATTGCCAACTTAGAAAGCACATATACTGTTAGTTGTTGCAATACCAAGGGCTATTGCTAAAAAATAAATAAAAAATCAAGGGTTTGTCAACATATAAAAGAGTTTTTTCACAATAGAGAAGCATTTCTTGAGAACAGTTGTGACAGAAATTTGGCTCCAGGCAAGCAAATCAAAAATAGCAGCTTCAGTGTGTTTCAGAAAAGAAATGGGTTTTTATAGTGATGCTCAAAATGTTTTTTTTTTAAAGCTCCTGACATGTGAAAGCATGAGGTGTCACTCTCTTGGATGGAAGTGCAGTGACCCAAACATGGGGAGGGAGTTGTTGTAACAAAGCATTTCTAAAGAGCCTATTTCTTCAGTGAAGATTATGAAATGAAGTTAGCCTTGTAAACTCCCTCTGAAAACAGAGGCATGATTCCCAAGCACTAGGGCTTCAGAATGAGGGCCCACCAAGGAATCTAACTCCCTGTTCTTTCTTAACCTTCTTTCATGGATGCACTGTGTACCAGCAAACCCCCAGAGGGCCAGGCTCTCAAATGATGGCTAATAATAAGAATAATAATTTATTTATATGCCACCCATCTGCCTGGGTTACAAAGTGCAAAGGCTGGCAACCTTTTTCTGTTAAGGGTCACATTCCCGCGGTAGGTGGAGCCAGAATCTTTGATGAGCACAGCAAGAGACAAACGTGTCCTGGATTAACCTATAGAGATCACCATTCTCCGGTTTTCACCATGGCTCTCTCATATTAGAATTGCCAATCCTATGCAGGTCTTTTCAGGTGTAAGCTCCTCCAAGTTTTCTGGTGGTATGGTTTGGTTGTTTTTTTCAGTTAAAGCACATGTAACACATGTAAAACTAATATAGCTACTATTCAAGAAAGCCAGAGAAGGAAATTCATTTCCTCTACATACACACACACACAGAGAGAGAGAGAGACAGAGAGAGAGACAGAGAGAGCGCGCGCAGAAATCTATCAATTTGCTCTTTCCCACCAAGCCATACAACCAGATTTACTTATTTATTAAAAATCAATTAAATAAAACATTTCCCCTTCCAATTGTTCAGAAACTACTTTGAAACGAAGGGGGAGGACCACTTTTAAAAACAAGGACAAAACTAGAGGGGGGGAAAGGGGGCAAGCCAGGAGAAATATAACAGGAAGGAACTCTAGTGGAATGGAAGAATGGGGCACCATCCAAGAATGAAGTTAGGGGCTTCACAGGATTGCCCACGTAAAGTCCAAGCCACTTCAACTGCATTCCCAAGCCACCAATGAGGTTCCATGCTGTTCCCAGGCCCTTTTGTATTGCTATTTTTAAAAGCTAAGCAGCAATTGAAGCTTCAGCTGTCCACCATAAATGGCATAATATTATAACATCAAGAATAGTTTCTCCCCATATAGTTCAGTAATGCTGCTACATTTGTTAATAGCTCTTGGTGTGCCCAAAATGCTTTGGGTGATACATACCAAGTTTCTCTTTTGCCCGAGAATGCAAACTGAACAACCCTCACTTCCAAACCACTATTATGCACACATACAGAATGGGAGAGGAGGCGAGAACCGTAGAAGCCAAACTACTTATTTATATAATGTTCCACAAAAGGCCCTTATATACTGTCCTCATATACTGTCCTCATACAGTGGTACCTCGGGTTAAGTACTTAATTCGTTTCAGAGGTCCGTTCTTAACCTGAAGCACCACTTTTGCTAATGGGACCACCTCCTGCTGCTGCGCCGCTGGAGCCCGATTTCTGTTCTCATCCTGAAGCAAAGTTCTTAACCTGAAGCACTATTTCTGGGTTAGCAGAGTCTGTAACTTGAAGCATATGTAACCTGAAGCATATGTAACCTGAGGTACCACTGTATTAAAATCAGACATGTTGTCCTTCCCTCTCTTGTACTAAGGTGTCATTTACATTAGGGGTATATTGATCCCTGTGAAGCTTTCTAAAATCACCCCCCCCCTCCACCACATAAAAAAGATTAATAATACAAGGTTGTCTCTGCAAATAGAAATGTGCAACTGACCCTAGTGGGCATCATTTGCACTTCTGCAGTGTCGATCCTAGACAACTCCCCCCCCCCCATTTCATTTATTGCATTTATGTATATCCCACTGTTTCTCCCAAGGAGCTCAAAGTGGCGTACATTGTTTCCCCCATCCCCAGTTAATCCTCACAACGGGTAGATTAGACTAAGAGGCAGTGACTGGTCCAAAGTCCCCCAGTGAGCTTCATGGCTGAGTGGGGGGTATGAACCTTGGTCTCCCACGTTTTAGTCCAACACTCTCACCACTGCACCACATTGGATTTCAGTACAACACATTCTCTGTAGGGCTGTTCTTGACAACTATTAAAAGTCAGAGTGCTTTTCATCATATACTTTATTTTGAGTTTATTTCTAGGAGCTGGTTTGACAGAAAGCCCTATATTGCTTAGGCCAAGTGTATTATTCTTGACTATACCATCTGTCTTTGTGCCCGGTTTATACCAGTGTAGTGTTGTGTAGCATTGAGTTTGGAGTGGACAAGGTCATTGGGTGACTTGGGCCAGTCACAGTGGCCTACTTTACATTGTGGTAGTAAATCTGTGTTTAGGCCAGGTTTCCTCAACCTCGGCCCTCCAGATGTTTTGAGACTACAATTCCCATCATCCCTGACCACTGGTCCTGCTAGCTAGGGATCATGGGAGTTTTAAGCCAAAAACATATGGAGGGCCGCAGTTGAGGAAGCCTGGTTTAGGCTATGCCACTTTACATGGCTGGCGTTCTCCCAGATTCCGACACTGCCAGGGCTGAGCTGTATGCAGCTGTCAGAGCACAGGAATAGGATTGCCAGGATTGTGCAAAGGAGTCGGAGCGGGGAGCCCAAGCTAGGAGCCCAAGCCAAAGAACTCTTCCAGATGCCTCATAGCTACGAAATCCATTGTTGCTCAGGCAGACAACCAGCTTAAACAGAAAATTCTTCTACACAGCTTCCTTTGTAGGAGTGCCCAATGGCCGGTTTGGGTAGATGAGACCAGTCTAAAGGCTTGAGAATATTTCATTGTTAGGAAGCTGCCCTAAACTGTAGTTCTTGCAGGGTGTCACACAGGGTAGCTGTACAGAGAAACAAAGTTATAACCATGGCTTCTCCATTTTGGGGCTGTATATTTTCAGCAGGGAGCCAGTTCTTATCCAAGCATTCAGGATGTAGAGCCCTGATCTTCCTGGTTTTGCATGGGGAGCCAATCTGAGTACAGCAGACCCCTGCTGCAGTCCCAAACACTGGGATGGAGGAGGTTGCAGAAAACTTGGGGGGTGGAGAGAGACTAATAGGGTCATTCCTTCTCCCCCTCTGCTGCAATGATATTTAAGGGGTGGGAGTGGGGAGAGAATGAGTGAATGGGGTTTCAATATAAAACAGGCATATAGGCTGCCTGCAAACTGCCTATTTAGAGGGACCCAGCTCACTTTTAAATCCATACAGCATTTTATGTACATTACAACAAAACTACTTTTTTTCTCATCTATCCCCCACAATGCACATTTCCTTTTTATATGCACCCGGCATCCTTTCTTTAAAAAATCAATCTTCATTGCCATTTCTAAGCTTGCCACACTGTCTATGATGCAGTAATTAAAACGTGGCTCAGTATTCATGGGATGGCTTAACAAGACATTTTATAATCTCATCAGTTCTTTTACTTGCATCCCATTGTTCAGCCTAGGAGCTCAACTTCATATGGACTGTCCTTAGAGAACTCTAATTTTTATAGCACTTACTGGTGAATGAAAATTGCACTGTTTTCAACACTTTTCTTCCTGGTGCATTAAGAGATGACAGTTGAACTGAGATGAAGTATCAATAAGAAATTACACTTTACTAGCTGCAGTTATTTGCTTGGAATACAAAGCTTTATATCTGACTAAGGAGTGAAGCCAGTATTTATCAATAAAATAAAAGTGGGCAAATAAAAACACTGAATGCAGCACAATTACAAATCTCTGAGGATAGTTTCCTAAAGCTGGCATCTTGATAGGAACAATCCTAAAGTGCATGTAGCCTGTTTCACTCTGGCTAGCCAGATTTTCCCAGGAAGGTCAATAGCCAAACATGAAGGCAACAGCTCTGCTCTGATGTTTCTCCACTCCCTACCCCAGGAACTAGCATTTACTGGCCCATAGATGAGCCATCTTTAACAGTGTGAGGAAAATGTGCACTCTCCCATCTCTTCCTCTAGGAGGAGGAGTACCATATTTTGTTCAACCACAACTTGCTGTGTTATTTCAGCAGTGGAGGCTCGTTATTTAGGGTGAATGGATCACTGTCCCAAAAACCTCAGTCTGCCCTCAATCAGGCCCCACCTCCCTGTCTTCTTTCTTACACCAGGTTCCACTTACAAATTGATGCTCAATAAACAGGTGGTCTAGAAGTGACCACCATATTCCAATGTGAAGGTTCTTCATAACTCTGGGCAGGCATGCTTCCTGAATGAGCTTAGACCTTTCTGCTCAAGATGGAAAAGTCAGGGTGAAGGGGGCATGCGTGCACTCATTTAGTGAATGAAGCTGATATTATATACGAGTCTGCTTTAAAAGCAGGGGTGGGGAACTGGGTCCATCCAGAAGGCCAGATCCTTATCTCACCCACTCCATGCAGGCCAAGTTTGACAGATGTGGAGCTGGTCTTCTAAAATCAAAATGATGTTGGGTGACCTGTATCTCACCCCCACCCCATGGTATGAAATCAAACTGTACAAAAGCAAAGGCAAAACACCATGCACAGTGATCTAACCAGTGGCTCTCTTCAAATATTCTGTTGTGTGTTGCATGAATGATGATGATGATGATGATGATGTTCTGAATGAAGTGGCAAGCTATTAAAGCAAGTGATACCAAGTTCTACTCTTATGGGTGAGGGATAAAAGTTTTTCTCTTCCACTTTTTCCACACTATACAGAATTTTATAAACTTCCTTCATGTTCAAACTTAGCCTACCTCTTCTCTACACTAACAGAGCTCAAAATGTTTTAACCTTGCAGCGTTGAGAGTTTTCTGCTCCTTTTCTTGCTCTAGAACCTCCTTCTTCAGGTAGAGTGTTAGAACTGTACGCAGTATTCCAATGGGGTGGTACCATACATTTTTATATGGCAATATTCAACTCCTTTCCTAATAATCCTTCACACAGAATTTGACTTGTTCAGTGTTAATTTGTAATATGACAAATGACCAGACCCAATGGCTTTTAACGGATAGTTCTAGAATGTCATATTTTAAATTACTATAAAATTTTAAAACTGCTATAATTGTTTACCACCAGTATGCTCTTTGGAAAAATTGTTTTGGCCGTATTGCTAATTTATATTTGTTTTGCCAGAGTTTATACTACTTTTAGTTCTTCTCGTTTTGGCAAAACTTTCTCTTTTACAGATGCCCTTTTTGCATTTTATAGTTTTCTGGACTCTGCTTGTTAAGCATACTTGTATCTTATTGGAATTAATACTACCTTTCTAAATTTGCTATATACATTTTATCTCTGTGTCTATATTAATGATTTTTAAATAACTACCAAGCTTGCTGAAGAAATCTAACTTCCCTGGCTCTCTCTTTTAACTAATCCACTTAACTTTGGAAGTGGGGCAACTCAGTTTAAAATTAAATGTGACCAAGCTGAATTTCCTGAATGTTGCATATATTAGCACTTGGTCTGTTTCTGAGTTCTGGTAACCCCTAAGTTAAATTACTTCAACATGCTATGCATGGGACTGCCTTTAAAGACAGCAGAATTCAGTGGCCAGGTTGTAACACCAATCCTGGCCCTATTCTACTGTCTGCCAACTAGTTTCTGGGCCCAATTCAAAGTGCTGATAAAGCCTTAAATAGCTCAGGCCCGCAATACGTCAAGGACTAACACGGACCCTACAATCATCATCTGAGGCCCTTCTTCATGTGCCCCCTCCACAAGAGGAATGTGGAATGGGCGTGGAATGCTTTGTGTGGAATGCTCTCCCCAGGGTGGCTTGCCTGGTGCCATTATTATACATCTTTAGATGGCAGCCAAAAACATCCCTCTATAACCAGGCCTTTGTCCCTTTTCTATGGCCTTTTAGAAGTGAGAGCGGTTGGGAGATGTTTTCAATGTATTTTCTCCCTGGTTTTAATATACCTATGTGGCTTTTGTTTGCTTGCTTGCAAATTGCTTTGGGTTACCTTGGGCGAGATAAAGCAACGGACAAGTTTAATAAATAAGAAGTAGAAGAATCAGGGGATGATATTGGAGTGTGGAACCTGTGACCTTCCAAATGTCGCTTGACCCCAAACTCCCACTAGCACAAGTCAATGGCCAATGGTCAGGGGATGATTGGAGCTGTGGTACAACAGCACTTGGAGGGCCACACAGGTTCCCCATCCCTGATCCAGGAGATACTAGTTGAAAGTAATGTTGTCAAGGGAAGGAAGATTTCCTGTGAAGGATGTAATTCAAAGCTACAGCAGAATGTTGCAAATTCCTCATGCTGGCACCCTAGAAAGGTAAGGATGTGAATGCATCTAGGCTCTTCAGAAATTCAAAAGTACCAGTTGTGATACAGTTTGTGTAATATTCTTAATATTAAAAGGAATGAATAACATATTTTCACTTCAATTGCAGGCATTGTGGCTTTATGCACCATAGCAGTGATAGCTATAGACCGTGCGATTGTGATCGGCAAGCCTATGGGAACACTTACTTTTACCACCAGGAAAGCCATGATTGGAGTTGCTGCGTCCTGGGTCTGGTCTCTCGTTTGGAACACTCCCCCTCTTTTTGGTTGGGGAGGATACCAGATGGAAGGCGTCATGACCTCCTGTGCTCCAGACTGGTACAACAGTGACCCTATTAATGTTTCCTATATTGTCTGCTACTTTCTATTCTGCTTCACAATTCCGTTCGCTGCCATCTTGGTTTCCTATGGATATCTACTATGGACTCTGCGCCAGGTAGTGCTGCATTTCATATTATGTTTTGCTTAATTTGCTGACCTTAAAAGTGTTTTAGCACCATTAAAAAAATTTCCAGAATTAAAATGTACTGACTCATTCAAAAGACAATCTGGCCCAAGGGCTTGAGCTACATTTTATTTTACTTTTTACTGGTAAACATCGGCCACTTTATGTTACATACTGTCATCATTCAAGGAATCAGACCACATGGAATCTGAATTTAGGCAAATGTTAAACTGGTGTGCTTAGGCTTCACTAAGCATGGGTGCTCATATCTTACATATTTTCCGTACCAAACCATAATTTCATTAACAATTTATCTGTGATTCAGATTCACACATAGCATTGGGGCTGCTTTTGCCACTCACAAGAGCTGTGTGCGCACACACATTAATGTGTGCAATATAAGATAATGTTAGGTGCTCCTAGATCCATCACTGTCACTGGAAACAGAGGTGTCCTCTAGTGTTCATGCATTGGCAACCTCAAATGTGTATTACTGCAATGTGCTCTATGTGGAGCTATCCTTGCAGCTGGTGCATAATGTGGTAGTTGGGTTGCTTGTGGTGGCAAACCAGTGGCAACATATTACAACACCTTGTTTGTGGGATTTGCTCTGGGCTGCCAGTTTGCTACTGAAGCAAGCAAAGATTTGCTGAACAGAAACCCACACCACAGGTTAGCAAGGGAACTGGCTATGAGACAAAGGACTGCATTGCATTTGGAAGGTATTTTCAGTGCTAGTTCAAATTTTCAAAAGGTCGTAGGTTCAGTCTTCTGTGGCTTCAAGTAGGATGGGGAAAGGTTCCTGCCTGAAACCCTGGAGAGTCACTGCCAGTCCGTGTTGGCACTCCTCAGCTAGATGGAACAATGGTCTGACTTGGTATAAGGCAGCTTCTCACATTCCTGGCTTTGAAAAGTGTTTACAATTTGTTTTAAATTCACCCTCTTAACTAAACTCCAAAACAGATATTTCCCCTCACATTTATCAAGCAAACCTTCTGTGTATAACATATGAAGCACTTCTTTAAAGTCTGCTCAGATGAAAAAACAAAAACAGGCTTACAAGGAATTTATCTGTCCATCACATGGCCACTTTCTGTGTAGTAATGGAGTTTGGTCCGTGCCTTTACTGCTTTCCTCGCTGCCACATTAGAGCTTTCAGGTCCAGACCCTGTAGCATTCCTGTACTGTATCTTGGCAAATTGCATTTCCTCTGGCGTGCCTTTTTCCATCGTATGCTATGTTTAAGGGAGAACTTTGGTCACTCTGGATTTCTCATTTCTTCCCTACCTCCTTATTTTCACTGCGCTTTCCAATCTTTGGCCTCCCAACCTTGTACTCACAGCTCCTCCTTTTCCCAGTTTTTGCAGCCAAATGTCTTTTATGTGAACTCGTAAGACTACACAGCTACAAACATTTTGAGGCAGACAGACTGAATCAAGGGTATCCAATGTGCTACCCTCTAGATGCTGATGGACTTCAGCTCCTATCAGTCCCTGCCAGCTTGGCCAACAGTCAGAAATGATGGGAGTTGTAGTCTATAATGGCTGGAGGGGACCACATTAACTATTCCTGTTCTAAGACATCCTATCAGCTTAGACCATGGATGCCATTGTCACCTTTACATGTCAGATTGCCAGTATCCATACACTTGCTTCTGCATCCCTCAAGACCTGTTCAGACTGGATATTTGCAAATTAGCAGATTATTACAAAAGCCTCCTGTTCTCTTTCCCAAAATAAACTTGCACTGTAAAGGCTGACCTGAACTTCCTGCTGGCATGCAGAATAAAACATTCTTAAGCACTTCCACATGAACTGTCATCCTATTATTTTATGTGCAATGAAATGTAATTACACTGATGTATGTCCTATTTTTGATAGGTATTGAATGTGCTATTTTTAACTAGGTTGCTAAAGTTGGAGTAGCTCAACAAGGCTCAACAACGAAAGCGGAAGCTCAAGTGTCACGGATGGTGATAGTCATGGTGATGGCATTCTTGATCTGCTGGCTTCCTTACGCAACTTTTGCCCTGGTAGTTGTGGGTAATCCTCAAATCTACATTAATCCTATTATAGCCACCATTCCTATGTACCTGGCGAAAAGCAGCACGTTCTATAATCCAATCATCTACATTTTTATGAACAAGCAGGTGAGTTTAAACTCAATATGATCTGTGGAGCATGAAAATCAAAGTATAAATATTGTATAGACTCAGCATCCATTGGGAGTCTTTAAAAAAAAAAATCCACCCCCCTGCGAATTTTACTTCCAAATCCCTCTGCTCCCTCTTCTGAACTACACTGCAAAACAAAATCCGCTACCCTGATCTTAACCCCCACCCTGCATGATATGTAGAGTATACTATACCACAAATCATCTATTTGCAGGTCTGGACTTTCCCAAGTAAATAAAATTGCTTACATTGCTTTTATATCTATTCAGGCATGCCAGCTTTCCTAGCAGGCTCACAGGGATGGTACACATTGCAAAAAGGGAAATGTTCTCTAACCAAGAATTTTGTATGTGCTTGACCTGCTTTTTAGGTTGCACAACAGATCAAATACACGTTGCTGTCTGTTCACTAGTCAGGAAGTAAATCGAGCAATACAAAACATTATTGTGCACAAAGAATATAGCATAATGCTCTGGTGGGTTTGTCCCAGGATTGCCTTAAAGCTGCCTGCTGTATGTGCAGAATTATTTTCTATGCTGCCACCTTGTGGCTAAATGAATTCTTATTATAATGATTTATCAAGGATTCATTTTCTGCTTTCTTCATGCACTTGTTTCAGTAACAATTATATTAACATTCAGGATTTTTTGCCCAGTTACACAAAATAAGATCCTAATCTATTATAGCATTAAAAAATGCCTTTGAAACTTTCATCAGTGCATAAAAATAGTATGAACTGCTTAATGTGCTGATATTAATAAATAAAAAACTCAACAGAGCTAGGAAGCACTAAGCCCATTGAATACAATGGTCTTAAGCATGCCTAACTCTGCTGGATTTAGACTTAAATATCATTTTAATAGTAAATGAGTCTTTTGACATACAGACATACATACATACGTACTTAAAGAAGATAAATACTTATTGCTTAGAAATTTATGTCATAGCATACATAATAATATGTTGTCTTTAGAGCAGTGGTCATTTTGGGGATCATTGACTCCTTTGAGAATCTGATGAAAGCTATGGAACCCCCTCACTAGAAAAATGCATATAAATATAGGCACAAAATTTTGCATACAATTTGTTTTATGGCATGGGGGGGGGGAGCTTTCTTTTTTGCAGCCATTTAATGGACCCCTATGAAGCCACAGGTGGAAAAAACCCTACTTTAGAGAAAGAGGGGAAATACCCTATTGTGGCTGTTAATATGCAGGACGAATCTGTTTTCTAAACTGCTGGCATGCAAAAACTATGTGTTAAATCCCAAATCAATTTTGCTTTTTGTTCTGATTTGTTTTTAAAATTTGTGGTTTTCTCTTCCCGCCTCCGCCCCCATAAATCAATTCCCTCTTCTGAACCTTTCCTTCATCCTTTTTGTCTCAATGCCCCCTGTCCTTATCTCAGAGGCAGATTTTGGGCAGCACAACTGTTTCCGCTGCACTGGGCGCTGACCCTCCATGCCTCAGGCTGCTGTTTAAGGCCTAGGAGCAGGACTGGGGATTTCACAGTGGCAACGGTTGTAACATACCAAACATACTGGGCTTTATCCAAGGCTGTGCCAGTGGGGTTCCATTCTCTCTTCTCCCCCCCCCCCCAAAAAAAAATCTGCTTCAGAGGGTTCCCCCCATCCCTCCAGAGCTGATATTTGAGGATGCAAGGGGAGGAGCGGCAGAAAGGAACAGGGAAAGAAGAGGAAATTTAATTATGCACATGGCAGCCCCTTCTACCCGTTGAGCTGCAATGTTGGATACAGTCTTTACGTGTCTCACAGCAGTACACACACACAAATACATATATGTGTGTTGTGTATACGAATGATGTATAATCAAATGTGGCATGAGCCAAAAGTAAATTTGTACTTTTCCTTTCCAGTTCCGCGATTGTCTCGTTAGGTGTCTCCTGTGTGGAAAAAATCCATGTGCTTCCAATCAAGCGGATGAAACTGATCTAGAAGTTTCTACTGTTGCCCCTGCTTCCTCTTCAAGATGCGGCAAAGTTTCTCCACAGTAGAACACAATTCAATATATGTATTTTTATTGACTTACAGTAGAGCACTCGGCATGTTTCCTCAGAAGTAAGTCCCACTAGGTTTAGTGAGGCTTACTCCTCTATATGTGTGTTTTAGCACTGGAGCTTTTGTTATCCTCTTTTTCTTTCTTTTCCATTTATTGTCTAATGCAAAATCTGACAACTCTTTCTTGGCCTTTGAGTCTTTTTGTGAAAGGTGGTTTTATGGTGTATAAAACATCCTGCAAATAATCACTGTGTTTGATAGTGTTGCTCCTAATAGTATTTATTAATATATTTAATATCTCATTTACACTTTAAGGCACCTGAGGTAGCATCCAGCGGTTAAAAATAAAATTGGAAAAAATAACAATAAAATACAAATACAGCATTAAGACTCTACAGCAGTTAAATGTTAAAAAGCAACAATCAAGAACAAACACAAATGAAATGCAAGCATAAATCAAATGCAAATTAGGAATCAAATCAAATGCAAACAGTAAAAGCCCATAGGGCGTGAGAGAAACAATTAATTGAAGTTCAAAAGAATAAAGTTGTTCTAAGTCACTGGTGGAAAACAATGAGAAGGAGCAAGACGATACAGATGGCCACATCCCACTAGCTGGGAATAGACTGCAGCATGTACTGCAATGATTTCAAAAGGTCCTATAAATATCAATTTATCAGCAGTTGTATCTTCTGTCCTCCAGTCCCTGTATACTGGAGAGATAAGAATTTAAGATGAGTCTGCTTGATCAAGCCATTGACCCATCTAGGTCTGCATCGTGTTCTCACAGAGGTCAACCAGATGCCTATGGGAAGCCTTCAAGCTAGACTTGAGCACAACAGCACTCTCCCTTCTTTTTAGTTTTTGAGGCTTAGGGCCATGAAAGTAGGCATGGAAAGTTATGCTTTTGCAGCAGATCCATCTGCTGTTAAAATGATCAGCAACAGATAACAGATGAAATTGTGGGTGGTTTTCTCCTTAAGGTCATGTAGAATTAGGTGCACGTTTTAGATAGATTCACAATACATTTGTAGACAGATCCTATACTCTAACCCTCATCTTTGTGGACTGCAAACCACCACCATTCAGCTTAAGCAGCAATTATGCTTAGAAATAAACTTCTATTGACATGAATGATATCCTTTTTCCTAAGCTTAAATGCTGCATGGGGAGCAGTAACAAGGAACAAAGGATCCACTAGAGGCCACATATGACCTCCAGGCCTGAAGGTCCCCATCTGCACTACAGAGAGGCAACCATTTGAAAACATCAGAAGTATAGTGTCCCAATCAAAGGAATAGTCCCGCTCTAGCCTGCCTTGGTCAAACCACACCTAGAGTACTGTATCCCGTTCTGGGCAATTTAAGGATACTGACAAGCTGGAACGTGTACAGAGAAGCGGGACAAAGATGATCAAGGGTCTGGAAACCAAGCCTTATGAGGAACAGATGAGGGAGTTGAGTATGTTTAGCCTGGAAAAGAGGAGACTGAGAAAATATATGATAGCCATTTTCAAATATCAAAAGATGGAGCAAGCTTGTTTTCTCCTGCTCTGGAGGCTAGGACTTAAACCAAGGGATTAAAGTTACAAGAAAGGAGGTTTCAATTAAACATCAGGAATAACTTTCTGACAGTAAGAGCTGTTTGACAGTGGAACAGACTCCCATGAGAGATTCTCCTTCCCTGGAGAATTTTAAGCAGAGGTTGGATGGCCATCTGTCATGTATTATCTACATGAGATTCCTGCATTAGAAGGGGTTAGACTAGATGTCTCTCAGGGTCCCTTCCTACTCTACCATTCTATGATTCTATGTTAGGACATGTCTGAATCAGCATAGTATTAGGCTTGCAGATCTGCTCCTGGTGTTCAGGCCGCTGAGTACAAAGATCCCTGAGTGATGAACAAGTACTGTGGCAAATGGCGTTTTTTAATTGCCCACGGAACATCCTGGATTCCATCTCCAGGTAGGGCAGAGAAAGAACCCTGCCTTCCTGGATCTCCACTGCCGGTCAATGTGGACAATACTGAGATAGATGGACCAATGGTGTCTGACTCACTATTATATGTACCTACAAGACAGCAGTTTTATACACACTTATTTGGAGGTCCCAGAGGATCCGGCTGGAAGTACACAGCTTAAGCTTCAACGTATTATTACATGCCGTCGGCATGGCAACAGTTGTGAGGCAGTCTATTATCTGCGCTCAGCCAGTAATCCCTCTTCAGCGGGAGCTTTCTTCTGTGCTGAGGAAGAGGTCCTATGAGGTTGGGGAGAGGGAGAAAGGCAAGAGCAGAAAGAACACCTGGGAGGCAAACACAACAATGCCCTACGTTTCAAAAGGCGAGCTACAGATACTGGCACTGATCTGAGAGAAAAAGAAGAGTAGGAGGTCTTTCCGAAATTATGTGGAAGGGATATTGCCACCAGAGGTGTATTTAAACTCCCTTGCGCCCTTGGCAGGGAGCTGTATAGGTGCCCCCTGTCCCTTGCGCTCTTTGGCAAGGACAAATATTGGCATTCCTGTGTCCCTTGTGCCCTTGCAGAGGAGCCTGTGTGCCACACCCAGCCACCCAGAGCAGCAGAGGAGTGGCCCAGGGAGTGTGAAGACAGGCTCCTAACCACTCCAAGCCAGAGTGGGGAGGGACAATTTTTGCACACTGTAGTGGGGAGTTCCCCGGGCTCAACACACACCCCGGGCCTGTATCCTTGGTGGGGGGGCCAACCTATCCAACACAAAAGATCTCCTCTATTGACATGAAATCATATAATTGCTTTTGTTCAGACTTCTACACTTTTCATCTTTTCCCTCTTGCGTTTTCCTCCCCGGTTATGCTTATTAGTTCTTTCTAGCTTACAGAACCATAAAGACAATGCACCAAGAATGCTCCAGTGTAACCCCTTAACATCTGGAAGTTTGGTTTGGTTTTTTCCTGGTTCCAGCTTCTCATGTGCAGGCTACCCAGGTTGCAGTCCTGAGGTGCCATTTTGACCAGACTTCTATGAACTCCCCACACACTGCTCAGCTTCTCATATTGAATCTGGCACACAAACACACCCCATCAATCTCCAGTCGTGTACTATGGCATATCAAATCCGCCGAGTTTCTCTTTATTTCTGTTTCCCGCCCACCGAGGAGCGCAGGGCGCGCTGCTCTACCATTTTCCTATCTCTGTGCTCTAAATGAGGCGAGTATGCTGTCAGAGCCGTCGAACTGGCAGGCCAAGGGCGGAAGGAGCGGCTGCGGCAGCTGCGGCTGCTTAAGGGAGGCAAAGCGGTGACGCAACGGCCCATCCCGTGACCGCTCGGCCTATGGCGTCTTCCCAGCTCCGACTTCCTGGGTGACAGAGGAGGGGCGGGGCTGGAGCAGGACAGAGAGAGAGACCTCTGAGCGTTCGGATCCGGGACGGTGGGGCGAAGCGAAGCCATGGTTTATATTTCGAACGGTGAGGGGCAGAGATTCCGCGGTGGGGAGGAAACCTTTATTATGGGGTGGGAGTGGGGCACAGCATGGGCGTAGCCATGATTTATTTTAGGGGGGCAGCCTTTATGTTGGGGAGGGTTAGAACAGAGTTATCTGCAGCACAGTTGGTTAGTTAAGTATTTTTATTTATTTTCTTGATTTAGGGAAGCAGCTGCCCCCCACCCCGGCTACGCCCATGGGGCAGAGGAAAATTTATGCCTGACCCTCTTTTTCTGCTCCTTTTGTATGTGGAGGTGGTGTAGATCGAGGCCACTACACAAGATCACGCTTTCTGCAACCTGGTAGATCCGGGAGGCTGCCAGTAGTGTTTTCATAGTTGCTGAATAAACTTACATAATTCCTGCTGTTGCTGTCTGTGGAAAGATGCACTGAAAGGGTTGTCATGTTCGTATGACAGGGCTTGAGGTTGTTTTTCAAAGGGTAACTCCGAAAGAGCCCGGGCGAATGGCTTCGTGCGGATTAAAAGCCTGTTTTATTTTTCAAAAGCGGGATAATTAAAAAGCCTTTTGGGCACCTCGAAGTCATTACTCAGATGCACAAAGAATTGTCTTGGTCTGTAAATCACCTATAAGGTTGGAAACAGGAATATGATTATCATTGCAGGTGTCAACCCAATACATACCTCTTCTGATAAATTCTGGCTCATGACCAATGCAGTTTTAACTAGATTTCGATTCATATTTTTAATTGCTTGGTTTGCCATCTCAAACCATTCTACTGCCTCCTAATTTGGACTGTCACCCCAGAAGAAAGAAATTGTTTATATGCCTTAATTTACAAATTTGGGGTGGAATTACTTTTGGCTCTTCATGTTAGCAGTAGGTGATAATCTTGAACTCTGTTGAAGTAAGCATAGGATTAAGCTGTACAAATAGCATTTCAGAGTAACTATTTGATTAATCTACCTAATGTGCGTTGGTTCTCTGAACCTTGACTATTGCTCAGCAAATTAGAACTCAACCCTATACGTTCTTAAAGAATAGTATACTTGACTTAAATGGTCATTGATTTGCGTTCTCAGTGCTGACACTAGCAGGTAATTGTGGTTTGATTAGTTCTTTTGGGGAATGGGAGAAATCTAATAACAACTATAAAAAGCCTAATGATTAAAATACCTGCAGAAGTCCCTGCTAGTTTGCATTTCCCCTCTTTCACAGACAGCACTGAAATGTAAGCTTACAGCCTTTAGCAGTCTGATTAAAAACAAACAAAACATTTCTATCAAGGGCAGAGAGGTGGGATCATATTTCCCCACCCTGGTTTACTGAGTTTTCACTCTAGTTGTGAAGGAAGGTATTTTTCTTTTTCTGCTGCTATCCAAGTAGGCGGACGGTGGAATGATGGAGCAATCTGTCCCTCCTCCACCAGCCTTCTTACTGGATTGCTTGAAATTCCTGGTCACCTGTTGTTAAGTACAAGACTGGGTTAGCACTAGAAGAATTTAAAAAATTAAGCATTGATTGGCTGGAGAACTAGTGTGTCTTGTCTGTAGTTTGTAGTAACAAAAATGTGCAGTAGTACAGAATCTAGGGCGGCTATGCTGTGTTCATTTTTAGGGGTAAGATTTTCTGACCCGTACATAACTTCTTAAATACATAGGACTAAGCTATAAGAGAGCTTTTGGGTGGAAAGATTTGCTAGTACAGTACTGTACTGATGGTTGTTGCTCCAGATGGGTTGAACATTGGAAACATAGCAACTATGATGCAAGAAACTAGCATTGTTAGGTGGGGGTGGGAGATGTTTCCACTTGATTTGTTACACATTAATGTGTGTTGCAGGATGGATGAGTAAACTTAGATTTGAACAAACAGAAATTTGCAGTTGGGCCCATATCTCCAGTTACAACTATTTTAAGTGACTATTTTTATGTCAAGTGAAATGTTACTTCCAGTAAACCAGGGGTGGGAAATTCTCCGAGTTTTGTTGGTCTCTTAACTATCATCAACCCCTGACTAGTCATTAAAGATGATGGGAGTCACAGTATAGCAACATCTGGAGGACCACAGATTCTCCACTCCTGTAGTAAAGTATGTTAGGGAAGCATATAACAACTGGTAAAGTACATTCCTTGGCCAGGTTCCCAGGCTTTATATTTTTCAAACAGTAAGTCCCCATGCCACATGATTAAAGGGAAATAATACTGATTTGTGTTTTAACTTCTAAAATATCAATTTTTGTGAATAATACTGCTTTCTTCTTCATAATGATGTATACATTGTTATTTTGAGATGATATTTATTATTATTATTATTATTAATTACAGGTCAAGTGTTGGATAGCCGGAGTCGGGCTCCATGGAGCTTGTCATTTATAACTGACTTCTTTTGGGGAATAGCAGACTTCGTAGTTATGTTGTAAGTAGAATTGTTCTCTTAATCTAAATCTTAAATTGTGCAACTTGCCTTCAGAACCATCTGGGACTAGTCTTATGGCAGGATAGATAGATAGATAGATAGATAGATTATAGGATGCACTTAACAGTCAATTGAACACCAAGCAAAGCTTTTCTTCAGTAAAATAGACCTAGATTTAAATCTCTCATTGTGAAGAGCAGTATGCATCTGATAATAAATTCTTTAGGTCGTCCCTTCTTTTAGAGTCGTGAGATGACAATACTCCACAAAGCAAGAAAGAAAAAGAAATGATTCATTAAAATTAAATTGATCAGTGCACAGGAAACTTAATAACATGAGATGCTTGTGACATCTGAAAAAAGGAAACCAGCATTCTAGGCTTCTGGGGACACCCTGAATAATATTTTGATGTCTCATAAAGGCTATTTAAAATAAGTCCTGACTCAAGTTTAGATTTTGTCAGTCTTCCATTCAATTGACAAATGTTGGACCGGGAGAGAGAGAGAGGTATATATAGATGGATAGATAATCTCTTCAGAAGATATATATATCTCTTCAGAGATATATATATTCTCTTCAGAAGTAAAGATAGAAAAAATATTTGTAGAAAGGCAATTTTGCTGTTCATTTAAACTTAATACTACTACTGAACTGCTTAACCCTGCTGCTTATTTGTGGCACTGGATTAATGGGAATCTTTTGTCATTTCAGTTTCCAGAGCATTATTCACCCAGACTTGACAAGGAGAGGCTACACATCTTCCTCCTCTTCAAGATACGATGATGGAAGGGGGTACTGCTTTTTCATTTTAATTTAGGGTGGGAAACTTGTTGCACTCCCAATGTTTTTGGATTCCCATATCCCATCAGCCTAACCAAACAGGCAGTCAATTTAGATGGTACACAAAATACTACTATCTTATTAAAAAGTCAGGTTGTTATGTGTGTGTTTTACTGAAAGAAACAAAAAATTATGTACAAACAATATGTGACAGATTATATGGAAGCAGAAGATATTTAGGCCTGATTCACACACATCCCCAGTATTTAGATCTTGCACATGGTGAAGAACAGGAGCAAGGGGCTCAAGTAGAATCCCTATTGTGAGTTTGAGCCTGAAAATCCATTTACAAGTAAGCTGTCACCAGATAGCCATCATCACATAGGATCATATGATGTGAGGCCCACTTGTGTCAGCCTTGCTCTATGCTGAAAGTCTGTGCATAGCCCAACTGGATGCAAAACTACATGTAGAGACCATATGTGAGCCCCACCCTAACTTCAGTTATTAAAATCTTCCAAATTTAGTTCAGAATGAGAGATGCTGCATTTACTTCAAGCTTAGCTGGCCATCCTTGTAAAGATGCCTCACATTATAAAGGTATAAAGCAGAGCTTTCAAAACTGTCACAACACGTTAGTGTTACCATGTGTAGGTGTGCCATGTGAGCGCTCCCTGCGCTCGTCCAAGGGCTGGAAAGGGGTTAGTTTAACCCAGTGCTTTTTTCTGGGGGGACGAAGGGGTACGCATTCCCCTAAACATTTTGTGAATCTTTCTTCTTTTGTCCATTTACTGTATTTATTTTTCCTGATTTGAACTATAAAATGGTGATTTTCTTGAGTCAAAATGAGAGTACCCCTAAACATTTTTTAAGGAAAAAAAAGGACTGGTTTAACCTCTGGTTTGCTAGTAAAACTGAATTACTGTCTCATGAAATGATTCATGTCTAAAAAGTGTGTCACCAACATGAAAAGTTTGGAAAGCTCTGGTATAAAGGTATCTCATCTGTTGATAAGGAATCTTGCATTTTGGGGAGCCTAAGAAAGGAAAACTTATTTTACCAATCTTAGAAACCCATAATCTGCTACATCTGAAGGTGCTTCTCTGATGGGATTTCTTGCCAGGTGTTTTCTCTTCACATTTTGCTTTTGTTTGTTTTAGGCCTCCAGGGATTCCTCGTCGTAGAATGGGTCGAATAAACCACTTTGGAGGAGGTCCAAGTCCTCCACCAATGGCTGGAGGTGGATGAGGAAGGTAACCTATGATCTGTCATTTTTTGGATTCTGAATTAAAAAATGAACTTCAGTTTGGCTTAGGAACAGCTCATGATTTTTTCTTTTGCAAAATCAAAGAGGGGAAAAATCTAGTAATTGGTGGCTGTAAAACTAAATAATTTTATAGTTTTAAGTGCATATAGGGGAGGTGGGTGAGCTTTAGATTTTGCCCTGTTCCTCCTCCTGCCCACTATTCAGAAAGGAAAGGTGTCTGCCTGCTTTGACATTAGGCAAAGATCTGCGAAGGGGAAAACCAGTGTTCCCCTTTTTTTAGTACTGTACTTGGTTTGGGATGTAATCTTAATCCCATTTACCTGGGAGCAAGCCCCACTGAATTAAATAGAACTTACTTTAGAGTAGTGTTGTTAGATTTGTGCTGTGTCTAGACCTATAGTGTCCTAATATTTTGAATACTTAGAGGATTTCAGTAAGAGAGGTTGAGAGATAAGGAGCTGCATAATGTATCAAGGGGATATAAACTGACCATCAGTAATATACAAGTGGGACCTGCAACAAAATGTTGCATTATGAAGTGCTCCTGATCAGGCTTCTTGGTAGCTATGCTCTCTTCTCTGCCTTCTGTTCCCCCTTGGCTTTTCATTTATTTCCCCCATAGACATGATCTGTGGCAACTATGTTCAGCCCTCATTGGGCTATTTTCTAATTTATAAACAATCTAAGCTTTTTGCACTTCTGCAAACCTAGAAGTGTGGATGATACCATTTTTTTGTTGTTACATAAGGAACAGCACTCTGATAATGAGTGACCTTTCTGCATCCTAAGAATATGCTGGAGCACATTGCCAGGACAATGACAAACTCCTTCCTGGCTGTTATTGTTCTTTTTTAGCACGTTAAACATCACTTATTTTGGATTTCCATGGTTAGAGATCACAGCTTCCACACTGAACTTAAATTATTCAGCACATGTCAATTTTTGGTCCAGCTCCAACAGAAACTTATTTGTAGAGAGCCAGCTACTTCAGTAAAAAATCTCTGCAATTAGAATCCGTCATTAGTATCCATCTTTATACTGTACAGAAATTCTTTGTATTGAGGATAATTATGTTTTATGCTTTGTGTTAAATAATGTTTACTTAAAAGAAATATACTTGTATTGATATCTTACTGTAAATGTATCATACTTTGTTTAATAGCCAGGATTTTAAAAGCTACTTAAGACTCAAGTAAATCTAATGTGATTTTAGATTTCTTTTATTTACTTTGACTGCCCCATACTACATGACAAACCATGTTCAACATTTTTCTGGGTTCAAAAGCAGTTTTGTCAGGTTTGGTGGAGGTTGCCGCCTGAAGAAAAACAAATGTGATGACCTCATAAGCTCCTGGTGCAAATTTCATTGTTTGTAATGTATGCAATGTATGCAATTGCAACATAGCCAGAAAACTAATCAGTATTTTCTTCTTCTTAGGTAAATGCCTCTTTTGAGAGGCAGACAACTGGACACACATTTGCAACACTGAAATGACCTCCTGGCGGATGGACCAAATGGGTCTGAGTGTTGTGTGTGTGTCTAAATCATTCACTGCTCTGTGGATTAGCAGAACAATGAAGTTGTGCTGGGAATTCCGACTTCCAGGATCCAGTGTAACTGAAATGCAGTTCTATTAAATTAAATGCACCTGTTTAATGTCTGTTTTAAGCCTTTTTGTATAGTTTGTGGAAATTTTGTTGTAGCTGTAAAGTTATAAGAAATAAATATAGCTTTGCAAAAGACTGGCTTGGAATAATTTTATTTAAAAAAACTGTTCTAAAGGTTCACAAATCATGCCTATGTCAAAACCTTTTTTAAAGGTTGACTTCAGAATACATGAATTGAGGAAAAGGGTAGAATCAGATTCACAACCCCACGCATATCTAAAAACTGCATTTCCTGTGAAACCACTACTTATGAATGGCAATAACTCATCCTCGCTGGATTGTGCAGCCCCTAAACTAGTTGTGATTTGCTCCATCGCTACTGTCTTTAACTGAAATTAATAGAGCTTATGATGAAATTTAAGAATTGATTTAAATTTTTATTCTTTCATATGATACATAGTTAATCTTCAAGTAACTTCCAGTGCCATAGAATATCACTTGTGGAAGTCCATAGCTTAGCAGTAGAGCACCTCATTTGTTCTACCATATTCAACCCCGAGCATCTCCAGGAGGGGCTGGATTAGATTCCTGTCTGGGGAAGTTGCTAGCCTTTTCCCAGCCTAGTGTCCTTTCTTTTGGATCCCACTCCCACCAGCCCCAACCATAGTAGTCCAGAGCATCTGGGGGGTGCCAGAGGTTGGGTGGAGAAGGCTGTTGTAGCCGATACTGAACCACAGTGGTACCTCTACTTGCATTCACCTCTGATTCTTCGGGATACGTATATGGCAAACCCGGAAGTATTTTTCCGGGTTTTGTCCCGCATGCATGTGCAGAAGTGCTCTACGCACCATGTGCAGAAGCGCTCTACATGCGTGCACGCGCAGAAGCGCTAAACCGCACCATGCACAAAAGCGGCACCTCCGGTTGCGAATTCCTCGGGATGCGACCGGAGCTCCAGAACGGATCCTGTTTGCAACCAGAGGTACTACTGTAGATGGGTCTCTGCCAGGGCTGGCCAACCCATGAGGTGACTGCCTGAGGCAGCAGGATCCACAGGGTGGCAGGTGCCAGTGTCGCTCTTTCTCCCCTGCCCCCTTATCCTTAACATAAACCTTCCCTGGCGGGGTGAGGAGCACCATTTTGGAATCCGCCTCAGGCGCCCAAACATCTTGGACGGGCCCTGGTGGCTGGTGTGAAGTATGACAGCTTTCTGCGTGCCTAGGGCCAAGAGACACCACACTTGCTCTCCCTGAGTGCCTTTGCCATTCGCCTTACCTCAGGGACTTAGCCAGGATTTATTTTTGGGGGGGAGGCAGAATCGATTTATCTGCGATGCAATAGGTCAATTAAGTATTTTTATTTATTTACTTGATGGGGGAGGGCGATGCACCCCACTGGCTACGCCCATGCCTCGCCTATAAAAAAACCACAGCAAGGTAGGAGGGGAAGAACTTAGTACGTATCGGGAAGCTCAGCTGAAGCACTAAAACGCGACTCAGGCCGTCTTGCGGCGGCCGCTCACTTCCGCCTGGGCCTTGTCTCTGCGCCACACCCGCCTCCGGGTGGCTGGAGGCGGAGGAAGGGGTCGGGCGCCGGCTTCCTCGTCGCAGCCTTTTCGGGGCGGAGCAGCAGCGGCCTCCGCCTCCGGCTTCCCGGAGCCTCTCGCTCGAGCGACCCTCGGAAGAAGCGGGTCGGGGTCGGGGATGACCCAGGCGGAGAAAGGGGAAGCGGCGGCGGCGGAGAATGGGAAGGACAAGGAGCGCGACAAGGAGAAGGAGCAGCGCGGCGCCAAGAGGCCCATCGTGCCTGCCGCCGTGCCGGAGTCCCTGCAGGAGGTGAGCCCCGGCTTAGGCGGAGAGGCTCCTCCCGTGGCCTTCGGGGGGTTCCTCTCGGCTCTGGCGGCGGCGAGGCCCGGGAAGCACGGCGCTCTGGACGGGGTTTCTGCGCCTCCGTCGTCGCGCGCAATCGAGATTCCCGCGGAACAGCCTAGGCCCGATTTCATAGGGCCGGTGGAGTCGAGTGGTGAAGCTTTCTCTGGGCTGCGCCCCTTCAGAGAGGTGTCCCACGATGGGATACTTGCACTTGCCTTTTATTTTAAGGGCTTGAACTCATTGCCACATGGAATAACGCAAAGCGTGTCAGCCTCGTGCATCCTGTTTTCTGATAGGCGGAACACAGTATGAATGCTCTGTGTATTAAATAATATTGCAGATCTCATTTGCACCTTTACAGTATTTCCAAGCAGCAGTTTACTCACTGATCTTTAATTTTATTTGTAAAGCACTTCACTTATATGCCAGCTGTATTGCCACCTTAGCAAGGATGTGTGAAAAACCTTGAGCTGGTAATGAAAATGCTATAGAAGTGAAGTACCTTCCCCTAGGGCAAGCTAATGCTGTTTCAGTGTGTAGGGGCATTTAACATGAATTTCATGCAGCAGGAACATATCCCCTATAGCATCCTATGAAAAGAGGTTCATATTAGTTTCTAATAGTAATATTATAGTGCTTTCTCCTATAATTGATGATGCTCACTGTTGATGCTGTCTACTGATGTTGACTGTTAGCCTTGGGTTCTCTGAATGTCTAAATGATATTAGCATTTCCATAGTTGTACCATATTTTGATAAAATTGTCTGCATCAGATGTGCCACTCAAGGCATGCACCCTTTCTGTCAGTTTTTCAAATACAGTGGTACCTCAGGTTACAGACGCTTCAGGTTACGAGTTTTTGGGTTGCGCACTGCACCAAACCCGGAAGTACTGGAATGGGTTACTTCCGTGTTTCGACGCTCACGCATGCGCAGAAGTGTGGAATTGCGGCGGGCGCAGGCACAGACCTGCAAGTCGCAAACATGCCTCCCCCACGGATCACATTCGCAACCTGAGGTTCCACTGTACGGCAATTGTCCATCTAAAACACTATTCCAAATGTGCAAAAAAGCTTACGTAAATGTCCTTTGTGGGAGGGGAAAGCACTGTTACAGAACTTAAGAGCTATATTTTGCTGATGGCAGCTCAAAGTGTAAAAAGATACAGATTTTCAAAATGAGGCATAGACTATATGTTTGGGCACCTACCGAGTACTGTGCTTTGCTGGTTCCTGTTCCTGTTTGTTTATCTATTTTACTATTTTTAGCAAATACAGAGCAACTTCATTGTCGTGATACATCCTGGCTCAATGACTTTAAGGATTGGAAGAGCTACAGACACACTTCCTATTGGCATTCCTCACGTCATTGCAAGAAGGCACAAGCAGCAAGGGCAACCCACATATAAAGACAGTTGGCTTCTAAGAGAAGGACTCAATGTAAGTCTTAGAATTTGAGTATTATGTTAAATTGAATCAGTAACTGTTCATTTGAACTACATTGTTTTCTTGGTATGCTAAATTTTACTAGTCATCCTTACTTCTTTGGGTTGCACAATAACAGCTTGCCTCTGTAATAACATGTGTTTGTCTTGCATCATCTATACCAGCTACATATGGGAATTAATGCAGGCTATGGCATTAAACTTGCTATAAATGGCACAAGATTTAAGGGGGACAGATTTTTGCACCAAGCACTGAGGACCACATCACACAGGACTCTTTTTTATGTAGATATCAGTTCGGCACAAAAAAATTGAATGTACAATGTAATATTATATATACATGTATCTATTTTTATTTGAAGGTCACCAGCAGTTCTTTAATTTACGCAGGAATTTTCTGCAGAGTAGTGTAGCAAGTATAGTTTTTCTGGCTTCATTGATAAATCCCCTGCTTCTGACAATGAAATCACAGTCAAAGGAAAAGTAAAGAAAAATGAAAATATTGTCGAAATGAGTGAGCCAGCAGGTAAAAAAAAATGACTTTTTAAACAAGGAGTGGGAAAGGTATTGTTTTGTGGATCTGAATGGGAAATGCATTAGCTTACTCTGCTCCTCAAACATTTGTGGTCTGTAAAAATGCAAAGTCCATGGTCAATATAAAGAAAATCATAGCAGTTTTGCAAAGGACTATGCTTGATTCTGAGCTTTCTTTTTGGGGCAGAGGGAGAGAATGTCAACGTGCTTATGCAGCTGCTTACATTTTATTGGTTAGAGAGCTATTTTAATGATTATTTTGTATTTTTAGAGTGTTTTAAGTTTTATTGAATGTATTGTAAACTGCCTTGATATTTTACATGAGTTTTAAAATATTTGCAAAAGTATTTTGAAAATAATTTCGTTAAGAAAGTCAAAAGACCCACTTCTATGTTTAGAGGACTGTTACTTATTGTTTGCTTTTATTTAGAAACCTGAAAGTACTGAACAAAGACAGAATGGTCTTAAAATGGTTGACCAAGCAATATGGTCCAAAAAGATGTCAAATGGTGCCAGACGTATACCAGTGTCACCTGATCAGGTATCTCATTTATAAACTGATTGATAGAAATTGCTTTTTGAGGGGTGTAAAAGCAGTGAAAAGCCTTGTAGCAGCACTAATAAATCTAGGATAGTATTCAACTATGTTTTAGTCAGAGTAGGCCCATTGAAATCAATGATCATGACTAAGTTAGGTCCATTAATTTCACTTGATCTACTATGACTAATCCTTACTTGAACACCACCCCAGTCTTCAAAATAGTTTAAAGGCAGGAATGGACCATAGCTCTGTGCTTGACATTCAGAGGATCTCAAGTCCAATCTGCGGCATCTGAAATTTAAACAAGACCAGGTAATCTGCTGATGTGAAAGACCCAAGGCCCTTGTTGCCGACCATCAGTCAGATTAGATAAAACTTAGCTAGGATAAAACTTAGCCTTAGCGGGCTCATCTAAGGCAATCTCTTATGTTCCCTCTGGAAATTTATTTTTTGTCGTATAATAGTTCAATAGAGGAATAGCAGTTCAACAGAGGGATATAAATTACGATAAATTTTGAGCAACTCATATAGCATGACTACACATTTGTGCTCTTAAGATAGACTTTGAAAAATAGTTTCGTTTTAAGTGTGACCATTTCCTCCTATTCCTTGTTTCAAATTTACATTTCAGGCCCGATCTTACAATAGGCAGATGAGACCTGCTATTTTAGATCATAGCTCTGGAACAAAATGGACAAACACTGCCCATCATCCCGAATATGTCATTGGAGAAGAGGTAGGAACACCTTGCCTCATTTCATTAAAAGTAACTCTCATCCTTTATCTCATGTACAGTTAAGCAACCATAGGTATTTTTTAAAAAAATGTATTTGGGAAAAACACAGTTTTTACATTAGTTGTTTGTGGCACATGGATCTCCTGAAGTTTGAAAAAGAAGAAGCAATCATCTTGCATTTCACACAGAAATCCCTGCTGGGTTGCCTTGAGGATATTCCTAATGCTCACAAGGCAAGTGGCTGTTTACAAGCCTGAGAGAAAGAAACCAAATTAGTGAATGCAGATGGGAACAGAGCAATACGTTTTCATATGTAACCTATCGAATATTAACTTTTAAGCTGTTTTTATAACAGTCTTCAATTGAATTTTTAGTGTTTTAAACTGGTAAGAAAAACATCTCTGTCAGGATTCCTCCACCACCCCTCTCCTATTGACACCGGTGGCAGACTTGGGGCTCTCAAATTTCAGCAGCCCCCTGTGCAACACTAAAATTCAGTCCCCCTCCACCTGTTGCTCTCCGTTCTACAGCCCCCTGCAGTGTGGCCAAACCAGCCATGCCAACCTAAAACTGACTCTGTTGACACTCTACTCATCCAGGGAAAATAGAACTGAAGACTATGCAAGGCAGCTGCTTTTTCCATTCACTGCTGCTGTAATATGGGTTCTGGAACATAGGCCATCAAGGGCAGTGTGGCAAAATGCAGTGTTTATGATGGTCTTATTTTAAGAACAGCAACGAAAAGAATTGCTAGTTTTCTACAGAGAATATGGCATTCGGAACAGCATTCTCCAAATGCAGTTCATACAGAGCAATGGGCAAGCTTAATAATAAATGGTAATGTTACAGAAAAATGCAGCATTAAAAAAGGGACAAGGCAAGGATGCCCTATGTTGTCACTGTTATTTATCCTAATATTAGAAATGTTGACTAGAGAAATACAAAAATTGATGAAACAACATGAATTAAGGTCAGGCAGAGAGCGTACAAAGTGAAAGTATTTGCGGATGATGTTGTGCTGGTGTTGGAAAATCTGATAGTAAGCGTCCCAAGGATAATAGAAACTATAACAAAATTTGGCAACTTAGCAGGATTCTGTATAAATAAGGGGGGAAAGTGATAGTAAAAAGTCTAGACTCGGAGGCAAAAGATAAACTTGAGACTATCACTGGGGGTGTGTGTGTTAAATATTTGGGGATATGGATATCCGCTAAGAACTTAAACCTTTTACAGGATAACGATGTTAAAATCTGGAATGAAATAAAAAGAAGTCTAGAAAAATGGACTAGAATGAACCATTCTTTGTGAGGAAGAATATCCGTAGTCGCAATGAATGTTTTGCCCAAGATGATCTTTTTATTTTAAACATTACCCGGTGATAAATAGCCCAAACTGCTTCAAACAGTGGAAGAAAGATGTGACAAACTTCATTTGGCAGGGGGAAGCACCCCTGAATTAAATATAAAAATCTGACAGAGAAAGAGAAAGAGGGGGCTTTGCCTTTCCAGACCTCAGACTTTATTATGAGGCAGCAGATAACATCAAAAAAGGAAGACTTGAGATGATAACGGGTGGAATATCAGGATATGCAGCAGATCAAGATTTCCCTAGAAGGCCACAGAGAGATTGTCTGAGAAGTCTTAGAAAAGTGATGTGGTGGATATTGTATGTTGTGTGTATAAAAGCTGTTAAAATGGCATAAATAAAAGTTTTTGTCTTTTTTTAAACAAAGAATTGCTAGTTTTCTGCTGCTACTACTAAAGGCTGAACAGTGTTGTATGTTTCAATTTGCTTTGGAATGCTTTTTTGTGTTGATGTGTTACAGACTAGCAAATGTACAGAAATTCCAAGTGTTCACAATTAAAATTTGAACGAGATAAATATAGTAAATTCTTCTTTTCAGGCATTATATGTTAACCCTATGGACTGTTACAATGTTCATTGGCCTGTTCATCGAGGGCAGTTGAACCTTCACTCGGGGCCGAGTGGTTCCCTTACTGCAGTCCTAGCTGATCTTGAAGTTATATGGTCGCATGCAATACAGAAGTATTTAGAAATACCTCTGAAGGATTTGAAGGTGAGCTATGGCAGACTTCATCTGTTCATGACTATGACTGTCAACATTTCATCGTTGTTGCTGCAAAAGGGTTTGACTGTTGAAGCCTTTGGCAGTCTGGTTCCTACATTCCTTGGTAGCACCTTCTTCTATGTATACTTCCCATTGGATCATCTAATGCACTACTCTGTTTTAAAACCTTTAGAATAAGAGTTTAATTAATTCATTAATATCCCGGCCTTTCTCTAAAGGAGCCCATGGTGGAACATATCAATACTGAAACAACAGAATGAAAACAGTTAAAAACTCGTAAAATAATTGCCTACCCTCAAAACTATTAATTGCAGGGTTTTCAGGGACAGGTCTTTCAGCCATCAAGTACCTGGGTAAACAGGAATGTTGTTAAATTGCTCCTAAAAGTTAATGAGAGAGCAACACACCTCATAGGAGAGGGCATTCCACAAATGGGGAGCAACCACCAAGAAGGCCCTGTTAAGGAGGTGCTTAGTAGAGCCTTTATAGCTGTGGTGTTCACTCTACAGTTCCCTACCAAGTGAACTCTAGTTGTTTATATAATAATAATTATATTATTATTAATATAATAATTAATTCCTTTATTTTTAAAAATACTTCTGCCCCGCCTGATTTCACAAAGGAAGCTAACAAATCAGATAATAACAGTAGAAAAACAAATGACCCCAAATTAAACCTGCTTGTAAAATGCAAAATATAAGCAGTGAGTATCAAAACTAAAGAAAAGCCAGAGGAATTCTTGTTCCCTCCCTGTTAAGATTCATAGCAAATGGTTGTGGTTGGCTTCAGGAGAGGGAGAGGATGTCCTGTTGTGCAGATGGAAGTTCTTGTGCTAGTTAGTACCTGCGTGTGCAGGCCACATCCTCACCGCTTTGTGGCCTCCCTTGTGGGTTGGCATTTTTTGTAGACTGGCATTTTTCAGAGAGAATGAAAATCCTGCAATTAGCCCTCCTGCATTACAAGAATTGGTTCAACATCCAGGAGGAAGGTTTTGTGCAAGGTCTAAAGCTGTTAGATTTCCCCATGCCCTGGATTAAAGGATTTCAATGATGTAATTGGCTCTAGCTCTTAACCAATATTTTCGCTTCCTTCAATACTTAAAATTATTTAAGTAGCTCATGGCATCAACCCGTTCCACTGTATGAAGACCAACAGACCGGAAAACGAATCCTAGTTTGTTCTTTTCTCTTTCAGTATTACAGGTGTATTTTGCTAATACCAGACATCTATAACAAGCAGCATGTGAAAGAAATAGTAAATATGATCCTAATGAAGATGGGATTCTCAGGTAATAAAGCAACATCTGTGGTCAGCTGCTTAGTGCAAGGGTTTTGAAGGTACCTTTTGTTTCTAAGTTGGAATCACGTAACTTCCAGAATGTTTTTTTGCCCTTACAGCCACCCATGTCTCAACCAGGTGAATAAATAGCTCAGCCTTTGGCAACATATATCATGAAATCAGTAATGTGCAACTCTATGGCCAAATTTTAAAGAAATTACTCCAGTGTTTGGTCAATACAAACTTGTGTTTGCTGAGTCAAAACCATCTAATCTATTTACGTATCTTACAGAGCTTCAGAGGTATTGTCATCTAGGTTCCACTATAGGACAGGCCCCAACTGGATGTAACATTACTGAGATCCAGAGCCTCTGCTACTGTCACTCCCAGCTGTCTCCTACCAACAAGTGCATTGGGCAGATGAGTCCTGCTCCAAATAACAATTTTCAGCTCACTGTCTAAAAGACTGAAGTTGGTTGGGAGATGCAGAGACATGAAACACTGATTTTTTAAAATGTTAAAACAGGGAAGCTGGAAAATATTATCATGGTGATATGTTGTTCTATTTATGAAATGCATGGGTAGCAATAAACACATTTCTTCCTCTCTTTTGTTTAAAACACTTCAGAGTTTTATATATATAAAAGAGGGCATGTTATGGGAAGTGTTCAGTAGTGGAGTGCATATGAGTAATGTTTCTGAATAGAGTTGCAAAGCAGTGTATATAACAGTATTCCTGCCATTTTGTTTTCAGGCATAGTGGTCCATCAGGAATCTGTCTGTGCTACTTTTGGAAGTGGTTTAGGTAGTGCATGCGTCGTCGATGTGGGGGATCAGAAGACAAGTGTCTGCTGTGTCGAAGACGGTGTTTCGCATCGTAACACCAGGTAACTATTATAAAGTTGCAGTAACATTCAGGTGAAAAGAAGCAAGTCTTCTAATGGCTGCTGCTGCTTTTTTTAGGTTATGCCTTGCATATGGAGGTTCTGATGTGTCAAGATGCTTTTATTGGCTTATGCAGCGAGCTGGGTTCCCTTACAGAGACTGCCAACTAGCTAAAAAGACAGATTGCCTTCTCCTGCAGCACTTAAAAGAAACATTTTGCCATTTAGACCAGGTAAGTTCAAAGACCTAGATAAGGAGCTCCACACTTCTGATTTGCTCTTTCCCAGGCCCGTTTGGTCACAATCTAGTGTGACGTTACAGATTTTTAGTTGTATAATTAATGGTAATAGAGGTTACCAACAGTGGGGAGAAAACTGAAAATTCACATGTGTGGCTGATCTCTTCTCAGTGTAGTTTGAAAGATTTGAAAGTTCATTAAAGCATTAATACCTTTTTCTATGTTTTATTATCAGGATTTATCTGGACTAAAAGATCATGAGTTTCAAGTCCGTCACCCAGATTCTCCAGCTTTGCTGTATCAGTTGCGCTTGGGAGATGAAAAGTTACAGGTAAAGACTGGGTGGGGTATACATGCACATAAGGTGCAAAGAGACTTTTCCCTCCGCTCACCCCCCTCTGTGCTCCCTAAACCTGTTATTTTGGTTCTCCTAACCCTCCAGGGTAGATTTAGCAGGACACGGGTAGAAGAATGCAAGAATGCAGACTGCATTCTGTGTACACAACTTAGTTGAATCCTGCCCTATGATAGACATGCTCTGGGATGTAGATGCAGACTTAAGTGCAGAAGTCAATGAAAAATAAAGGTAAAGGGACCCCTGACCATTAGGTCCAGTCGTGACCAACTCTGGGGTTGTGGTGCTCATCTTGCTTTATTGGCCAAGGGAGCCGGCGCCACTTCTGGCAAACAGAGCAGCGCACGGAAACGCCGTTTGCCTTCCCGCCGGAGCGGTACCTATTTATCTACTTGCACTTTGACGTGCTTTTGAACTGTTAGGTTGGCAGGAGCAGGGACCGAGCAACGAGAGCTCACCCCGTCGCAGGGATTTGAACTGCCGACCTTCTGATCGGCAAGTCCTAGGCTCTGTGGTTTAACCCACAGCGCCACCTGCGTCCCAGCCCCAATGAAAAATAGTGGGGTATTAATTAGTTTTCAGCAGCTCAATCTGCATGTTTCTCTTCTTACAGTCTAATTGAGTGCTATGATATTCAGGAGATACACAGCAAATACAGATGTGGCATAACTAGCTCAAATGTTGAATTAAATAAACTTGATATATGTTTCTAGCTACACATGCTGCTGACAGGTATCATATCGTTTGGAGCACAGGGCTGTACCCTATGCAGCTCTAAGTAGCTTGCTACATCAGCAGAAGGATTTAAGTTTGTACAACATAACTTGATTTAAAATTTCCAAAGAAATTGTATTAGAAGAAGAGTTTGGATTTGATATCCCGCCTTTCACTCCCCTTCAGAAGTCTCAAAGCGGCTAACAATCTCCTTTCCCTTCCTCCCTCACAACAAACACTCTGTGAGGTGAGTGGGGCTGAGAGACTTCAAAGAAGTGTGACTGGCCCAAGGTCACCCAGCAGCTGCATGGGGAGGAGCGGAGACGCGAACCCGGTTACCCAGATTATGTGACTACCACTCTTAACCATTACACCACACTGGCTCACTTATTATTAAATACGTTGCCAAAGGCTGAGCTATTTATTCACCTGGTTGAGACATGGGTGGCTGTAAGAGCAAAAAAACATTCTGGAAGTTAGGTGATTCCAACTTAGAAACAAAAGGTACCTTCAAAACCCTTGCACTAAGCAGCTGACCACAGATGTTGCTTTATTACCTGAGAATCCCATCTTCATTAGGACCATATTTACTATCTCTTTCACATGCTGCTTGTTATAGATGTCTGGTATTAGCAAAATACACCTGTAATGCTAAAGGAGAAAAGAACAAACTAGGATTTGTTTTCCGGTCTGTTGGTCTTCATACAGTGGAATGGGTTGATGCCATGAGCTATCTAAATCTGTTCTAGTTGTTCCTCTAGCTTTCCAGAGCAGATTTGGGCAGGGTGTGAGAGGGGGAGAGTTCCATTGTGCAAGCGAAAATCCTTCTGCTAACAGAACAAGTGCATTAGATACCACCCAAGATGTTTATCTGCTTCTGAAACTGATTGCTCTGTTAGAAAGGCAGTGCAAGCAAGCATTGATGAAATGGTAAAGATAATTTTAAGCTCTTCCCCATCTCTCACGATTAGGCTCCCATGGCATTATTTTATCCAGCAACCTTTGGAATTGTGGGGCAGAAAATGACATCTTTGCAGCAACGATCACAAGGTGATCCTGAGGATCCGCATGATGAACATTATCTCTTAGCTACACAAAGTAAGCAGGAGCAGGTGTGTTGTGTGTCTTTTTCCTTGTTTTCTCTTCCTAGGAGACTTTTCTGCACAGATCTAATTATACTTAATTAAAGCTTTCGTCTTGGAGAATGGCTAGAAGGTTCATGATAATGCTGTAAACCGCCATGTGATCGTTGGTTGAAGGGCGGTATAGAAAATAAAATAATAAATAATAAATATAATAATAATAAAAATATAATAATAATAATAATAATAACAATAATAATAAAAAAATAATGGGTTCATTCAGACCTCTGGCACGGCTGCAAGGAGGCGTTCAGAAGCTTTTGCTTTCATTTTAGAACAACAGCAGCTTGCTTTGTCATTTGAACCTGGATGAGCAGTGGTTGATCTCAGCTATACAGTAGTTAGTTGAAGGAAGCCAACTTCAAACCACAGTTTATAAAGCTGGCTTCTTCCAGCTAAGCATAGTTAAAATTTAACACAGTTTGGGTTTGGACAGCATGCAAAACAGCAGTTCATCTAAAACAGAAGTAGCTGTTTCTGATGGTTTCATAGTCGTTCTGGATGAGAGCAAGTGAGCTCAAGGCTGACAGACTTTTATAAAGCTAATCTGTTCTTTAGGGTTATGTCTGAAGGCAGGCATAGTGTGTGTGTACATATTAACAAGAAGTACTAACAAGAATCCTTTCAAAGCATTCCATCGTGTAACAGCAAGCTATCACTCTGCTTGGGAACACATTTTTAAAAGAAAAGCCTGACTAGCTTTTCAGATACATTTTAATTGAATAATTTTCTAAAGCAATGCCTGAAGTAACTGATATTCTAGTTTGAAGTCTTGTTTATTCTGTTATGTTTTACTCCAGGAATACCCATTTATCCTTACAACCCAATAAGGCAGACATGTATCTACAAAATAATTTAGTTAAAAATGTGATCCCATTGAGAATCTAAGATGAAATTTTGCAGGTAGATCTTAGAAATATTTAATAATACAATTTCTTTGGAAATTTTAAATCAAATTAATTTTTTGAATCTTTTTTTAAAATTTAAAATTTTGTAACCTAACTTGGAAATGTAAAGTAAGCCCATCGTGTGACATATCATATTAAAGCCCACAATGTTCTGAGGAGATGGGTATTTTTTAGTTTTGAAATATCTTAATTCTGGACTGAGCTTTTACAGTTTGTGTGTAGTCAGACATGGCCAAAATTGTCAATTTTTTAAAATTTCCAACTCTCATGACTCAAAAACAGGATGTGATAAAAAAATTAACGTTTAGATTTAAACTTAGTTTTGATCATTCAACAAGTGTACAAAATATTAAGAAAATTGGATGACATGACGTTAAAAAAATGGATCATGATATGGAATGACCCAGTATGCTTGATTTTATTGTCATTACCTTAGTTATGTAAAAGCTTTTTTACAAAATAATAAAAGCAAAACTTCTGTAGTATTTCTTCAGCTACCACTCTGATCCTACAGGTGGCTATAGTTTGGGTGGCACATGCAGTAGCTTCCACAAAGGTTGCTATGATGGTATACTGTGTATGGAATGTGCTGAGCCATTGGAAATGGAAGACTTGGGTAAGGGAGCATATGGTGTTTGTGCCAAAGAATATGAAAATAATATGGCGAAAGGCCAGAAGTAGCAGTGTGGCTTTACTCGCCACCTATTCCCTTAGTGTCAGGTGTGCTATGTGGGACTGTTTTTAGCTGCAACACTCCTCACACCTATTTTGGCAGATGCTGTGGAATGTGTTTTGCATCTAACAAAATTGGATCTTTTCAAATGATAACCTGCCCTGTTTTGCTTTTTAAAGTCTGCAAAAGCAACAGCCGACAGGAAGTCGATTTCCAAGCCTAGTGGATTTGAGGGGGATCTGCGTGGCCAATCTGCAAGCGTTGCTGAAAATCTCTATCCTCCAGAAGTTGAGATCGGCACTTCGCACGGTGACTGCATCATGGGTGGAAATGAGTCTGAAGAACCCCTTACAGCTCACATGTCCAGGAAAACTGCTGTATCTCAGTTTGAAGGGAAAGCGTTAGGCCTTGACAAAGCCATCTTGCACAGTATTGATTGCTGTGGTAAGAAAACTATATATACTTGTTTATTAACATTAATACTTTGGCCAAGATAGATTCTAGTACGACGAGGATTCATAAGTTTGCAGGAACTAAATATCTACTCTCGCTCTCATCCATTTTTTCTTTAGTTACCTGGTTCAATCTGTTTTAATGTTAATGGCTAATTCTGTATTGTTTTCAATTCATTCTTCACAGTTTACATAAAACTCATTTTGATTTCTCAGCATCTGACGATACCAAAAAGAAAATGTACAGTTCCATCCTGGTTGTAGGAGGCGGTCTGATGTTCCACAAAGCCCAAGAGTTCCTTCAGCACAGAATTCTCAACAAAATGCCTCCTTCTTTCAGGAGAGTTGTTGAAAACGTAGAAGTTATTACGAGACCAAAGGTACTTGTGTATGAATCTAGGCATACTTTTAGGTCATGGTTGGGAAATATTTTCTTTTCTGTCAGGGGCCACATGACTACAGTGGTGGGTGGAGCTAGAATCAAAGGTGGGTGTAGCCACCTCCTCTGTCTATGTTAAGACACTTGCTACAGCAGCTCATATCCTCTTCTAGTTAATTATAAATTGCGGTTAACATTCTGTACTGGCCAATACATTTATTTGTATATTCCAATAGTGTAGTATATAGCGAAGAACAAGCATTGGTTCTTTTGTGCAAGGGGCTTGACTAATAAACTAAAGGCCATCCCCTTCTGTCTAAAATTCATTAAGAACAGCAGCAACAAAGCAATCTTTCTTTTGCCACAAAAGTAAATGGTATCTTTTGTGCTGATTTGGGATTGTAAAGATTTTAAGCACCGAGCACAACTTCTCAGAGTAGCCCCAGTTAAAAACAGTAACATTCTTAAAGCAAATGTAAGTGGGTTTGTGGGGTTTAGTTTACACCATTTACCTTGTTCATTCTTTTCCTTTGCATTAATTGTAGGACATGGATCCCCGTTTGATAGCATGGAAAGGGGGTGCTGTTCTAGCCTGCCTGGATACAACACAGGAGCTCTGGATATATCAACGAGAATGGCAGCGATTTGGTGTCCGTATGTTACGCGAAAGAGCTGCTTTTGTCTGGTGATCTCGTGCAATATTTAGATAGGATAAAATGCTGAGTATTACTTTTTCTCTTTATAGCCCTGACATTTGTGTTTTTAATAAAATCCATATAAAAAGAATTTTTCTTCTGGGCTGTTTAAGAAAACTGTAGTTGTACTCAAGATTTTCTTAAAGCTTTTCTCTAGTTTTATGCTTTGGAGTGGTCTCATTGAAGCACATGACCCTGGTCTAGCTCATATTGTGACTAAATGAATAATTCTCATTTAGTATGAGGGAGGTATACAGCTAGGGGTTGTCTCCATCTACTGCCCAGAACAGGCAGTCATATGATTTGTTTAGCTCACTTTTCAGTTCCTTTCTTGCCTCCTCCAGGATCAGACCAATTTTTCAGCTATTCCTCTTCAGCATTTTCTCTCAGAACTTAATTCTCCCCCTACTCATCATTTGCTCACTTCTTTCTTGCCTCTGTTGACTTCTCTTCCTCCGCTTTAAAATGGGATGAGTGAGGAAAGGTGACAGCAAAGCTGATAAAAAATAGCACATGTTCATACAGCCAGAGGCTTCTAAAGGTTATTGAGCAGGCACTGATGAGTCCCCAGATGAGAGGTACCTGTCGGAACCGTGGGGTGAAAACCCAGCTGGACAGGCTCCAGCCGGAGCGTCTCCCTTCTCAGCCTTGCCACTGTGGAGACCCATCAGTCATCCTCCGACTTGCATCTGCGACTCGAGCTATTTAGCAGGAGCACACATTTCCTCAGCAGTGTAAACACACAACAGATCAGGCTCGAGGCGTGGATACTGTACTATACTATGCATTTATTATACATAAATCAGGACAAAGAAAAACATGGCCTCTCCTTGTCGTTCTTCTCGGAGAGAGAAAAACAAAAGCAATACAGAGCGGATGTTCCACTCATGGGACTCCAGCAATCTGTGCTGAAATATAAACAGACATGTGACATGTAACAACCCCACATATCTGCAGCAAGGGTGGAATGGAATTCCCAACAGTACCAGGGTGAGTAACGTCCAGAACAAGAGGCAGACACGAACAGGACTTCAATTTCGCAATTGATAAAATCACCCAGGAGTGATGCAACAATCTACTAAGTCATAGTGAATCTCTTTTCTCGTCATCTCATCTCAAGGCCAAAGGTCCAGTAGTAGATCACTGACTGCCGTATTGTATAAACATTGCAGAATGGGCTAAAACCATGAGTCGTGTGTGTGTCAGGTTGTGATTATGTGGAATCTCAAATGGTCTCTTCTTTGGTTAACAGTTAATAAAGTTTGAGGGAATTTCCTTGCAACTTACGTCACACTCCCTGTCTCCCAGAAGCAGGAGCAAGCTGAGCTAGCTGGTGAGGAAATTAAAAGTTCCAGAATTTTATTCTGTGGAACGTTTGGACACATCTGCTTCAGAAGCAAAATAGGATGAGCTCTAGAAGTGGGGGCACTAAAGGGTTCCAGGACAGCTTCTGCAGAGGATGTTTGGCACCTTCCCCCTCAGAAAGAGATGAAGTCCTGAGGGGCTGGGGACTTCCCTGCTCCCTTCTCCCCATGCTCCCGGCATGAAGCAGGTAGATTTGGAAAGAACCGATTGTTTCTGCCTAGAGAGCTGCATCTTTGACTCCAAAGCCCTGAGGGGGCAACAGGGAAGTGTTTCCAAGGTCAATAAATTTTATAAAATGCCCAGCAGGGATCCTACTGGGCTTTAGGATGTAGCCTTGAGGACCACTGGAGCCTTCTGCACCATCTGAACTAAGTGAGATTATAGTCAGTCCTTTTTTTTTTTTGGCTCAAAGGTATGCAGTACCAGCACCTTTTTTTCCCTAGAAGAAAAGCACTGATTATAGTAATTGTAATGTTATTCTTTATGCTAGTTATTGTGTGCTGCTTTGAGCTCTATATCATTGGAAAAGCAGAATGCAAATATTAAAATCAAAGATAGATCTGGCACTTTAACTTTATACTTTCACTATACTTTGTGCTGTGAAAGGTCTCTACAAAAGGAATCAATATCCTTCATTAGGACATACTTTGGACAAATATTCAAAGGACTTGGGAGACTGTTTGTTGGATTCTTTTCACTGAAAGAAACCACCATGTATTTATGCAGAGAAGACTGGTTTTTCCAGTCACTGCAAAAAAGGTTAAATGCAAAATTGAACATACATTCAGAGTTCCCACTGTGGCTGTCTACAGTTGTTCTGCAAGTCGAATCACATGCAGGATTTGCATTGTTTTCACTGAGAAAAATAATTTTATCAGCAATTTCTTTCTGAGTTGCAAGCCACTGTACTGGTCCCATTTCAGCAATTCTCAGCTTCTGCCATGCATCTATAATGACATTACTATGACAGCATTCATGTAGAAATTCAGCAAAAGCAAGGACAGTATGCTGAAAACAGACTTCTTGGGAATATACAACAAGGATTGTAGCAGGTATGTGTTGCATTAGTGGAGAAAGAGCCCAGTTTCTACCTGCACCTGTTAACAAAAGTAAAACCCACAAACTGTTAAATACAACCTTTTGGAGCAAGCAAAGTTCATTGTTAAGTGCCTTTAAAAATAGCATTCGTTTACTTGAACTTACAAAGCAGAAAGATTTGCTTTAAAATACACTTGTCTAATATATACAAAATACTAAACATATAGAAACTACACCATATACATTAATACCAGGAGGGTTTGTTTGTTAATATCCGACCTGCTCCTGCTTTTTGTAGAGAAAATGGAAGCCAGTAGTTGATAACATGTTACTGTCTGCCATCCCTCAAACTATATATATTCCATAAATTTGGGAATTCATTATTTTCCCAATCCTAATCAGAAATGTTTCATCCCTGAGCCTCCCAAATATTTGCTACAGTATTTGCCAACAAGTGCCAGACATGTATTTCAGTCCTATGCACACTAGCGGGGGGGGGGGGAGTGCACCGCCCCCAGCAGCGCGATCCCGGTGGGGTGCCATTGCGGCTGCTGCCCCTTCTGCACACCACGCCCCCAGGACTCACGCCACGCCCCCATGATGCACGCCACGCCCCTACAGGCAGTGCACCACGCCCATGGGACGCATGCCAGCCACGCCCCTGCCTGCTCTCCGCCCCCTGGTGCCAGAGCATGAAGCTCTGCCACTGCCTATGCATATCAACTCAGAATTGAGTTCCGTTGCCCTACGGTTAAATCCTAACCTTACTCACATATTAAAGAGTAAGTCACAATGAAGCTTACTTTGCTACTTCAATAAACATGGCTTTGTTACCTGAATAGCACTGGACTGGAAATAACTAGTTGTGAAATATCTGCCAGGCTACAATACACATATGATCACCTACATCTAACTTAGTGGGTTACAAGTTGTGTATGCCTGGTTCAAAAACTTGTTCAATGACTTTAAAGCTAACATGATCCAAAGTAGATATTCAAAAATGAATGCAATACTGTGGTGAATATCATGGAATTAATGTTCCACCTTTCTATGTCATTGGTTGTAAACTAGTTTTATTGGTGAAACAATTTAATTAGAAGTTGGAGAGCCATGCTGCCTGAAAGTCAAGTTACTGTAGATTCTGGCGTATAAGGCGACTTTTGAACCCCAGAAAATATCCAAAGCCTTATATGCCGGGTATGGTTGTGGCAGGTGGCGATGGCTGCGCGGGAGGCAGCCAGGCAGCGGCTGCGGGTTCGAGAAAAGAACCGGCGGCGACTCTTCCCACCCACCCCATTCCAAGCCCTTGCCCTCTCGCTCACTCGCCCTGCCACCATGGGGACCGCTGGATAGCAGGCAGCTATCCCGAAGCAGCAGCAACTGCAGCCTCCCCTTCCCACGGCGAGGTGGTGCGTGGCTTCAGCTGGGGCTCCAAGGAGCTGGGCATCCCCATAATTGCCAGAACTGCCCGCCGCTTGGCTGGATGGCCGATCAGGGCTCGCTCACCTCGCCTCAGGCTGCTGCTAGTCTTATACAGTGAGTATATCCCAAACTCTAGATTTTAACAGGAAAAGTTGGGGGTCGCCTAATACGCCGGAATCTACAGTACTACTTCTCCCAAATGTTCTAATCTTCTATTTCCCTCTGTACTGGATGCAAGGGAATGATGGCAAAGGAAAGGTCAACACATAAAACCTCCGTCAGCTTTCCCTTCTACCCTCCCCTTGAGGGAAGATGCCAAGGAAGAAGAAAAGGCTCTCTTCAAGCAAGAAAATTTGTCATCTCATATACACTCAAGAGCTTTGTCTCTCCCTCAAACTGCTTACAGAAGTACATCAGCTTTGCAACCCGTGTAGTCACAACAAAACAAAACACATACACCATCCTTCACACAAAGTGCACACTTGCATATTATTTTAGTGTAGGAAAATTGGCATGTGTGAGAGTGATTGAGTCTAAGGAAACGAAGTGTTTCTTAAAAAAAAAAAAAGCCTTATGGCTTTCTCTGAGGAAAGACAAAAACTTACCATACTTCCTCTTGTAATACAGTAGAGCAGCAACCATGCATACTATCAGAAATAAGGAAGCAAGTAGGCAACAAATAATTATGTAATTGCCTACAAAATCTGTTGAGACTAGAAGAGAAAAAGAATTGTCAGTTGCATAAGAAACCAGTTGTGAATAACCTTATAAAGCAAAGGCCTAGTATATAAAAAAAGCTAAAATTGGCTTTTCTACATCCCCAAAAGCTCTTTTAAGAAGTACCGTATTTTTCGCTCCATAAGAGCGAAAAAAAGCAAGGGAAAATGTGTGTGCGTCTTATGGAGCGAATGCAGGGGGCTTTAAAGAGTGCGCGGCTCCTGTGGGCTTTTCTACAAGGTGGGAGAAGGTGACGCAGGCAGTCAGTCTCTTCTCCCTCAGGGAAAAGCCCCCAAGAGCCGTGCACCCACTAAAGAGCGCACAGCTTTTGTGGCCTTTTTTACGAGGTGGGAGAAGGGATTGATGCAGCCAGTCAGTCCCTTCTCCCTCCTCAGGGAAAAGCCCCCAAGAGCCACACACACACTCCACGTGGCTTGTAAAGGGAGTGCTGAGCAGAGCCTGGGATGCATACAGGCTCTGCTCAGCGCTCCCTTTAAATAATATTTTTTTTCTTGAGTTCCCCCTCTAGAAACTAGGTGCGCCTTATGATCAAGGTGCGCCTTATGGAGCGAAAAATATGGTAACTCAGTTGGACATCACTAATAAAAGTTAGAAAGTAAACTGTGGAAGCAATGTTCTAAGGCTTAACAAAGGCAGGAACAGATAACTTCCTCTAAGAGATACATTTGAGGGGAAGATCACTGGAGAAAGAAGAGATTTGGCCAAGGTTAAAAAAACAAGTCCCTCTTCCTTCCACTGCTTCATCTATTCCAACTTTTCCTTCATATTCCCCCTCTGCCTCTTTCGTCCTTCTGATAAAGGCCAACCACTACAGCAGCTTACTGTTGCCTACACTGAAGCGAAATTCAGCAGGTTTTAGCTAACCATCTGTAGGTTCTTCAGTACACAGCTCCTGATGCTCTGCATGTCTTGGGCAATGACCTTCGCATAGTGGAAAACGAGGAATTAGCTGGAAGATTTAAAATAAACCCACAATGCAGCTAAATTATGTGCTCACAAAAATATTCTTTTTATTTTTCTTAACAACCTTGTTTCCCTGATTGGTCCCTCCAAATTCTTATCGTAGTACATAAAATAAAATTCAAATCTGAAACTAAGGACTGTATCCAAAGGCTCTGACTAAAGTAATCTTCCTCCAGCTGAGGAAGGGGACCTTTGGATACAACCCAGTATTTCCTAAAAATATTTGTTTTCTTTTTCAAACTTGACACAAAAAGGCTTAGCACAGTATAATCCTATACATGTTTACTCAGAAGTCAATCACATTATATTCAGTGTGACTTACTTCAAGTGTGACTTACTGGTCATAGTAATCCTAATATCTGAACTGTGCTGTTGGTGAGGGGGGGAGGGTTCTAGGATTCATTGTCACCAGTAGCAGGGGATTGCATGACAAATGCCACAGGTAGTTTGAATCCTAAATCCCCTCTCCAAAAGCATATTATTGTTTCAAAATAAAAAAGATGGGATTGGGTCTCTCTTAAACAAACATGTATTTGCGTATAACGTACAGTTAGCCCTTTAATATGGAAAAAGGTCTGAAAACACGTTTTATTAGATTTAAGCAGTAGTATGAGAAAGTACATGCAGAACGATAATTAGAAACAGTGTCTAGAACTCACAATAGATTTGTTTTTTCCTTTTAAACTGAAGTTAGATTTTACCTCTTTAAAGGTTCTGTTGCTTTGATCAGTCAACAATATTTTTTCAGAAATTCTAGTATCATTCCCCTAATCCAAAGAAAAAACAAGATAAAAATTATATGCCTAATTATTACGTACAGCTTCAAAAAACCAAATACATATTTGTACAGAGCCCTTTGGATTCTTCTTCTTTTTGCTTTGTAAAATTCTTGACTATGTTCCTTAAAAGCAGTAAATTTGCACTAATGCTTGTTACTCTCTTCACCTACCTTGGTAACCACGATATGATCATACAGGTCACCTGATGGATCAGGCTCATGAAGGCGGATTACATATTTGGAACAAAAGGGACTTGCTGTAAAGTTCACTACCACTTCTGACTTCTTGTGGCATACTGTTATATTTGGGGCCCATAAGCTTCCTGTGAAATAGAGAAGTGTCTGTTAAAATCTTATGCCAAAATAATTTCTATTGAAATTTCAGTAGTCCTTAAAGTAGGGTTATCCTACATGGTGGTGGCCTTCCTATGTTGTTGGACACCCAACTCCCATGAGGCCCAGCCATCGTGGCCAATGATCAGGGATGAGGAAAGCTGTAGCACAGCATCTGAAAGATGACATAATGGCCACTCAGCCATAAAAAGCAGGCGCACAATTGCTGCTAAGGCACCATACCCAATCAGCACTAAACATAAAAAAACCTACATGTTCAGTTAAAGAACTGATGTACTGTAGCACTGATGTTTCAAGCGCTTTACTTCATGTTGTCAACCACCTTGCAGAGGTATTAGGGTGGAAAGGTGGGAAGCACCTGTTTTGAATAATGATCAAATAGCCCTGAGCCACTCCTCCCACCACTACTGCATTCTGCTTTCCACATATTGTATCCCAGGGATAGCCTAACTACTGTAATTGATGCTCTGGTAACTACTAGGTTAAATTGCTCTCTCCCCCCTTGCTTGAACAAGACGTCTTCGTTGGATACAACCCATTACAGTGGTACCTCGGTTTACATACGCTTCAGGTTACAGACTCCGCTAACCCAGAAATAGTACCTTGGGTTAAGAACTTTGCTTCAGGATGAGAACAGAATTCGTGCTCCAGTGGCGCGGTGGCAGCTGGAGGCCCCATTAGCTAAAGTGGTGCTTCAGGTTAAGAACAGTTTCAGGTTAAGAACGGACCTCCGGAACGAATTAAGTACGAAACCAGAGGTACCACTGTATTTGAAACCCTCTTTATTTGGAATGAAAATACTTTTCAACATCACTAATGATTAGTTTGCACTTACCTTTCTCTATGCAGGTTTTACAGTATTTTAACACACTGTCTTTACAACCTGAATTTAAATAAAGAGTTTTTATAATTAGAAACTGGGCAAACTTTTTATATCAAGATACAGCATATTAACTGAAGAATCTCATTTGCACAAAATCTTTTCAGAATGGAACCTAAATGCAAATACTAAACTGTTGGTTCACCTGGAAAACAGATATTAAGGAATCCTATCATGGCAACTGGGATGCAGGTGGCGCTGTGGTCTAAACCACAGAGCCTAGGGCTTGCCGATCAGGTTGGCGGTTCGAATCCCCGTGCCGGGGTAAGCTCCCATTGTTCAATCCCAGCTCCTGCCCACCTAGCAGTTCGAAAGCACGTCAAAGTGCAAGTAGATAAACAGGTCTGTCAAAGCACGTCAAAGTGCAAGTAGATAAATAGAATTCTGTCCCCACTCCGGTGGGGAGATGAACGGCATTTCCGTGCGCAGCGCTGCTTTGCCAGAAGCGGCTTAGTCATGCTGGCCACATGACCCGGAAGCTGTCTACCGGCTCCCTCGGCCAATAAAGCGAGATGAGCATGCAACCCCAGAGTCGTCCACGACTGGACCTAATGGTCAGGGGTACCTTTACCTTTACCTGTCATAGCAACTGCAGTAGCTTTAACAGAAGTACCAGTATGTTACAATTGCTTTGTAGCTCAATGAGCTTTGTCAGTAAAAGAATTCTCATATCACTCTGTTTAAGGTTGTGTGTAATTGTAGTAGTGAAAAGGGGGAAGCACTGTAGCTAAGTAGCAGAACACCTACTTTGCAGAAGCACCAATTCAAGCTCCTGGCATCTCTAAGCAGGGCTGGGTAAAGGCTCTTGTTTGATACTGCTGAGCTGCTGCCAGTTAACATAGAGAGCACAGCACTAGATGGCCCAGTTGTCTGCTTGGTATAAGGCAGTTTCCTATTTTCCTTTTCTTTTAAAATGTTTCAGTCTCCCAATCTTGAAATAAATATATTTTCAATGGTTAGGCTCACTTTAGTTAACAAAATATTTTAAAATGTCAGAGAAAGGATCGTTTTACACATTACACAGCTGGGTTTGCCATCACATGGATAATTAGCAGCATGCCTTGGCTGATCTCATAAATTGGATAATTCATGTATTTATTATGCATCCATGTTGGTTGCATTTACACATTGCATTGGAGCCAGAAAAGCTTCCTGTGTCAGAGAAAACTTAGCTGGATCCATTACTTTTTCAAAGGGGGGGGTGTGTGCAACACACACATATATATATCATATTCATGAATGAAAATATTATGATTTGGATAAACTGAAAACAGTTTATGGTTCTCCTTTTAATAGCTGTTCGTTTAATTTGAAGATAGACTGAAAAGCCCATCAAACTAAACTTACAGCAGGTATTTTCATGTGAAAATATTTAAGACCACATTTGTTCAATTACCTGGAGAAAATCGTTTTATGTGTTTTTTAGGAGGATCAAGACCTGGATTTGGTGGTGGTAGGTTGAAAACTTCAATGTGGTATTCATTATTTTCATCTACTGGAAATCCAATATAGTAGAACTGCCACTGAAATAAGACAAGTTTGAAGATCATAATATATTCATATTTGAGCATATTTTTGGAACAAATTTTAAGATGCTAGAACAAGGGTCGGCAAGGTTTACCTCGCCTGGGCTGGATCGTGCGCGCAGCCGCAATTTCCAGCGTCTGCGTCTGTGCAGACGCAATTTTCAGCATCTGAGCATGCGCAGACGCGATTTCTGGCACCACGGAAGTGAGTCCCCACACCACGCTGTGCTGCTTTAGCGCAGTGTGCGGGGACTCTCCAAGCAGGCAGCTTGATTTGGGGGAGGCTCGTGGGTTGGTTAAATGACCCCCGTGGGCCACTTGTGGCCCATGGACCTTAGGTTGCCTACACCTGTGCTAGAACATAAGCAAAACAAAAATGAATGCAGCTTTCTTTCTCCATTTCCCACAAGTGACAATGTACCCAAATGAAGTAACGAACCAGACATTCTCCTGGTAGTACAGGAAGGCTTAGTGCAACTGGAGCTAAAATGAAGCATCAGGATGGACAATATGTTTGAGCATCTCTTTTTTTTAAAAAAAATGATATTTATTAAGCATTTTAAAGTTACAGAAAAAACAAAGAAACAAAGAAGAAGAAAAAACAAGGGAAAAGCAAACAGCAGTCAAACCATACAAATCAATAAAATAAAAAAAAGACAAAACACATCAAAATCCAAAAAACAAAAGTAAACCACAAACAATTAAAAACAGATCCAATATTCCCAAATCCTTAATTGTCATTGCCTTATTTCATCGACCTCCTCACACCTCCCTTATTTGTATTCCAGTTATTAATTATAACAGCAAATCCTTCCCATTTTTCATAATATTCTGTCATTAAATTACCATAATCTATTTTAACCTTATTTTACTATAAAAGACCCTAGAACTTAAAACTTAAATCTTATTTATACCAATTTCTCACAACCATAACATATTCTTGCATAGTTCTTTTTAACATTTCTGCTAAAGCCAAATAGTTTCGTTCCAACATTTTTTAATACTCATTAATTTTACAAAACAATCCTAAATAGAAAAAATTTTAAAACTTTCTTCCAATCTTCATCCAACGTCTCTTCCTCCTGGTCCCGGGTTTTGTCAGTCCTTTCTGTCCCATCCATCTAGTTCATTAACCTGGTAATCTTATGTCCGAGGCCCTTAAGTCTCTTCCATGTCCCTTCCGCAGATCTTCTTCATATTTATACCTGTACTTTACTTTGTCTCCTGGTCCTTTCACTCGTGGAAACTCCAACTTGACAGTATTTTTGTCCCTTCTCAACAGATCAGCCCCTTTTCCATAATCCACACTGAACTCCATGTGGTATTTAAAAGCATGTTTCAAAGTCCCTCCAAAGTTGAGGGCCACCACAACCCCAAACTCCTCACGGCCCATTGCCAGACTTGAAAAGTCAAGACATCCCTGCATAGGGGGGTCTATCCAGCCCCCCATCTCCAAGCCCAACAAAACTCTATCTCTCCAAATCTGGCTTTTTCCAAGTTCATTTGTCAAATCCAACAACTCATGTTCCTGCTGGGCCACAGCTCCCTCCATCTCTGCCACCCGAGGTCCAACAACGATCTCCTCCCTCATCTGATCTGTCAGAGCACACTCCTGAGTTGATTCCTGGGTGGGTTCTATATAGATACCCACTACCTGTCCAAAATTTCTAATCGCAACAGTCATCAAATCCGTCTTCTCATGTAACTGTTCCAATAAAGCACTTGTCTTACAGAAAGCACGCACCAGAGCCTCTGAATACATTGTTATGCAAGGTCAGAAGTCTGTTCCCACGATCTTAATCAATATGTTTGAGCATCTCAATAGGAGATGGTCACTTGATTGTGTCACGGTATTTTGGGGAGCCCAAAGCTTAGTTTGGGGGCATACCCCCGTTACTTATTCATTCATAAGTACATTAGCAATTATTGGAATGGTTCCAGCATGTTTGAAATGTCTTGTGCCGAAATGAAGGGATGGATCAGATAAGACTGTAAGCCATTTAATCAGGATGCAACAATCAGCAGTCACAAACAGCAGAGTACTTAAGCGTATAAGGATGCACACTTTTGTTTTATAAAATGAGGAGCATTTTCCTTATCTGTCTGAATGCCCAAGTTAAACAACTGCAAATTTCATCTCACCTGGATGGGAAAATACCAAAATTACAGGGGCAGAAGACTGGTTGCTTAAATCAGAAAAAGATGCTTTGGCCATCTTGATATTGTAAAAAAAAAAAAAAAGGAGAGCTGCTACTTAGAACTGATGAAAACACAATTCACACACATATACATACACTTTTCAGAATGAGATTTTGCGGCCTTACATAATACCAGTTTCTTGTCTGGCTTACAATTCGCCCAACTCATTTCTGCAGACTGATCAGGATATAACGAACAGGAGCACCAGCTATATCAACCAGAAGCTTCCAAAGGGTTCCCAGGAATATATTTGGATACATCAGTATTCATTGGTATACTATTCTTATCCTCCCTGCCTCCTTCCTACAGTGGGATAAAGCTGCTGCAAGGAGGATGGGAATCAAAGAAAAATCATCCACAACAAAACACAATCTTCTGGCTTAAACAAAATCACAAAATCCAAAGTGTGACCTATCCTATGCAGTAGTCCAATAACATATTTGGACAACCCCACCATTATTGAACTCCACCCTTTTTTATAAATAATAAATAAAAATAAATAATGTCAGATCTCAAGCTATCCACTACAAAGTAACCTCGACATGTATGTTGTTGTTGTTGTTGTTCCATCAGACCAGTAAGTCAGTGGATCGTCAACACTAACAAACCAAAAGTAAAATTTTAAAATATAAGCCACAGAAGCATCAGCCATATGTTGGGGTGTGGGTTTGGCTGAACTTTTAAGTACCAAACAGATAAATGGATGATAACCAACTAAGTCAGGAGTTAGCAAACTTTTTCAGCAGGGGGCCAGTCCACTGTGCCTCAGACCTTGTGGGGGGCCAGACTATTTTTTTTGGGGGGGGGGTGAACACATTCCTATGCCCCACAAATAACCCAGAGATGCATTTTAAATAAAAGGACACATTCTACTCATGTAAAAACACACTGATTCCTGAACCGTCCTGGATTGAGGCTGGATTGAGAAGGAGACTGGGCCCCATCCGGCCCCCGGGTCTTTGTTTGCCTACCCATGAACTAAGCCATACTCACAGAAGGCTTAAGTCCATTGATTTAAATGAGACTACCAGGAGTATGGCTAACATTGTATGTCAACCATCATGCCTGTACGTGCTCTTAGAGGATAGCTATCTGAACCATATGGACAGATTTGCTAAAATGTGTTAAGATTCTGTGTTTCAGTGCAGGGAGTTGTGCTGCAATAGCCTTCAAGCTTCTTTCATTCCTGCAATCTTGTAAAAGTTTGCAGTGTTTGATTCTCTGCCTGTTCCATAACCATATTGGTTTGCGAGCTCTTATCTAGCTTTCTGGCTGTAAATCCTTAGATAAATTAAATTGAATTCACATTCTTCCCCATTTCCCCACAGCAGCACAATACAAAATCATTTTCTTACTTTTTCACCACTGAGCATGGTTTGGTTTTGAAACCTTTCTGTGTAATCACATCTAATACAGCTTCGACTTCCTTCCTTCTGCAAACATATCTTGGAGGCTTTCAGGAATATAATGCTGCCTGGAAAGAGAACAAACAAACAAAAAACTCGCATTATCTTATTTGTGTTTGAAGTGATATAGAAATACTAGCTGTTTACTAGGCATTGCTCTGGAATTCTAAGACACGCCCCCCCCCCGGAAAAAAAATCTGAGGTTTTGAAATCAGCAATTAAAATCACTGCAGTGGGAATGCCGACCTATTGAACAATTTTGGAATGAAATATATGAAAAAAATCAAAAAGATGTTTTAAATATATTTCAGTAAAAAACCGGAGGCATTCCTTTTAGGTATAATCACAAATGATATTCCTGACAATCAAAGGAAAGTATTCCTTTATGCAACGACAGCTGCCAGGATGCAATGAAAGAATGGCAAATTAAATTTTGTGAATATATAAATCTGGCAAGCATTCATAACAGAACAATCGGACCAGAAATTATTAAAAGAATGGGGATGTGCTAAAGAGTATATGAAAAAACACTGTTCTGGAGTAAGCATGTTGGTATGTAATGAATGATGCTTTGCAGGGTTAAAGAAAAAGAAATTTGGTGTAAAAAGTATAAAGATAGAAGTAATCTACATTAGAAACAACAATTTAGAAAGAGTAAAATTTTTGAGGTCCTAGAACAAAGGAAGGAAGTAAATATGTGTATATTGTTTATATTGTGTATATGTGTATAGAATGAAGATATGGTTTTATTTGTAGATGTGTGCTTTTTTGTTTTCTTTCTTTCATATTATGTTTTTCTTTCTTGTTGGTATAGTTTTATTTTGGAATCAAAGTTTGTAATTTTTGTTGTAATTTTGCATTGAAAATAAAATTTATTTAAAATTTTTTAAAAATCACTGCAGTTTTGAAAGATTCAGTCTACTGTCTTGATTCAAAGTGGCACCCAGTTGTCTCCAAACAGACAAAAACCTCCTTCTTAATCTCAGGAACCATTATTCAAATTCTGGTTACAGCAAACAAGCAAGTATATATTAATGTCCAAAATCAGGGGTGGGGCACTGGCTCTTTAGATATTGTTTGCCTCCCAACTATCATCAGTTTCAGCCCAGCATGGGCAATAGTCAAGGATGATGGGAGTTATGGTTCAGCCAACATTCCAACCCCTGCTCCAAATAAATATGCAGTTAGTGCCTCTCCAAATCCACATAAAGCTGCTTCACAGAGTGACATATCTGCCCACCATTATGTTTAGTTCCAGTTTCTACCATGTGTATCTGTATGCTTTAAATGGTGGTAAACATGTGTATGCCAGTTGTGTGTTCACAAAGGACATAAAAGGATTTTTGTATGTGCTTATCAGCTAGATGCCAGGGAACCGAGAAGGAAGAGAGCAGGGAAATAAGGAACTGGGGTGTGAGTTTAAGATTTCAACACACACCCACACCAAAGCATTAATCTAAGATAAATAATCAAATCAGTATTATGCAGTTGAAGAGAAGACAAAGATTAAATACGGTTACAAATTTAGAGGTCGATGGAAGAAACATTCAGAATCCAGTGGACATTAGAAAGTGTTTCCAGAGATATTTTAAAAAACTATATACCCAAGGGCCGCAAGACGAAGTCGAGATTAAACAATTTTTTGCCAAAAATGGATTATCTAAACTGTCACAAGAAAATAGGACAACCCTGAACTCTAAAATAACACGACAGGAGATTGAACAAGCTATTCAGAACATGCAACTTGGCAAATCTCCAGGGCCAGACGGGCTGACCTCCAAGTATTATAAGACATTAAAAGACTATTTGATACAACCCTTGATGGAGGTTAGCAATGAAATTATGGAGGGGAAGAGGGCACCGGATTCGTGGAAGGAAGCCTTTATCACATTGATACCAAAGTCAGAAGCTGAAAAGACACAACTGAAGAACTACCGTCCCATCTCCCTTTTAAATGTGGATTACAAAATATTTGCAGATATTTTGGCAAGTAGATTTAAAAAGTTTTAAATGAAGTAATTCATAAGGACCAGGCCGGTTTTCTCCCAGGTAGACATCTGTTTGCTAACACAAGGAACATTATTGACATCTTGGAACTTCTCCAAACTGACATAAATACAAAAGCAGTTTTAATTTTTATAGATGCGGAGAAGGCCTTTGATAATATTTCTTGGAAATTTATGATGGGAAACTTAAAAGAGATGGGAGTGGGACGGGGTTTTGAGAATGGGATTGAGGCGATATATTCAGAACAGAAAGCTAAACTGATAGTTAATAATGTGGTTACAGAAGAGTTCAAAATTGAAAAAGGGACACGACAAGGCTGCCCTATCTCCCCTTTGTTATTTATTTCGGTTCTGGAAGTGCTATTGAACATGATTAGAGGGGACCAGTTGGTGGAAGGAATTCAGGTTGGTCAGAAACAATATAAACTAAAAGCTTTTGCAGATGACCTGGTTTTGACCTTGCAGAAGCCAGAGCCTAGTACGAAAAGAGTATTACAATTGATTAATGACTTTGGTCGGGTGGCGGGATTTAAATTAAATAAACAGAAAACCAAGGTTTTGGGAAAAAATTTGACTGAGACAGAGTCAGAACGGTTTCAGAATGAGACGGAACTTAATGTGGTTAAAAAAGTAAAATACCTAGGGGTAAACATAACAGTAAAAAATCTAAGTCTATTTAAGGATAACTATGAAAAATGTTGGACAGAAATTAAGAGAGACTTAGACAGTTGGTCAAAATTGAAACTTTCTTTGTTAGGCCGAATTGCTGCGATTAAGATGAATGTATTGCCAAGAATGTTGTTTTTATTTCAAACACTTCAGGTTTTGGACAAAATGGAGTGCTTTCAGAAGTGGCAGAGAGACATTTCGAAGTTTGTCTGGCAGGGCAAAAGCCCAGAATTAAGTTTAAGATACTAACTGATGCAAAACAAAGAGGGGCTTTGCCCTGCCGGACTTAAAGTTGTATTACGAAGCCGCAGCGTTCTGCTGGCTAAAAGATTGGCTACTTCTTGAAGACACTGATGTGTTAGATTTGGAAGGGTTTAACAATGTTTTTGGATGGCATGCATATTTATGGTATGACAAAGTTAAAGCAAATAAGGCCTTTAAGAACCATATTGTTAGAAAATCACTGTTTAATGTCTGGACAAAATATAAAGACTTGCTGGAAAATAAAACACCAAGGTGGCTTTCACCTTTGGAAGCTAAGGCCCGAAAAAGACCCAATATGGAGGCCAAATGGCCAAAATATTGGGAAATACTAGAACAAGATGGAGACAATTGGAAATTGCAGAGTTTGGAGAAAATGAAAGACAAAGTGCGAGATTGGTTACATTATGCTCAGATTAAGGAAGTTTTTAAAAATGATAAGAAACTAGGGTTCCAGGTGGAGAAATCGAAATTAGAAACAGAATTGTTAGAACCAAAGACTAAGATACTTTCAAGGATGTATAACTTGCTGTTGGAATGGAATACACAAGATGAAATGGTTAAATCGGCTATGATAAGGTGGGCACAGGATATTGGGTATAATATTATGTTTGAGGACTGGGAAAGGCTGTGGAGTAACGGACTGAAATTTACTGCATGTAATGCTTTGAAAGAAAATGTAATGAAAATGATTTATAGATGGTATATGACCCCAGTCAAACTCGCAAAAATTTACCACCTGTCTGATAACAAGTGCTGGAAATGTAAAGAGTGTGAAGGAACGTTCTTTCACCTCTGGTGGACCTGCCCTAAAGTGAAGGCGTTCTGGGAAATGATTTATAATGAACTGAAAAAGGTATTTAAATATACTTTCACTAAGAAACCAGAGGCTTTCCTTTTGGGTATTGTCAGCCAAGGGGTGGCAAAGAAGGACCAAACATTTTTATGTATGCAACAACAGCAGCAAGGATACTACTCGCAAAACATTGGAAAACTCAAGATCTACCCACACTGGAAGAATGGCAGATGCAACTGATAGACTATATGCAACTGGCTGAAATGACTGGCAGAATCCGTGACCTGGGAGAAGAGAGAATCGAGGAGGATTGGAAGAAATTTAAGAACTACCTGCAAAAACATTGTGATTTGATTGAATGCTGAATAAGATGCTTGTCTAAATAACTGAGCACCACTTAACTTAGAAGTTTTTAAGAAAATAAGAAAAATTGTGAAAGTTTAACTCTTTATGAGAACTATAAGATCATGAAATATCGAAGAGATATAAGAATTTAAATAAGATGATAAATTGCTGACAAAATGTTATAATGATGAAGGTGGGAGCGGGAGATGTGAGGAAGTCCAAAGAAAATGTGAAATTATGTTAAGACGAATGTTATATTGTTTATTACATTTATTCTTATTGTAAAATCCAATAAATTGCTTTAAAAAAAAACAAACAGACAAAAACCTCCTTCTTAATCTCAGGAACCATTATTCAAATTCTGGTTACGGCAAACAAGCAAGTATATATTAATGTCCAAAACCAGGGGTGGGGCACTGGCTCTTTAGATATTGTTTGCCTCCCAACTATCATCAGTTTCAGCCCAGCATGGGCAATAGTCAAGGATGATGGGGGTTATGGTTCAGCCAACATTCCAACCCCTGCTCCAAGTAAATATGCAGTTAGTGCCTCTCCAAATCCACATAAAGCTGCTTCACAGAGTGACATATCTGCCCACCATTATGTTTAGTTCCAGTTTCTACCATGTGTATCTGTATGCTTTAAATGGTGGTAAACATGTGTATGCCAGTTGTGTGTTTACAAAGGACATAAAAGGATTTTTGTATGTGCTTATCAGCTAGATGCCAGGGAACCGAGGAGGAAGAGAGCAGGGAAATAAGGAGCTGGGGTGTGAGTTTAAGATTTCAACACCCACCCACACCAAAGCATTAATCTAAGATAAATAATCAAATCAGTATTATGCAAAACAAGGCTAGGGGAAAGTGACCTTGTTGTGGTCAATCCTTCTCTTTTTCATACTGTATGTGTGATTATTTCTCACATATCTGATCAGTTTTACTGGGTTTTCCCACACAGGTTTACAGTTAAATAATTAAGTGAACTTAGATATACACACCAGGCATACATGTACAGTCAAACCTCGGATCCTGAATGCCTCCATTTTGGAAAGTTTTGGCTCCCAAACACCGAAAACTCAGAAGTAAATGCCCCAGTTTTCAAACTTTTTTAGAAGCCGAACGTCCAACGCAGCTTCTGCTTGAGTGCAGAAAACTCCTGCAAGCAATCGGAAGCTGTGCCTCGATTGTCGAACATTTCGGAAGCCAAACAGGCTTTCGGAATGGATTACGTTCAACAACCGAGGTTTGACCATACTCCCCATTTTAGGGGAAAGGCTGTGGCTCAGTGGTACAGCACCTGTCTTGCATCACAAGGTCCTAGGCTCAATCCCCATTATCTCCAGGTAGGGAAAGTCCCACCTGAAAACGAGGAGAGCCATTGCCAGCATGGACAGTACTGGGCTAGGTGGACCCAATGGTCTGATTCAGTAATAGGCAGCTTCTTATGTTCCTAAGTGATAGGTGATGGTGAAATTGCTGTGTGATTAGGAATGCAAAGAAAGCACCAACCGCAGAGGCTCTTAAAGCACACTACATATTTTCTTTTGTTGCATTGCATTTATGTAAGTGGAAACAACCTTACTCTGAATATTCCTCCTCCCCACCAAACTGAAATGGAGCCCCTGGTTCTATTGCTAGCAGAAGTCAGAGCTGAAAGGGCCAAATCAAAGCAGAATGGACTGGTACTCATGATGTATGTAAACATATGTTACACTTCAAACTTGAGTGCAAGATTTGGTGTGGGCTACAATATCCATTCTGAAGGAAATCAGCCCTGAGTGATCACTGGAAAGACAGATCCTGAAGCTGAGGCTCCAATACTTTGGCCATCTCATGAGAAGAGAAGACTCCCTGGAAAAGACCCTGGTGTTGGGAAAGATTGAAGGCACAAGGAGAAGGGGACAACAGAGGACGAGATGGTTGGACAGTGTTCTTGAAGCTACTAACATGAGTTTAACCAAACTGTGGGAGGCAGTGGAAGATAGGAGTGCCTGGCATGCTCTGGTCCATGGGGTCATGAAAAGTCGGACATGACTAAACAACAACAAGACTAAAAAAGACGGCCTCTATCCAATTTTATAAATGAATAAGAGTTTATAAACTATGAGTTTCATAATCAGTCTGTTGCACTAACTACGAGACCTACCGTCTACACCAAGGCTCCAGGTTATATTAAAGTTGCACTTTCCCCGCCTCTCAATGATCTTTGCATCGAGGCCAGAAATATCTGATGGTACAAATTCGTGCTCCTTCAGCAGCTCAATAGAAGGCCCTTGGAAAGACAAAGAATCAGAGATCAGTGCAACCTAAAGGATTACCTATTTTAAAATAAACACTGCTATATCCAGACAGTCGTCCAGAATCTTTAATAGTTAGTATCACTTAGCATGCAGGATTCATAGTAATGGCCAGGACCCAGAAAAAGACATAACATCAAAACATGGAATATCATGAAATTATTTTCCAGCTAATGGCTGTTGTGGGTAAAATTCAGGTGTGTAAGCAAAACAAAAGCAACTTGTCCAGTGGCACGGGAGCGCACATATTCTGCTGACTACTACCTTTTCTTATGGATTTACCCCCACGCACAAATCTAAGTGGCAGGAATAATTTTAAAGGAAAGCAGTGAATGAAACAATATGAATATATAAAGTGCCAAATCACTGCACTGTTCAACTGTTTTCACTGCTTTTCTGTGCTGGCTATGACACTGTAGGTGATTACGAGAATTTGGTGGGCTCACTGGCTTCCAGAGCAGGCTTTCTAGTTAAATTCTGGAATTTTAAACCGTAACATCATGATCTGGACTGAATAATACGAAAGTGAGGGTAGCAAGAACTCCATCATTACTACTCCACAACCATCTATGTGTAGTGCCTTCCAATTGTGGGAATATATATATAATTTAGCAGAGTTTAAACGATCCCCTGTTTGAGTTTATGCAGCGACAAGCGGGTTGCTAACTCATTTGAGTCCTATCAATAATTATACCTTCCTGGTTGATAATCCCTTTCTGTCCCTCTTAAAGAAAACACACATGAATCTGAATCATACTAACACAAACTACTATCAGATTCATTCAGGTTTACAGAGTTGTTCCTGAAGGCAGGCTTAGGTTACATAACAGATAAACTATATACAGTGGTACCTCGGGTTAAGAACTTAATTCGTTCTGAAGGCCCGTTCTTAACCTGAAACTGTTCTTAACTGATCTTAAAGCTACCACTTTAGCTAATGGGGCCTCCTGCTGCCACTGCACCACTGGAGCACGATTTCTGTTCTCATCCTGAAGCAAAGTTCTTAACCCAAGGTACTACTTCTGGGTTAGCGGAGTCTGTAACCTGAAGTGTCTGTAACCTGAAGCATCTGTAACCCGAGGTACCACTGTACTAGATAATAGTGAGTCATGAGAAGACTGCATCCGAGCAGTTACCAGTTAACACTCCTAGCAGCAACCGACCAACCAGCTGACAAAACTGCCTGCCACATAGAGGCAATTAGTCCTCTCAGAATGTTGGACTTGACTGACAGCTTTATATCCCACACCAATTCAATGGATAACCTTGTTAAATGCTATGATTGTCTCTTTCAATGGATGCTGGGTGGCCATCTGTCTGGCTTTCTTTAGCTTTGATTCCTGCACTGCAGGGGCTTGGACTAAATGACCCTTGGGATACTTTGCAACTCTAAAATGACATTATTTACTACAAATTATATCAATCAGTGTTAGTGGCCCTTCACCCTCTCCATAAGTGCCCTCTGGCTGTATGACAACACAGTAAAAAAGAAAGTAAGAAATGCTTCACAATATGAACATTAATTAAATTTAACTTTAATTAGTAAGATTTTAATTAAATTAAGCTATTTATAAATTTTTGAAATTTTGCCCAGCTCTGCTTTGATGCAGAATTTTACTTTCTAATTGCATGTGTCAAGAAGTTCTTCTAAACCTCCCATTGATATATTTATTAAAGCATTCACATTAGCAAACAGAAGGCAAATTCTTTCAGAGCATAAAATTCTATGCAGTGGTAGAAAAGAACACTAAAGCATAATTATTCTGTTTGGGAACAACCAGGGATGAAATGCCACTTCATTCATTCCAAGAAACAGCACAAACCAAGATCAGGTTGAATGGAAATACTGCATAATTGCTTCTGATAAGTTGTTCTCCGAGAGTTGTGTGTGCCAGACAACTGAGGTAGTTGGGTAGGAAATGGCTTGTGCCTAACACATAAAATGTAACTCTGCCAAAAGGCCCCTTATTAGTTTCTCCTCTAGGTTTTTAGAAAACTCTCAGCTTCTTTAAGTCAGTATAAATGCTGAAAATCTTCCATAGGGATGCAGCTTTGCTGAAGAAGTTACACTGGGTCTGGTTAACAGCAACACATTTCCAATCACCATTCTAACATGCATTGCCACCAGAAGCAGGGCCTGAATCCTTGCTGACTGTTGACTAGGGTAGGGACTTCCTCTATCTGAATGTTTTCCCTGGATTTGAATGATCTCTTTACATAAAAAAACCAAGAGCCCCTAAACTGTACACATGATCCAATTCTGATACATTTATTTCAAATGTTAAGTTTATGTCCTTGGATTTTAATTACAGACCCTAACAGTGCTCCCCTCCACCCCATTCATTATCCTTCCCCCCACCCCCAGTCCCTGACGGATAATCAGATACAGTAGATTAGAGTCCAGCACTCCATCTATTACACCACTGACTCATGAATCACCTGCCCTTTAATCACAATTAAAACTAAAGATTATTTTTGAGACATTAAAGGAAAAACTCAGTCATAATCTAATACACAGAAGTTACCACTCACTACTGAAAAGATATTTTGTTTTTCAGTATTTGTTGCGGAAATAAAGAAGTCTTTAAAAAAACAACCTGAAGTACATTCTTAACTTGCAATTTTGATAACAATTGATCAAAATTGGCCATAAACAATTGATCTATAGGTTAAATCTTGCAGCAATATCCAACATACAATAGGATTGCACTGATAAAATCTTAAAATACATGTTTTATTTATACATACCATTTTCTTCGTAACACTCAATGGACTGTAATAAAAAGAAAGTCAGGATTAAAAGAAAATAAGATTTATTATTATTATTATTATTATTATTCCCTGCCACGGTTTACAGATAAAAATAAGAGCAGTTAAAAACATAGGAGGAAACAATTAAAAAACAAACTGATATAATTAAAACAGCACGGCACCACCCATTTCATTAAAAACAGTCAGTTCCCATAAATCTGTCAGAAAAAGAAATCTTCAGCAGCCAGAAAAATAACAAGGAGGAAGCCAGTCTAACATCTACAGGGAGGGAGTTCCAAAGTCTGGAAGCAGTCACTGAGAAGTAAAGCAAAAAAACCCCCAAAATGCTACTTTGTCCTAATAAAATAAAATTCCAGTTGTATAGACGCATGAATTTCACATGGAAATGTGGATTTTATGAAGCTAACAATCACCCCTCCTACAAAGCCCTCACTACTGGGATTAAAAAAAAATGTATTTAGCAAACAATGATCACAACCAAAGTGTGTTGGCATCCGTCTGTCCTGGGAGACAATGGAAAAGTGCACTTCAGGGGTAAAGTAGGAATTAATAAATCCAAGGATTTTGAAAATAAGTACTGACACAGGTTCAGCATTCATTCTTCACCTCAAGATCTCCCAATACTAAACTACTTTTGGGGCCCAGTATCACTAGCCACAACGATTCTGGGGAGAAATCTGCCACTTTTGGGATTTCTAGCTAACTGGACTCAATGCTTTTGTTGACATACAGAGTGGCACTCACCTCCACATCAGAAAGTCCTACATTGTCCTTCCTACAGAGTTTAAATGCAGGGATTGCTGAGCTTGTATTACCATTTTAAAAAGAAATCCGATACTCTAACCTAACCAATTAAACTTTTAGTTGACTATCCATCTACTTAAAACATTTCAGCCGTATATTTCACTCCTAATTATTATTTTTAAGAGAAATGGTTTAATTTATTCCTTGCATTTACAGTCTGTACATCATCAAATAGTGGATGGATTACAAAGATAAAACATTTCAAGTTAAAGGTACAATTAAAACCTTTAAATAAAGACCACAAAAACGATCGGTATCGGCGTGAGGCAGCAGCACAAAACTGCAGGGCACAAAAATGCACAGCGATATGAGTTTGTTTACACACATCCCCGTGTCTGTAATCAAGATGTTGGAGTCCAGAAGATGAGGTCCCAGGTTTAGTTCCCGCCAGGTCGGTCCGGTAAAAACTCTGGACTGAAAGAAACCCCAAGCGCCCTTCCCGCTGCAAGCAATGCTAGTTGGACCGGTAGTCTGACTCTCGTCTGAAAGCGTCTTCGCATGATGCTTCGCATGATGGTCCTACTGGTACCCCAGAGTTTCGAAAAAGGGACCACTGTGAGCGCGGCGCCCCACAGTCACCTTTGACTGGACTTAGCCGTCCAGGGGTCCTTTACCTTTTTACCTTTACTACCGCATTAGTGTTACTCCTAACATTTAGGTAGCGAGGGATTCGCACGATCTCCGCTCTCTGGGAAAAGCAGACTCGGTAGCACACGACCCTGCTGCGCGGCGCGAACATTTCGCTCCCATCCCTGCTACCGTTTCGAAAAAGAGGTTGCAACCTTGGGTTGACAAGAGCTAAGTTATTACAGGCAGAAACCCGACAGGGGCTGCGCTGCAGGCTTCCCCGAGATGCCTCACGCGGGGAGGGCGGCAGCTGCAACCCGCAGCGCATGGCGGAGAAAGAATAAAGGGGCTTTGAAGCCCCGCTCACCGGCCGAGCTTCTCCCTCAGAACTGCCAAAGTTCAGCCCCACGCTCAGCAACAGCCACACAGCCGCGTTCATGCTCTTTCGCGTCTGCGCCTCCGCCTCCTTGTTCGCTTGCTGGCTTCCCTTCCTGGCCGCCTTCCCGCCATTTATAACTTGCCTCCCCTCGCCCCCGCCCCTCACCGGCCTCCGGTCAGCCGGCAACTAGTTGCTTCAAGGCAGCCAGTAGCCAGCACTTCAGCGCCTTCGGTAGCAGCCCTCTCTCCCACCTTCCTGCAGGGCTCGAGGCCCCGAGTTCATGAAAACCAAGCGACCGAGATTTGTTTGTTGCAGTTGCTCGGTCTTTAAGAGGCGAGCAGCAAAGAGCCAGTTTTTCTTTCTCTCTTTTTAAGGGTCTGATCTGCCGTCATTGGTCAGCAACTCCAAGGTGCCCAGGGGTCCCTTCGCTCCAATAAAATATTTGAGGGGGCCGCCCCTCCCCCCACTTGATGGCCATTGCCAGGGCCGGATTTAGGTTTGATGAGGCCCTAAGCTACTGAAGGTAATGGGGCTCTTTACATGTCCTGCTGTCCTTTGTCAACAACAAATTGTCGCTGTTTTTATATGCTGTATGGTAATTTATGGCTCTAATAGGTATCTAAAGCCATTTGCACATAACAAAATATGTATTTTATCAAAGTAATTGTTACAACCAGTCCATGCAGAATGTGCGCACCCTATATACAGAAATGAGCAAACCAGTGATATTTTAGGGAACAGGCTAGCGGGCATACTTACATAATAGGAGCGTACACAACACAAAACACTGTTGCTGTATGTAGGTTTCATTTCATTTGTTTTTTATCTTATATTTTGGAAAGGTACATCCAGGTAATTTTTTGGGGGGGCCCCAAGAGAGTGGAGCTCTAAGTTATAGCTTGTTTAGCTTATACGTAAATCCGGCACTGGTCATTGCCATTCAAATGGTGTGCATGCCTCTTGTGATCGATTATGCGGCACAGGGCTTACCTGTCCGTCCCCCCCAATAATATATTCAAGTTGTTGCCCCAGTCAGCAGCCTGCAATAAAGTTCCTTTTGAAAAATGCTGCTCTGTTATGTTTCATGAGGGGAGTATTAAAGCTTATAAAATGTTGTTGAATTATGTTCCGCGAGAGGAATGTTTTTGAAGGCTATATTAAACTGTTAGGGCAAGGGCATGGCAACGGATAGCCGGCAGGTCTTCGACAGAAGCATACCTTGGCTCCCTTGCACCCTCTGCAAGGAGCTGTATCAGAGACCCCCTCATCGTTTGCACCCTTGGTAAGGAGATGTATCCGTGCTCCCCCCCCCCTTTGGCAAGGAGCTGTACAAGCACCTCAAAACCCAGGAGAGACCATGGATCAGGACAGGGGTGCCGGCTTGCATAAAATAGGGGCAGATAAGCGGTGCTCCACATAATTGAGCACACGACACAGCGCACACAACATTTCAGTGGCAATGCTCATCAACTTTGGGAAGCCCTGGCCACTCAATTGTTTTAGTGGGGGTGCTGATGTTACCTTGGCCCCTAGGAGTTGGCTCCTATGGATCAGAAACTCAACGGGGAGGGCCCCCTGCCTGGCTGACCAAAGCATCAGAGGAGTGCCTGGGGAGTACATGGACAGATGGGCTTCTGGCTGCTCTGAGCCAAAGTGAAGAGACATGATTTTTGCAGGGGGGGGGCGCGAGCCTGCACCCTGAGCGGGGGCCAACCTAACCAACCCCTGGGTACACCCTTGCTCTTAGATTAGGGAGACCCAGAGCTGATATCTCTGCTTAACCTCAGCAAGCTACTGCGCAAGTTTTTAGGTGTGTGTTTGCTGTAACAGACAAGCATGACAACCTTCACAGAATGTATTATTGAGGCTTAAGCATTACAAAACTGCTAGTCCCTCAGAGTTATCTATGCTGCTTATTCCGTATGTGCACTATATCTGTATAAAAGAGCCACCATAGGTCCAGAACCCCCCCTTTTTATTTTATTTTTATTTTATTTTATTTTACCAACAGTCTACTTGGCAGCCCTTACAGGGGTCACTTCTCACTGTCATTTTGTACGCACACACACACACACACACACACACACAAGACTCGGGCCTTTGATCATTGGCACAGGTGTGATTTTCTTAATGCGTGGAATGTAATTGGGGGAATCTTGCTACCATGTATTTTTCCAAGGAAAGTGGCAATTTTAAAAATGCCTCTGTACCATGCAGAAATAATGGGAGGTGCACGTAGTTTGTACCCTGGGTATGTTTATCTAATAACATCATAGTAACATAAGAAGGTGCCATATATGAGGTCAGAGTATTTGTCCATCTAGTCCAACATTGTCTACCCTGACTGGCAGCCACTCCTCAAGGTGAGTCAGAGGTATTTCCCATCATCTGCTAGTGCTCCTTGTAACTGGAAATGCCAAGGACTTAACTTGACATTTTCTGCATGCAAAACAGGTACTCTATCATTGGTTCCTACCTATAAATGACAGGCCATAATTTTGCTCTTCTTTTGTTTGAAATAAAGTTCCATCTTATATTGAATTCCTCTAAGCAAGAATTCACAGACTTTAGTTTGTTGGGTCTGTCGTCTTAGTTACATACAGGAAGTAAGATCTGTAAATCCCAATCAATTTTTTTTTACACGCATTCACACAAATAAAAGCAAACTGTGCTTTTATGTTGCTCTAAAATTATTTGAATGTGTTGTTGCCAAGTCAAACCCTTTGGTATCAAAATAAAAATGTTCAGTAGCACCTTATAGACCAACTTCAAGAAGTGTGCATGCACACCAAAGCTTATACCAGAACAAACTTAGTTGGTCTATAAGGTGCTACTGGATAATTTTTTAATTTTTTAAATTTTTATTTCGACTGCATCAGACCAACACGGCTACCTACCTGAACCTTCAGTATTGGGTAGGTTATAACAATTCAAGCAAAATTCCAAGATACTGAATAGTACACTCCTGTCTGGGATTATTGTCCTCTTGCATCGTGTGCGCAGCTTTGGGTGGGATGCACATAGAGCGGTGAAGGAGGAAGGGGACACCTGCCTATAACCAACCAGATCAGTCAAATCAACCCTGGAGATCAGTAGGGTGACAGATGTCGCAGCCAGACCGTGCTCACATCCAACTCCAATGGAGATGTGCCCATTCATAAACCAGCTTCTGGATAGGAGTTGCAAGTCCATGGCCAATAAAATGGCTAGGAGAGAGGGACAAGCCCCCCCACCTCGATTCCTTGTACACCAAAAATACTGTATATACTCTTTACATAACATAACTATATTGCCTAGAAGAAGGCTGCTACTTAGCCTGCACTTACTTTGTTCAGGTATTTGTTCCCAACCCTATGAAACAAAGCCTTGGAATTCTACAGTAGTTAATATAATTTAGCCATTCACCCATGCTTCACAGTACAAAATAATCCCATGATAAAGAGAGCCAGCAAAAAAATTGCATACAGCAGAATTATATCACTCAAAAAAGAGTACAAATAAATGGTATTCTTTGAAAGAGATGAAAAAGTTACTGGTTAACAATATTATTATAATAGTTAATTAATACATTTCTGTTGACTTTTAGCTTAAGTTTGAAATAATGGGATTGAGTTTCAGCCAATGTGGACAGTCTCTGCTTTAAAAGTTGGATGTTTACCAGATTTACATTAAATAAGTTTAGCAGATTTGGGTACTAGAAGTATAAACATCGCAATCACAGATAACAGCTGAGTACATAGACTTTTATCTGTTAATGTAGACTTTACTTTGGAAACTAAAAGTCAACTGAAATTTGAATATGTAAGAGCGATTTGATTACTCCCATCAAGTAATTCTGATTCATTTCATGAGACTGTGTCAACACTGCAGATACTGAGTGCAATCTAGTGATCTAGCTATACAGTTAGGACCAAACGAGACAACATGTTATTCCCATCTTTATCTCTTTCATGCCTGATTTATTTTAAACAAAAACAAAGAAACAAACAAGGGATCTGGAACATTAAAATACATGGTGGAATAGTCCTCAGGCTATTCTTCCTGTGCCTCTGCCAGACATTCCTCTCTATTGTAAGGTTACCAGATTTTTTTAAATGAACCCGGGGATGCCTTTTTTTTTTTTTTGGATAAGGAAAAAAAAGTTATTTTTAAAAAATTAAGAATTAATATCTTCTCTTCTGTGGTAAGCTTGGCCACATGTCCTTGCCCTCCCGGTGCTCTCCTACCTCTTCAGCGGCAGCAGCGCAGCAAGGTCGGGTCTTCTTTCTTTTTTCTCCTTCTTTCTCTCTCCTCCTCTCCCCTTTCCTTTTGTATTGGCTCTGGGGTTTTGCTGGCCCCGGAGCGCCACTAGGCAGTTTGCCGGGTGCTCTTGCTCCTGGCTCGATTTGGGTCGTGTGGGAGCCATGAAGTCATGGCAAAGGCTTGTAGCGCCACCTGGTGCCTCGCTGACCTCGGTGACCTGCATGTCCGTGCCTTGCAGTGTATTAAGTGCAGAACCTTATATGGCAATGGGTGGGTAAAAGCCATGACCGGATGTAGGTAACGTGAGACATTGGCAAACGGCCATGCGAGAGGAGAGAACAAAGGATAATAAAAGAGACCGGAGAGGAGAGAAGTTCGAAAGGAGCTGCTCATACCATCCTGAAAATATTGCTGGCTCTCTGTGTCTTTATTTTATGCTAAACTGCGCCATTTGTGACGGCTGGCTTCCGTCAGGGTCGCGTGCGGTGTGTGTGTCACTGGCTCCCCCAGTTTATGCGCCAGGCATCCCCAGTTCCCCTTTGGTAGTGGCAGCAGCAGCAGCACTCTCAGCAGCCCAGAGCAAGCCTGGTAGCTTCAGGAGCTGCTTGCTGCCAGGGTGCCCACCATGTTGCTTCACCGGAAGTCCCCATATAATGTGTCTTGTGCCGTTGAACCAACCATGCAACATTCATTCCCTACTAATAAATCTACAACACTTAAAGTATAAATCCGGGGACATGCCGGGGATGGATTTTGTCAGGGGACAGATTTGTAAATCTGGGGACTGTCCCTGGGACACGGGGATGTCTGGTAACTATACTCTATTGGGCCCTAGCCGCACTATACATTTAAAGCAGAGTCATACCAGTTTAAACAGTAATGGCTCCCCTACCACTAATCCTGGTAGCTACCACTAATCCATGGGTAGGCAAACTAAGGCCTGGGGACCGGATCTGGCCCAATCGTCTTCTAAATCCAGCCCTCGGACAGTCCAGGAATCAGCGTGTTTTTACATGAGTAGAATGTGTGCTTTTATTTAAAATGCATCTCTGGGTTATTTGTGGGGCATAGGAATGCGTTCATTCCCCCCCCCAAATATAATCTGGCCCCCCACAAGGTCTGAGGGACAGTCGACCGACCCCCTCCTGAAAAAGTTTGCTGACCCCTGCTGTAGATTGTTAAGGAGTTGTTAGGAGACCCCTGTTCCCCTCACAGAGTAACAATTCCCAGAATGGTTTAACTATCATTCCCAGTAGCTTTGACAGGAATAGGAGGGTCTCCTAACAATTCCCAGCATGTTGAATGAACTACAGCTCCCAAGAATCTCTGGAGGAAACCATGATTGTTTAAAGCGGTATTGTTTAAAGTAGTCTGCAATGAGAGAACAACTCCCAAATTAAAATATTTCATTTACTGATGCTGTCACTAATACTATCAGCTGGAAAAGATCCAGATGGTTAAGTAGAATTTAGAGCCCACTGACGTCAGTGTGAAAAATTGGTACCATTGATTTCTATGGTATCTAAATGAAACTTAAATCTAACACTATATGTAAATTTTCCAAAAACATATCTGAAAGAGTTAAATTGCATGCAGTAACAATAAATTGGAGCTCCATTTTACAAAGGGAAAAGAAGGACAAAGGAGTTGTTTCCTAACTGGTTGAGGAGACCCTAGATTAAATGCTTTGTAAAATGCCTATGAAGGGTATTTTTTGTGTGTATCACCTTTCCCGTAACTTTTCATGTTTCAATATGCAAATGAAATTGATTTTTTGGCTAAGGCTGGTGGTGCAGCAGCAATAAAACAGATATCACGTTTGCTAAAGTTAAGCAGTCCAGTATGATTTCAAATTGGGATGAGGAAATGCTTGTCGAGATTCCTGCATTGCAGGGGGTTGGACTAGATGACCCTCAGGATCCCTTCCAACTCTACAATATGAGGGTTCAATCTAAGTCATTTAGTTCAGTGTTTCACCCAAACCGCTGGAGGCTTCAGTAGAAAAGGAGATATGGGGTCTTCGCATTACTTCTTGGACAACAGCAGTCAGAGAAGGAAGTGGTGTAACACGAGGGAAACAATTTATGGAAGCATAGTTTTCAGGAAAGCAACGCAGCACAAGGTATGATTGCCCACGTGTGTGTCTTTTAATCCTTTTCAAGTTACAGCTGAAGCGCGCTTCCTTTTCTGTGGAACTCCTAAAGTCAAATAACTCTTTCCTAGGAAGCGGCTATATTTATATCACCCCTGCCATGCTGATATAGAAGAAAAGCGGGGGAAGGGAGACGGAAGCGTCGAAAGAAACCAGATGCGATCTGGAAAAACCTGCACGGCATGCTGAGATGTTTTCTGCTGCGGGCTAACTGCAACTCAGGGACACAAGGGCGCCATTCATTCGGCGCGCTTTTGTCCCTCCCCCTCGCCGAGAGAGAGAGAGAGACGAGCGGGGAGGCCGGGCTCCTTCTTCTTCCCACACAGAGCGAGTCCAAGGAGCACTTGGACCGATTTCCCGAGTGCGCGACCGAGAGAGGAATTTTTCATTGGGACTTGGCAAGTCCCAGTTGCAATCAGGCAGCCTGCGAATGGCATGCAATAGAAAGGGGCGTGTTCCTGAAGGGGGGCTCGCGCTCTCTCTCTCTCTCTCTCTCTCTCTCTCTCTGTGTGTGTATACTGTATATATATTTGTATATATTTGGTACAAGGGTCCAGGCCGGCCAGCCCCCTTTAGGAACACGCCCCTTTCCAATGCCTGCCTGCCTGCTCGCTCTTTGGACTTGCCAAGTGCCCGTCAGCCCCCCGTCAAAAAAAGTTGCGCGTCTGCGCAACGGAGAAGGAAAGGGTGGCGAATGAGTGAGGGAAGCTGCAGAGACGGCGGAGGCGCCGGTGCTTTCGGGGACGAGAGAACGAACTTCGGTTTGTGTGAGTGGGTAAAGTAAAGTGGCTGGAGGAGAAAACAACAACCACGAGCCTGGCCCAAGTCGGCGAGACTGCGGTCGGGAGAGAGAAGGGCCGTTACGAAGGCGGGAAAAAAGGGGGTGCAGGCCGATTAGACGAGGGCGCGCGCGCGCGCCAGCGGGGTGGCTTTGGGTGGCGGGAGTCGCCTCAGAAACGCGCTCTTTGCTCGCCCCGCCCCGCTTCCAGGCTCTCCTGGCTGCTGCTCTTTACGGGACCAGCCACCCCCTATACAGTGTATATATATGAAAAGTAAGCCTCTGGTTGGGAAATATTATCTCATTCCGGCCCCGTATGATCCCAGTCAACAGCAGACTTGCTGGCTCCCACAACAGGTTGCTCGCAAGGTCCTGAACAGATCAATGGGGGTTTCTCAAGGAGGCACGACGCAAGCCTTCACAAGTGTGGGCCAGATCCTTGAGAACTTTCTAGCAAGACAGCAGGTGTTAAGGGGAGGTGGATGACAGGGGGGTTTATCTTCATTTGGGGGCCTCCACTCTGCTGTAGGTATTCTCTCCCCTACACCCCCCCCCGCCTTTTAAACACGGGGCAGAAGAAAACAAGTTTGCTTGCTCAGGTCCTTTGTTGGCATCTGAAGAAAAGAGCCCTGCAGGACCCGACCTATAATAATATAATAATAAATTATTACTGATACCACACCCATCTGGCTGGGTTTCCCCAGCCACTCTGGGTGGCTCCCAACAGAATACAGTGGTACCTCCGGTTCAGTACTTAATTCGTTCCAGAGGTCCGTTCTTAACCTGAAACTGTTCTTAACCTGAAGCACCACTTTAGCTAATGGGGCCTCCTGCTGCTGCCGTGCCACCAGAGCATGATTTCTGTTCTCATCCTGAAGCAAAGTTCTTAACCAGAAGCACTATTTCTGGGTTAGCGGAGTCTGTAACCTGAAGCATATGTAACCTGAAGCATATGTAACCTGAGGTACCACTGTAGTAAGAACATGATAAAACATTAATCATTAAAAACTTCCCTAAACAGGGTTGCCTTCAGATGTCTTGTAAAAGTCAGATATCTGTTTATTTCCTTGACATCTGATGGGAGGGCGTTCCACAGGGCAGGCGGCACTACTGAGAGGGCCCTCTGCCTGGTTCCCTGTAACCTCACTTCTCACAGTGAGGGAACCGCCAGAAGTCCCTCGGAGCTGGACCTCAGCATCCAGGCTGAACGATGGGGATGGAAACGCTCCTTCAGGTATACTGGGCCGAGGCCTATAGCCCTTCTAATCCAGCACCTTGTTCTCGCAATTGCCAGCCAGATACCAGTGGGAAACCTGCAAACACCCAAGCACTCCCTTTTCCTTCAGTTTCAAATAACTGCTATTCAGAAACATTACTACCTCCACACGGACTATTTCCATATTTTTCAAGTGTCTTTGTTTCCGAGGGATGCCCCTCATTTAAACCTACAGTGGTACCTCGGGTTACATACGCTTCAGGTTACATATGCTTCAGGTTACAGACTCCGCTAACCCAGAAGTCGTACCTCGGGTTAAGAACTTTGCCTCAGGATGAGAACAGAAATCGTGCTGTGGCGACCCCATTAGCTAAAGTGGTGCTTCAGGTTAAGAACAGTTTCAGGTTAAGAACAGACCTCCGGAACGAATTAAGTACTTAACCCGAGGTACCACTGTATTTTAAAGTTGTCCCTTGATAGCGTTGCAAGCCTCTTTATCACCATAAGTTTATTGCAGGTATGCCTGATTCCATGGACTATCCGCTAATACCACTTACACCCAAAATATACATCCAAAATGCTTAAAAAGAGATATTTGAGCATTTAAAACTTAATGTAATTTCTTTATATGTTAATTGCCACAGGGCTCGCCCACTAAATGTCTATACTAGATGACTCTTGGGGATCTCTTTCGATTCTACAATTCTGTGATTCTGTGGAACAGTTGCTTGTGAACAGGCTTCTGTGGGATCAGCGATAGGGAGCTCAATCATGTGGAAGCCTATGTGTGAGCATTCTCCCTGGACTTCCTCCTCCATCATTAAAGGTCAGCGGCATGCCTGTGACTTGCAGTGGGCTAGGCAAAACAGCTCCAAGTAAACACATGGAGCCTTTTTACACGATGCTTACATACTATATTAGGACTCTGCTCAAAATGAGAGGGGCGAAAGGAAGTCGGAAATTTAGGTTAGACGATATTTGTCTACAGGAAAAGAAGTAGGCTGGCATCATCACACTCCCATTTAGTGTGTTGAGAATGGTGATTCCTGCCAAAATAAGACTGAAAGATTCTCAGAAGCTTTCCTCAGCTAGGAACTTAGCAAGCTGAAAATGTTTGTTTGACTCTCTAAGTCTAGGAAACAAGGACGTAGCTTTGTTGAGGGTGCTGAAAGTTCTCTGTAAGATATCCCTAGTCCCTCAAAAAACCTAGTTATCTAGATTACCTTGAAGAACAAAGCATGAAATCAAGTTCCACCATCATAGTTGCAGTAACTTGTACTCATTTAAAGTAACATTATTTTTTCATTTTTTCATATTTTTTTCATTTTTCATATTTATTATGAAACATTCCACCCCTTCCATTATTATTAGCCCTCAGAATGATCCTCTACTTTCACTGTACACAAATTCTGTTCTGTGAAATAGACATGATCTGAGATTATGTAGCTCTGACAAAGCTACAGAAATATCTTAGCTGTGTCAATAATAAGAGAGCCTTGTTGTAGATTAGAACTTGGAGGAATTGGCAATAGTTTTCTGAGTACTTGGCACACAATTTAAAATATGCATGTTAACCCACTCCTAAAATAACCAAATTTAGATCCAGTGGCACTGGAGAAGTACCATCCAGTCTCTAATTTGCCATTTTTGAACAAGGTATTGGATTGGGCGGTGGTCTTCTAACACCAGATAGTATTGGATTATGTTGATTCTATGAATCTACAGTGGTACCTCGGGTTAAGAACTTAATTCGTTCTGGAGGTCCGTTCTTAACCTGAAACTGTTCTTAACCTGAGGTACCACTTTAGCTAATGGGGCCTGCTGCTGCGCGATTTCTGTTCTCATCCTGAAGCAAAGTTCTTAACCCAAGGTACTATTTCTGGGTTAGTAGAGAATCCTAACCTGAAGCGTCTGTAACCCAAGGTACCACTGTATTTCAGAGCCATTTATGGAATGGCAATTGGCTTTTTAAAATTCTGGACGATGACTTACACCAGAAAATGGCCCAGTGAGAGATGTTATCCTGTTCTCTTAGACCTCTCTTAGACCAGGCATGTCCAACAGGTCGATTGGGATCTACAGTGGTACCTTGGGTTAAGTACTTAATTCGTTCCGGAGGTCTGTTCTTAACCTGAAACTGTTCTTAAACTGAAGCACCACTTTAGCTAATGGGGCCTCCTGCTGCCGCCACGCTGTCGGAGCACGATTTCTGTTCTCATCCTGAAGCAAGGTTCTTAACCTGAAGCACTATTTCTGGGTTAGCGGAGTCTGTAACCTGAAGTGTATGTAACCTGAGGTACCACTGTACTGGTCAGTTGTGGGGTCGATCCCACCCCCAAGCTGAACAACTTTGGCTTTCCAAAAAAAAATGCTGAGCAACGGAGCCCGCCTGAGGGGAAGGGAGGATGGTAAGGGCTGGCGTGGAAGGGGTTCCGTCCTGCCCTCCGTCCTGCCCTCCGGCGGCTTAAAGGGGCAGTGTGCTGTTATCAAGCTGCTAGCACCGGAGGTAGCAACCGCGTTACCAGGGCTTTGTTACATGTGCTTTTACCTCAGGGCTCTTCCCGCCCACCCGCTTCTGAGCCTCGGGCCTTGCCGAGGGTGGCGGGTCTGGAGCGATCTGCCGGGCAGGCTGGGTTCAGGACCATGGCTGACCGGATCTGGCCCGCGGACCGGTTTGAGGAACCCTGTTCTGGGCAAGTCTACTCTAGACTCCTGTGATACACTCTACATTTTCAGCTGGTTCACAGTGCGGCTGCCAGAGCCTTGATGGGAGTATGGTACCAGCGACACCTGCGTTGTATTGATTGCACTGCTTTCTAGTTTGTTTCTGGATTGAGTTTAAAGTACTGGTTTTAACCTTTAAAGCCCAGTACAGTTTGGGTCCAACATATTAATTGAACCGTCTGCATTTGCACCATTTTGCTCACACTATGACATCTCCCTCAGAAGCTCTCATATACACAGTGGGATGGGGGTGGGGGTAGGACTGCAAACAATGAGATAAGAGGAAAATGAAATGCAGGAAATGCAGGCAGTGATAATTACACCGTTAATAAGAGGACAGTAAATTGAAGAAGTAAATTTTATTAGAAATATGATTTTGGAGAACTGTTACAAGGTGATACAATGAAATTCAGTTGGGGGGATTTGAGGAAGTCAGTTAACAAAGAAAGTTAAATTAGGTTTTAGAAGTAAGTGTCCCCCCCTTTTTCTCTTTTTCTATATTTAGTATTGTAATGTGTTTTCTTTTGTGTTTTGTATGTTATTTCTGTTATAAATGTGGAAAATTAATTTTAAAAAAAATTAAAAAGATAATTACACCATTAACAGGGGTTATTCACAAAATCGCTGTTGGTGATAACACATACATCCTGGCATTGAAAATAAAGAGTCTTGGATTTGATGAATAATAATAATAATAATAATTTATTGTTTGTACCCCGCCCATCTGGCTGGGTTTCCCCAGCCACCCTGGGTGGCTTCCACAAAGACCAAAAATACACTAAGATGTCACACATTAAAAACTTCCCTGAACAGGGCTGCCTTCAGATGTCTTCTGAATGTCAGGTAGTTGTTTATATCTTTGACATCTGATGGGAGGGCGTTCCACAGGGCGGGCACCACTACCAAGAATGCCCTCTGCATGGTTCCCTGTAGCTTTGCTTCTTGCAATGAGGGAACTGCCAGAAGGCCCTCGGCGCTGGACCTCAGCGTCCGGGCAGAACGATGGGGGTGGAGACGCTCCTTCAGGTATACTGGGCCGAGGCCGTTTAGGGCTTTAAAGGTCAACACCAACACTTTGAATTGTGCTCAGAAACGTACTGGGAGCCAGTGTAGGTCTTTCAAGACCGGTGTTATGTGGTCTTGGCGGCTGCCCCCAGTCACCAGTCTAGCTGCCACATTCTGGATTAGTTGTAGTTTCCGGGTCACCTTCAAAGGTAGTCCCATGTAGCGCGCATTGCAGTAGTCCAAGCGGGAGATAACTAGAGCATGCACCACTCTGGCGAGACAGTCTGGTGAAGCAGGTAGGGTCTCAGTCTGCATACCAGGTGGAACTGGTACCAGGTGGAGCTGATGAAGTGGGTGATATGCCAAAGATATTCCAAAGCGCTTGCGCCACAATAAATTTGCTAGTCTTTAAGACGCTCTGTTGTTTTTGCTGCAACAGACTAGTATAGTTACATGTCTGGAAAGTTATCAACAGGATAGCCCTGCAACTGACCATGTTTTTGTTTCTACTACAACAGTATTAGGGCTTAAATTTATGATTCAGACCACATATTTACAAACCTGTTTGTTAAGATTTATCTATTTGAGTCATACATTTCAATTATTGAGAATTTCTTTTTCTTTTTCTAGGTTAAAGTATTTGAACTATATTGTGTATACCAGAAGATCCACGGAGGAAAACATGTCTTATTTACTCAAAGAATTTCTAAAATGTGGTTTTGCCTGCCAAATGCATAGAGTAGGAACATTATTAATTGGAAAACATACGCTGAAAAATTCCAAAGCCTTCAGTGGACGACAACTGAACACTTCACAAGCTTTATCTCAAGTTAGTGCCAAGAATGTGGACTCTTTCAGTTATGTAATTGTTGGAGCTGGATCTGCAGGATGTGTATTGGCCAACCGATTGACAGAAGATCCTCACAGCACTGTTAAACTCCTGGAAGCTGGGCCAAAAGATACCATTTTGGATAGCAAGCAATTGCTGTGGAAGATCCATATGCCCGCTGCACTAACCTACAACCTATGTGATGAGAAATATAACTGGTATTACCACACAACACCACAGAAGCACATGGATAATCGAATTATGTATTGGCCCAGAGGAAGAGTGTGGGGGGGATCATCATCCCTCAATGCTATGGTGTATATTCGGGGCCACGCAGAGGATTACAACAGGTGGAGCAAGGAAGGGGCTGTTGGATGGGATTATGAGTTTTGTTTGCCATATTTTAAGAAAGCACAGACACATGAGCTGGGTGCTGATTTGTATCGAGGTGGGAATGGTCCACTTAATGTGTCCAGGGGAAAAACAAAAAACCCTCTTCACCGTGCATTTTTGGATGCAGCTCAACAAGCTGGGTATCCCTTCACAGAGGATATGAATGGCTTTCAACAAGAAGGCTTTGGTTGGATGGATATGACAATACACAAAGGTTAGCCTTCAAAGAATGTTTGTAAACTTGTCTATTTACCAAATAATAATAATCAGTCTACATGGATAATCACAATTGTTTTTGAAACAGTGTGCCGTGAAGCCCTGAGATTCCTTGGAAGTTTGCCAAGGATTTCTCAGTAAAATCACTAATGATGGACAAGTTTATCCAAAAGACAGTTTGATCACTGCTGCTGATCTTTCTATGCTATGTATATTTGCAAGGTGTGTTTATTTTATGTATTCTGTTACTTCTTCACGCAGTGCATATTTAAACCATGGAACCTGCTCCCACAGGAGGCAGTGATGGCCACCAACACTTTCAAAGAGGATTAGACAAATTCATGGAGGAGAGGGCTGTTGATGGCTACTAGCCATGAAGCCAATGCTCTGCCTCCACAGTTTGAGGCAGCAGTGCTTCTGGAATACCAGTTTCTGGAAACTAGAGGGTGGGGAAGTGTGCTCTTGTGTTTGAATCCAACTTGCGAGCCAAATACATGACCACTGTGAGAACAGGATGTTGGATCAGATGGGCCATTTGTCTGATCTGGCAGGGTCTTATATTCTTTTTTTTTTTATTCAACTTAATTAATATTTATAAGAAGTTGTTGCGGGGTTAGTTAGGGAAGCCAGAAATGAGTGTGAAACAGCAACAATAACCACACAAAGGTATCTAATTTACCTCTCTTCTGGTAAACATGTCTTGTTGACTTGGATTAAATGATCTAATATGGAATTACTATGGAAACCAATCTGCAGAAAGCATTCACTTCAGTAGAACTGATTTGTCAGTTTACTGAAATTAGTTTTTCTGGCTGAATGAGAATGCCAATTGATGGCCATCTTTTGCATCCACTAAATTTGTAGAATAATTTTTGACAGCACTTTTAACCACTTGATTTGCATTTAATTCTTAAATGTAGATAGTCTCTCTCTCTCTCTCTCTCTCTCTCTCTCTCTCTCTCTCTCTCTCTCTCTTGCAAGGTATTATGCACCCAGTCCACAAAACTACTATTCGAACCCTTCCCTTGCCCCCAGCAAAGGTGATCAGCACTGTCAGTTTTTGGAGTCGGGTGGGATTAAGAGTACAGCAATAGGCATAGAGTGTTATATTTGTGATTCTATAGATTGAGGCAGAACTTCAGTTAGGGGCAGAAATGATAAATTCACACAGCGTCCTGCCCAGCAGGGTGTCCCCCCGCTCCATTTTATGTATGGGAGATGTGTGTGTGTGTGTGTGTAAACTTATTCCAGTGGGCAAGTTAATAGATCGCAAGTTGCTGGATTGGAGCAATTATTTTAAAGGAGAAGAACAAATGCAGAATTTCAAAACGGCGAGAAAGTCATTTCTGTAGCTCTGAAAGGGCATAGATTATTTTGGTTACTTCTGTTATATATAAACCTATATTTTGTAGGTCAAAGATGGAGCACAGCTAGTGCTTACCTTCGCCCTGCATTGCCACGCCCAAACTTGTCCGCAGAAGACAGTACACTTGTTATAAAAATTTTGTTTGAAGGGACCAAAGCCATTGGCATTGAGTATGTTAAAAATGGAGAAAAGAAAAAGGTAAGATTTAAATTTCCTATCCAGAAAGAAATTTCTGGAAAGGTAATAGATTTTTAGTTGTGATAAAAATAAAATGTTACTGCAGCAGAGTTATAGCAAGGCTGCTGTGCTGCTTGAAGTAGCTACACTGCTTGAAGTAGTTACACTACAAAGTTACAAATGAAACTTTGATATACTATATATGAACATGTACCACCGATGAAGCCCATGAGAGCGAAACAAGGCATTATTCCGGAAATCCTTGTCAACTCTGTGGAACTGTAGTAGGCTCCAATATGGACTTTATGAACATATGTGGAACAGAAACTACCAGATATTTGGTCTTTATGAATTAACTGATCTATTGGGACTTCCGTCTATATTATTGCACTTTATCGCCAAAGAATTGATGCTTTTGAATTCTGGTGCTGGAGGAAACTCTTGAGAGTCCCATGGACTGCAAGAAGATCAAACCTCTCCATTCTGAAGGAAATCAGCCCTGAGTGCTCACTGGAAGGACAGATCCTGAAGCTGAGGCTCCAATACTTTGGCCACCTCATGAGAAGAGAAGACTCCCTGGAAAAGACCCTGATGTTGGGAAAGATGGAGGGCACAAGGAGAAGGGGACGAAAGAGGACGAGATGGTTGGATAGTGTTCTCGAAGCTACTAACATGAGTTTGACCAAACTGCGGGAGGCAGTGGAAGACAGGAGTGCCTGGCGTGCTGTGGTCAATGGGGTCACGAAGAGTCGGACACGACTAAATGACTAAACAACAACAAAATGTGTTGTTTCTATGCAAGATAAACATTTGATATTGTGATAAGAATATATAGAAGAGTATTGTTTATGTGAATGCACAGCCGATTACATCTTGTGTGTTTGTCAAACAGTCAGATCCGGCTGACTGTCTAGACTCCAGCTGTCTGGACTAACACAAATACAGTGGTGCCCCGCAAGACGAATGCCTCGCAAGACGGAAAACCCGCTAGACGAAAGGGTTTTCCGTTTTGGAGGTGCTTCGCAAAACGAATTTCCTATGTGCTTGCTTCGCAAGACGAAAATGTCTTGCGAGTTCCTGCGGGGTGTTTCCTTTCCCCCTTTTCCCAAGCCGCTAAACCGCTTATCAGCTGATGGCTAAGCCGCTTATCAGCTGATCTTTAAGCCGCTTAACAGCTGATGCTAAGCCGCTTATCAGCTGATCGTTAAGCCGCTTATCAGCTGATCTTTAAGCCGCTTATCAGCTGATCGTTAAGCCACTTATCAGCTGATCTTTAAGCCGGCTAAGCTGCTAATACTGTAGCGCTAAGCCGCTAAACCTCTAATGGGCTTGCTTCGCAAGACGAAAAAACCTGCAAGACGAAGAGACTCGCGGAACGGATTCTTTTCGTCTTGCGAGGCACCACTGTAGTATGGAAAATGACATTTATGACCCAGCTGCTCTCTGAAAGGTTGTTTTGAAATACTGATTTTATTATATCAAAATTATATTTATTAACAATTAGCTTTCTTTTATTTCAGGTTTTTGCTAGTAAAGAAGTTATTTTAAGTGGAGGTGCCATAAATTCCCCACAGTTACTTATGCTGTCTGGAGTTGGAAATGCAGATGACCTAAAAAAATTAGGAATTCCTGTTGTCTGCAACCTTTCAGGTGTGTATCTAATACTGTGTTTGGGTTGAATATAGTTCTGCTTACACTGATCAACTGCTTGCCTTGGAATCTAAGATAAGTTAACTAAAGGAAGTTAGTCAGCTGCAGGGAGTGATGGAAAACTTTACCCCTATGTTGTTCCTTAAGTTACCTTATCTTATAATCCAAGCTGTACTTATTTCTATAATGTTGGCAGTTTTTTTGTTGTTGTTTCTACTAGGAGTTGGCCAGAATCTTCAAGATCATTTAGAAGTGTACGTACAACAGAAATGCACTCAACCTATAACATTGTATAAAGCACAAAAGCCTCTTCAGATGGTCAAGATTGGGCTTGAATGGTTCTGGAAATGTACAGGTAGGACTTAAAATAGTGTCATGTGATGCTGTTAGATAGGGATAGCAAATTGGCTTTTAAAATAAAAAGGGGCTATCCAAGTGAATGTACATACCTGTGAGCACTCTGATTAGAGAAACCTTTGACCAGTAAACATATTTTATCTATACCAGCCCCCCCCTTCATTCACCAACCCCACCTATACCCTTTACCAAGATTCCCTCACCAGACCCCCCCCCCCACACCTTGACAACTCCCCACCCCTGGACCTTGCCAGTCCCTTACAGCATGCCCAACACCTACATCTAGCCCTTGCCAACACCCTCCTCCTCACCCCAATAACCCTCGAGACCTTTCCCATTCCTTCTCATGCTGATGCAGCCAAGCAGGACAAAGGGGTGACCTGGTAGGTGGAGCCCTGCAGGAAGGAGGTCAGAAGTGGCAGCCAGCTGGCATTGCGATCTGCCGCCACCACCTTATCCCTGCTGATTCTTTATCCTAAGCAGTGATGGAGACAGTGGATTACTAGGCTGGCTGCCTGCCTCTTCTAACCACCTTCCTCCTGCCTGCTCTTAGTTTGTCAGTTAATCTTACTGACTTTAGTGGGGCTTTCTTCTGAGAACACGGCTGTCCAGGATCCACATATTAGCATCAAGATAACTCGTGTTTCTTCCACGTGTTCCCCTCCAACTGCGTCTTCTACCTCCACACACAGGAGTCAAATATCCCTCAGAATCCTTCAGAAAGGATATTGCCAGGAATATGCTTTCTCTCAGCCGGAACTGTTTTTTATATAAAAAACAAAATTCAAAACAAATTTATATAAAAAACAAAATTCTCTTCCCCATTGCACAATTTCTGAATCTCCCCTATGGTATTTCCATTCTTCAGGTGACGGAGCCACTGCTCATCTAGAGTCTGGGGGATTTATCAGAAGTCGACCTGGAGTTTCTCATCCAGATATTCAGTTCCACTTCCTCCCTTCTCAGGTGATTGATCATGGACGTGTTGCTTCTCAACTGGAAGCTTACCAAGTGAGTGGTACAAGAACACTAATTATGAAGAAACAGAAGTACTACCTGAAAAATTGTGCTGCCATAATTCCATTTTACCTGTAGCATATACAGTGGTACCTCTAGTTAAGAACTTAATTCGTTCTGGGGGTCCGTTCTTAACCTGAAACTGTTCTTAACCTGAGGTACCACTTTAGCTAATGGGGCCTGCCACGCCGCTGCTGCGCAATTTCTGTTCTTATCCTGAAGTAAAGTTCTTAACCCAAGGTACTACTTCCAGGTTAGCGGAGTCTGTAACCTGAAGCGTTTGTAACCTGAGGTACCACTGTAAATAGAAAAGTCAGATTATGTCCTTCAGCATCCTTGGTAATCACTCTGTCATAGTAAAACAACAGAGAAAGATCTAAACCAGACCATTTCTCTTTCATGATACCCCTCAACATGGCACCCACAGATGCCATTGTATCCATCAGATACTTTCGTTGGTGCCCAGTGGCATTCCCTGTCACTTCTGGGTTTTTAATTAAAAAAAAAATCATTTTTGCAGACTCTTTCCTTTTTCTTCTATCTTCGTCTGTGGCTGGGTTGACTACAAAGAGACCCACAGGCCTGCACATGCTCTATTCTTCTTTACTTCCCCTTCCCATTAATGCTTCTGGGATGCATGTGGAATCAGGACATCTTGTTCTATTTTCTTTATGGAAGCCGCCTTGAGTCCCGGACTGGGAAAAAGGTGGAATATAAATAAAAAAATATAATTATAGTAATAGTAATAATTTTTCATAAGAAAGGAAAGAAAGAGGGTGGAGGCCTCACAGCCTCACCTCAGAATTCTTCAGAAAAGGCGAAAAGGGACCTTGCTGCCGCCTGCTGTGTTAGGGGAAGGTGGAATGATTGAGGGAAGAGATGTCCCTGGATATTGTTTTTGAGGGTGCACATGTAATGCCTCCTGTTTTTGTATGGTGGTTTGTTTGGCAGTGGGGTGTTCTGAGGAGGATGTTGTGTCTGCATTGTGGGTTAGGGATTAACTGTTCTGGAGCTGAGGTTCTTGTATTCAGATGTACTATGGACAACTTATAGAGAAGTCAGTTTTTAAAACTATATTAATTTAGAAAGAACATCCTGATAGCTTATTTCATATTCTTTGGGGGCTATTGCAGGTTCATGTTGGACCTATGCGAAGTACAAGTGTAGGATGGCTAAAGCTGAAAAGTACAGACCCAAGAGAGCATCCTGTCCTTGAGCCCAACTATTTGTCAACAGGTAAGTTGCATAGGTTATCTGTATTCTATACCTTGTCCCTTTTGGTTTGTGGTTCAAAACCATGAGAGCACTGCTTTGTATTTTGTTTTAGTATCATTTTCCATCCATCCCAAACTATGTAGGACATGGCAAAGTGGTCATGTATCATCTACTGAGAGCCCAGTTCTCTCAGATAACTATGTTTCCCCACATGTGTAACTGTTGTTGTGGTCATAGTCATAGTCATCACCACCACCATTATTAAATAATTGCCTTCCACATATGCCTCATGGCGATGTACAAAGCATTAAAAACACTAAAAATGACATCAAATTTAAAAACAATACAGAGTACACATTCATGGCATAGACCTTTTTATCCAGCTGGAAAAATTTGTAGGTACAAAAATACCTTCAATTGTTTCTAGAAATTGTTCCTGAAAATTTGCCGTTTCCAGGTTGGTAGAACCCAATGGAATCAGGTTGCCTGAAGTGAGCCAATACAAAATAATAACAGTACAGGCCACAATTAAAATGTCTAGAAAGGCATGTTGAGAACCTTCTGTTTACTTCGACTGGATATTCCTCAACTTCTGGTTGTAGTACTGTGGTCTAAAATTTTGTGTGCTGTTCTGTGCATGCAAAGCTCTTGCAGATGCATGATGCACCATTGAAGGAGCAGATACATAAACATGCATACCATGCAGCTTCCACGGCTATATGAATTTGCTCTATCATTAAAGTTTTCAGTTAGAAAACAGAGGGTTGTCTGAATTCAACACTAATGTTGATCACATAGTAAATCTCGATAGGAAAGTACTAACTGAGTGAAATGCTAAATAGAAGTGGCTCACTGGAGGGGACAGAGCTGCTGGCACGTGGGTTGCTGTTTTGTACTGGGAGAGGAGCAAGATGGCCAAAAGGTTGGCATGATGGAAATGGACCTTGGAGCCAGCTTTGGGGGAGATGCCTCTCTCTCTCTCTCTTGATTAGCAAAAAAGGTATTAAATAAGGCAATACCCATTCCCTGCCTGTCCTGTTCTTGACTTCTCACATTTTACTTGCATTTCTAAGATACTGCCTGTATGTAATAGGCAGTACAGTAATAATGCTCAGTGTTGAGCATGCTTAGAATCTTTGTCTTTGTCTTTCTTATTTACAGAAATAGATGTCTGGGAATTTCGTCAGTGTGTGAAGCTAGCAAGAGAGATATTTGCTCAGGAAGCCTTTGAAAAATTCCGTGGACCTGAAATTCAGCCAGGAAGCCATGTTCAGTCTGATGGAGAAATAGATGCCTTCATCAGACAAAAGGCTGATAGTGCCTACCATCCTTCATGCACTTGTAAAATGGGACAGAGTTCTGATCCCACTGCTGTGGTTGATCCCCAGACCAAAGTTATAGGGACAGAAAACCTGAGAGTTGTTGATGCCTCAATAATGCCTAGTATCGTAAGTGGAAATTTAAATGCCCCAACCATCATGGTAGCAGAGAAAGCTGCTGATATAATCAAAGGACTACCATCGCTTCAAGAGAAAAATGTTCCTGTATATAAACCCAAAACTTTGGAAACTCAGCGATGAAATAGCTGTGATGTTCTCTGCAGAATGTATTCTAATAATAATTGAAAATCAACTTTCTATTTCAGTCAAACAAAGAGATTTGGTGTGTAATGAAAATTGTTCAGAAAATAGCTGCACGCTCAAGTAAGAACAGGTAAAGATATATAAGAAACTGCTTGATAACAGCATGGCTGACATGCATAGATATTTATTACTTCATGTAGTAGGATCTTATGATGGAATTGACTTAAGATCTTGATTATTTAGGATGTAGTTTGTGGGCTTACGGAAGAATTTCCCTACACTATAACATGGATATTATATCAGATTTTCTCAGGGCTATACAAAATATAGAAGACTGAGCCTACACATTAAAGAGGACTGGTTGATCTAATACTTAAGAGTACACTTCAGAAAAATGAAGCCACAACAAAGTTCTACTGAAAGCTTTGTTTTGGGGTTTATCTTAACTGGAACAATTAGAACCAACTAAATTTGTTGAGTTGTGACTAAAGTTAGGACCCCCCCCAATAATTTTTTGTAGGACAATTTGTCCCCTATAAAAGCAATTAATGAGTTCAACAAGTGCACAGAATAATAGTATAGATAAACAAAAAAAGAGACTATCTCCAGCTGTCAACGGCTTCTGTTACTCTTAATAAATTACAGGTACAGCAAGTTACGTAATGGTTGCCTATGAAGCATTAGATGTCAACTTGGATGTTGAGGACATGGTTGTTGAACAGCCTAAGTTTAGCTGAACCTTCTTGTGCTTATAGTAGCAGGCCCACATGTTCAGGTTTCTGTGTGCAATTTAGTGAATAATTTAGTCGTTCAGTCATTCATATAGGAACTAAAATATTCACTGCGCCCAGGAGTACTGTTTCCCTGGGGAGGGAGTTCCAGGGCCATAGAAAGCACCTGATCTTCCTCTCTGAGGACAAGGAGGCTGCTCTGACCTTTAAAGAGGAAGAGCTAATGCTGGATTGCCCTTTTTTGTCACCGTGACAGCTTCCACAGCTGTCGCCCAATTTATGGGATGGTTCTGGTATTAGTAGGGCTGAAAAGAGGGGCGTCAGGGGAAGACTGGATTCATAATCAAAAGGAGGCAGACCCTTTCCAGTTTCCCAACACATCCCTAAATTAATGTTGCCTCTCTTTTCAGCCTTACCAAGCTTGGAGACCTTTTAGGCAACAAGTGACTAATACATTGGTACCTTGGATTACAACCATTTTGGATTACAACCACGTCAAACCCAGAAGTGTGTGTCTCTCTCTTTGAATTACAACCCATTTTGGGGGGGATTACAACCCCCCCTTTTTTGGGGGGGAGGCCCCATTGGCGAAAGCGCGCCTTGGGTTACAACCTGTTTTTATTTATAACTGGACCTCCGGCATGGATTATGGTTGTAAACCAAGATATCACTGTACATTTAATAAACTTTAAATAGTAGTAATAATAATAAAAAACAACACCCAGGAAATAAACGAGTTAGCATAGTTTCTTCCCATTTATTATGTCCCACTTTAACTGAAGGGAAATTATTTAAAAAGTAGAAAAGGACAGAAATGCAGGACCCCCTTTTGGTACTTCTGCCTTGCTAGTGAGAATGCAAGTTCCTTCCCTCCTCTCCTTAAAATTGTGACCTAATCTGCTTTGATACAAGTTATACATGGCAGATAATTTAGTGACAGGCAATTGAAAGCAGAAAAGGACACCTGGAGAAAATGATGTTCCTTAACACCTTAACCTAAACTGTACCTGGTTGTACTCATTAGGCTGGAGGAATGGTGTTGCTATCATTTCTTCATGCAGTAAAATCCCCAGCAGTTTTCACAGGGCACACTCTAGCCAAGGCCAAAGGGGACAGAAGACTCTGGGTTTCCAGTAGGGTGAGGATCTTGGGCTACTGCAGTCACAGGATTTGACATGATAATGAAATAGAGCTGGGGTTGTAAATTTTTGGCATAAATCCAAATTGCACCATTTCAGATTTCATCAGAACCTCTGAATAAAGAACCTCATAGAAATAATAATAATAATTCTTTATCGCTTGCTTGAATGAATTTATAGGTCAATCTTAAATGTACCTTTTCTGTTATTGACTATAACAAAGGTTACCATGAACATATTTTAATTGTTTATAGCTATGGATGTTTCATTATGTCACTTGTTTTTAATTATCTGGCTTTCAGTGTAATATATTTTCTAATAGCAGCTTGCTGTTTTTTCACTTTCGTTCTGCTGCTGTGTTCATCTTTATTACTTAGTTGTCAAGGAAGAATTGCTTATCACTGAGGGCTATCACTTACTAGCCAAACTTTGGTCTGGGTGCTTATGTAAATGGTAGTCCCATGTTGACTAATCAAGGAAATCCTCCTTGTGTATTTTCCACATAGGATCAAAAGTAAGAGAAAAATACCAGCACTGCTATGTCATCTAGTAGGAAATCCCTGGCTCTTGTAGTCACACTTGAACTAAAATCACTTGATCCTTACTCATTACACTTTTCTCATATATTTCATAAATGGGTATTGCAGCTTTGTCCAAGTTAAATTTCTCAGATCAGTGTTCTCTGTTTTGTACATTGTTGGCACAACCTTGCAAAGTTAGTAGTGGATAATGTCCCAGATAACTTGAGTTTCATTGATTTCATTTAATGAACTCATGATTAACTTACGCTGGGTTGAGCCCTTTGTATATAATATTAAAAAGCAACTGTAGAAGATGAATTCCTGATGTTTCTAAACAGGTACAGTTGTTTAGAATAATTATTACATGTTCAGAATCCTTATTTAAAATGCAGCTAATGTAATTACATGCTTTTAAACATTTTCTAGTGTGCTGCTAATCTTCTCTCCCCCCCCCATATTTCTAGGATATATTTTTGCATTTGCCCTCTGTAGAATCTGTTTTGAAAAGCTGTGTAAAATGAACTTCCCTAATTTAACACCTATAATTTGCTGCTTTGTGAGGCAAAAGCAGCACTATTATGTAGTATGATATTAAAATACAAAGTATAGATTTAATGCTGTGTACAGATCTGCGTATGCGTCTGTGAACTGCATTGACATATCAGTACTTCTGAAGCTGGTGAACAAATGGTCACCAGAGTCAGTTTTGATTAGGCAAGAGTGGCTTTTCTCACCACCTGACACAGATCACTAGTACTACCATTGCTGAGTGTACCTGCTGTCCAGAAGGGGCAAGTGCACATGGGCCTACCCTATCATAAACCACTAGTTTTAAGAGCTTAATGTATGTGGCTGTTTTATTTTAGGTTTTTAACCTTTGCAACATAATCTAGCCATAGGCATTGCACACAGAATGCCCCTATTCTACGTACATTCACAGTGGGGAGTAAGGCCCATTTATGTCAGTGGGACATATACGGTTGGCTCACACAGGCATGTAAATAAACTTATTTCTCTACACTTAATGTCTGCCAACTGAACGTTTGAACTTAGGCTAAAAAGGTTTTGTGTTTAAGCTGATGTGTGATAATACAATGTCATTTGTGTTTGATCAACCACACCATTGCAGCCCTCTAGTCAACAGCACATGAATGAACCAGCCCTTCTAAGTAAACAGGCACATGATTAGGCAGAAAGCCAATTTGTACATCTGAATCATGCTTGCTGGACCAGTGAGCCTGAAACCATCTTCTCTGTTTACTTTTTACATTACTGTAGTTTTATAAACTCAGAAATTTTCATTATGAAATGAGTTAACATTGGCCAATACTGCAAGGAACTTGGGAGGATTATGGAAAGTTTATTATTATTAATAGAATTTATATCCTACTCTTCCTCCTGAAGGAGCCCAGGGCAGCATACACACCTACAATTAAAAACAAAACATTAAAAACACATTATTATTATTTTAAAAAACAATTCCAATACAGCTGCAGACTGGGAAAGATTTCAGCTTAAAAGGTTTGTTTAAGGATCTGAACCCAAGGTATTGTTTGTCAGCATGTGAGCAACATAACAAGTGCAGTAATCAGAACCTTTTAACTGTAGTTAGCCCCCTATTAGATTCCTTGGGACTTTCAAGGCAACATCATCCACTTGAGAAAAGTGGAAACAGGTTAAAAAAACCTGCTGACTCAAAAGCTGGCTGGAGGGACAACTGCAGATGCTCTAAGCAGGTCCTGCTACCTGGTGTTGCTGCAAAGCAGTAAAACTGGAGCATTGTAATTAACTGGGAAGAAGAACGGCATGTTGGCATAAGAATGCTACTGAAGAGAAAATGTGACTGCAGTGAGCACTGTCCCATAAGAAATCAGGTAAATAATTTCTGTGATAAATGTTCTGTCATTAAACTGGGACCAAAATGATTTACTCATCATGATAAAAGTCGTAGATCAATCAGTGTGATGCAAACAGTGAGTTTTTAATAGAGAGACTTTACTGAGGCAATTGTAGTGTGCTGTACTGCATTCAGGGCATTCAGTCCAGTATAGCATGATTACCTTTGTGGCTTTTAGAATGCAGAGATCTTCCAAATCATATGATTTATTAGCCCACTATGATGTGATTGATGTAGAGCGCCATTTTAAAATACTGCATATTACTAAAAGATGCTGTGGTAGAAGATAAAATACCTGGTTTAATAGTTGTTTACATAACTGCAGATGATTCTCCATCCATGTTATTGTATAATATATATGAACCTGAAGGTTATTGTAAACAGTATAAGCAACTGTTTATCATGCTGCCAGAACAGTGGTGCTTAATCCCTATATTCCATTTTTTTTTGTGTGTTTCTGTTTATTTTCCCCATGGTTTATTCAGCATGATTTTACTATCATGACAAATGCTGTCCTGGTTCAATGCTGTGGCTGAATTTACAGCAAGTAAGGGATCTCCTTCCCCAGTTAATAGTTCATAAAAATGAGCTCAGCATTTATAATTCCCCAGCTATATCCTAATTGCAACATAGAAGTAATATGTTAATAAGAGAAAACACTTTGCTTTGCATCATAGTTTATGAAGCTAGAGGCCCAGCAATTTGCTGAAAAAAAGTTTGGGGCAAAAAAATCGTCACCAGGGGGTGGAGGTGGGGGATGAAAAACAGATGTGCCTAAATTCCTGTATCAGCACAACATGAATGTACATGTTCAGCACCAATGAACTCTGGGAATGATTGCAGTTGCCATAGGAACATGAGGTTCTGAGAGTGAAATCAGCTGAAACAGCTGAGGTTAAAAATGACAGTTGGGGACTGTATGTTGTATGTCTTGAGCTGCAAGAGATGAGAGCTTTCTGAATTTCCATAGCATGAAAAATATGAGTTGTTGGACACAAGACCAGTACAGCAAATTGAGGGCAGTTTGGGCTGGGCATCTGTGAAGGGCCCTGGAAGTCTGTAGGCTGTGGAGTGGCAGCAGGAGCGGGAACAAAAAGGGCTTGTAGTTTTTCGTTTTTTAGCAGGATTGGCAGTGTGTGTGTGACTTTCCTTCTCTGGCATAATGAGGTCTCTCGTGTGCTAGGCGGCAATAAGTTTATGTATTTTCTCTGGCAAGGCTAGAAAACCATAGTTGCTGGATTTTTGCTAGGGATCTACTTACATTGTGTAATTTATCATGAATTACTGTTCTATATTATTATCATTTCTACAGTGCAAAGTGCAAAGTTCTTCTCAATCATCTTGTATTTTATAGCAATTTTCATTATCGCGCAAACATTTGGTCATTCAGTAGAGGATTTTTGAATCTGCTGTTTGTCAAGTTGCATGACTAATTTAAATCGATCCAACTGAAATCAGATACCGTATAGGGCAGCCTTTCACAACCAAGTTGGACTACATCTCCCACATCCTCCTGACTATTGGTCATACTGGCTGGGGCTGATGGATGTTGGGAGTCAGGAACACCTGGAGAAAACCAGGTTGGAGAAGGCTGGTATAGAGACATCAAAGGTTGCTGAGTCTAGGTAGTAGCATCTCCATTCCTCCTAATATTCATGGCCAACACAACTTTAGTAACGAGGAACTTTCCAAACAAGTTACCAGCCAAATGAAATGTGCCATTATTTGGATTCTGCTTGTGATGGACAACAGAAACAAGTTCTGGAGTTACTGGTCTTTTGCCACCCTAAATTGAACCTGTAATCTGATTCTACATAAAGGCCCCATTCGCATAATCTGTCCCCATTTTTCCCTGGCAGATGGATTGAGGCCTACTCATGTAAGGTGCTTATATTTGTAGAAACACACAAATACACACACCGTTTATTTTAGAGCTCTGGTATAAGCCCAAGGCTTGCTTCCATGCTGTGCTGCATGGTAGAATGAACAGATACAGAGAGTCTACAGGTGTGAACTAGTCTGAGAAAGTCATTCTCAATTAGTTTTGTTGAGATGGGAGGCAGAGACCGGATGTAAAGAGCAACCTGATCAACTATATTGGTTTCTGATACTTGTACTTATCTGACCCTGAAAAGTGTCTTGCCAGGGCCGAGAGCTTCTTCCCTTCCATTCCTTTTCCATGTAATTGCAAAACTCAAATGTTTCCTCCTCCATCTAAGCAAATCAACCCAGGAAAGGCTACTGACAACTTGAGAAAGTGAAAGCCTTTTCTTTTTTACAATTTCTGTATGGCTCATAAACTACTGGGAGATTGTTCTGTTGAAGCAAATTGCACAGCTCCCATTTATTATAGGGATGCTTGTACAAGAAGTACTTATTTACCTATGGATTATGTGTCCATGATGTCAGGAGATAACCACCTTCAGGAAGCTGCTAGTAAAAAGAGCCCCAAGTATAATAAAATTATTACACATTTTTATTCCGAAGAACATTTTGCATTTCTTTTCATACAAAATGATGTAGGTCAAGAAACAATTTACAAACCCTTAAATTCTCTCCTGGCATTTGAAAGAATGATTCAAGAAGAGGTCTGTAAGGTATCCATAGCAAATTGCCACTGTGTACAAAATGGTTATATTAACATAGTTTGTATAGGTCACACTTTTTAAAATGTGATTTGAATTGCTACCTATTTTGTTAATACAGATAAACCCTGATAAGGTTACTTGGCAAAGCAAGTCAATTTATCGTGTTAATAAAATAGATTTTTGATATTCACCTGCCTCCAAAATTGCATTAGCCTCAATATCAGGATTTTACTGCATCATGGACAAATGTCTAAGCCCTCCTTTGATTGCATAAAAATAAATCCTGGAAACAGTCCACATAGAACAACAAAAGTTGAGGCCACCATGCCATCCATTTCCCCAACATATAAGGAATCTTTTGGTTCTGCAAATGACTGCTTCATCACACATTCCACTTCAAGCAGAGTAACTTGTTAACATTTTGCATCCACCAGCTAAATTATTTCTTCATAAGAATTCTCTACACCAAGTAAAATACTTGGTCAGTTAATCTGTAAATATATACACTTCAAGGTTAAAAGAAAACCTTGTTAGGCGTAGCCTAATTCAATTCATTTCTTTTTATTTACCTGTTATTGCAGGAGTTGTAGTATAAATAAAAACCAGAAGTTTCCAAATAAAAAAGATAACAGTTAATTCCAAATCTCTTAACTTTCCAAATATAAGACTATAAATAGTCATCTTCCATGTTTTAAATAAAGTGAGACTCCTATAGGCCCAAAATATTTTATAAAATCTCTGTAGCATCAAGTTTCTCAAATCTTTACCTCGAAAGCATTTTACAATGAAGAAATAAGAGGTGGCTCTATTTAAATATTTAATCCTAAAGCTCTATACAATCCAAGTAAAAATACTTCTATCTAGAATTCTGTGGAGAATTACAATAATTAGGCTCCATAAATATTGCTGCAGTTCAATTACGGTACAATAATTACAAAATATAGAACATCTCTTTACAAATACAAATGTTTGTAGATTACAATTTATTTACAATAATTTCTGCTATATAATTTTTAACAAACTATCTTATCTAACTCTACTTTAACCTGGTTGCAAGTGCATTGGTAAAAATGCAATTATTCCAGTATATTTTGCCCTTAATGTGACAGTCATAAAACAGACTATCTTTAATGATATTTTGCTATGTAAACTGGTGTTACATACGAGAGAAATGCTTTTTAGCATCAGTCCAATATAACAATCTCATGTAGGTAGTGTTTGACAAACTGTATTAGACAAATACTTTAAAAAAAAAGGAGGCAAATTTGAAAATAATATCTGAGTGGGTATGTTGAATGTAGTGGACATTTGATATGCCATATAATCAGAGGTAATGACACTTTTGATTTTCATCACCATATCCTTCTCATGCAGACTTTCTTTTTTGGTGCCAAACCTTTTTCCGCTGAGAAAGTTTTACACTCTGAAGGGCAGCAGCACAAAACTGAAAGGCAGCAATCTTTCAACTTTTTCTTCAACATCTGAAAACAGGCTGGTTAGAATCTCTTTCAGTCTAATAACCAACCTTCACTCACTGATGAGCTCAGGATTCTATAGCAAAGGACTTGTCAACATCCTGCCATTCTGATCCTGTTTCACCACACTGGAGATATTTAAGAAGAAATAAAAGTATGGCTTCCTCGCAATGTGACATCATCACTCGTGCAAAACTTGATTCCTTATTAATTCCAACTAGTGCCTAGCATCTTGGAACTATGAGGCACTTTTGTTTATTTAAAATCAAACTTTTTTTTCTTGCTAAATACTATAAGGTTGTAATGCATATCATTTCATCAGCTAAGTCTTCTTCATATTTACCAGTATCTGGCTCTTCATCACTATAGCCAGGACCAAAGTCTTGAAGTTCATAATCTTGTCTATTTAAAATGGGGAACATGTCACCATTGGCTCCATTGCTAATGTTCCCATTGAGAAGATTACTCGCAGCACTTTCCATTTCATCAATAGTCATGTCACAAGCATCAGCAATCTCATGTTTTGTAGCAGAAACAAACTTCGGGTCTTTTGCATACCGTCCTAATCCTTCAGATATAAGTACCTGAGAAAGTAATACTATAAACATTAATTTGGCACTTAGGATAAGAAATCAAAAGCAAACAGTGACAAAGCTTCAATACTTTAATTCATTTTAGAGAGTGCAAACCTTTTTATGTTGCATTATTTTTATTTCAAGTGCCTTCTGAAAATCTACTCCCTAGATACTGAATTGTCCCACAACTGTGTAAAGAAGGCCTTCCCAATAAGCTGTGTGTGGCTGAGTTTGGAAGTGACATTCTGATGAAGCTAGGAGAGGAGTTGGGATGATGCATGACTGAGGGCCACCTGGAATACACTAATGTTTTCAGAGAAATTCTGGAGTCCATAGTTGTAATCAAAGTCACTCTATCTTACAGGATTCTTCCTGTAAAACTGATAAAGAATGCAGCCAAACTATGTTGTCTAGTTAGTATTGGTGGCTTTCAGCTTCTGTCCTGTTTTGTAGACACAATGGGACAAAAGTTGACATGGAACAGTATGGCACATAGGGAGGATATAGCTTAAATTGGGTGGGGAAAATAGTTTTGTCTCCACAGGCAAGATCCTTTTGGGGATTGTCCTCGTGGGGCAAATCTGACAGATGAGCGATCTACCCATTTGTGAATCACCTGATATCACAATGACATCAGGTGTACCTTGCAAAGTGCTGCTAAAATGAACATCCCCCCCTTCATCTTTGCAAATCATTTTCTGAATCCGTTTTTACAACAGAGGAAAAAGCCTTTGTTGTAGCAAGGGATTCCATGTAAGCCCCTTCCTGAAACGGGAAGGTGCTTGTATGAAACCCACCAAC